GCTGCACAGCTGGAAATTAAATGTCCAGGTCCCACCATGGCTCCAGTTTAACATTTGGTGCTTCTTGGATTGAGCTTAACGTGTTGAGGTTTTGCAATTTCACTTGTGGCAAAGGCTCTTGCATTTTCTATTTCTATGCAAATTTCTTGAGGCAGAATTGTTTGCACATTTCTCCTCTGCCCTCACAGAAGGCAGCATTTCCTTCAAACCTAACGGAGGCATCAGTTGCTCTTTGGCTGTGTCCCTTACCATGATTATTAACTTTATATGTTTGTGACTTGGGTTTGCAAATTTGTTGCATAGCGTTTCCATGTAGTAATTCTTAGTTTGGCTGTTAAAAAAATTAACCCTGGACTAAGATTAGCGATTTTTTTTAAATGGTCCTCTGCAATTTTAAGAAGTGTRATAAAATTGAAATTCACTGGTTTTTCTATGCCTTTTTGAACTCTTGTAATTGAGTTTGATCACGTTTTATATTAAAGAGGCTAACACATGACTACTATTATTGTGCAAGCCTTTTTTTTTTTTTTTTTTAAAGGACTGATCTGTTAACCTGTTAACCTTTATTCTCTGAGTGCTGATGAGGTGTGGAGTAAAATATGTCCTTAATCTTCATTTTTTACTCTGCTGTTTGCTTCCATGAGATTCTGGAGTTGGCTGAGCTTCATAGTCTGGAGAAGAGCTTTGCAAACCATACCTTTTTCTGGTGGGAAATATATAGTGTAGGCTTGAGTCACATTGCTCCTGCCACAGCAACTCCACCCAGGGCACCTCTTGGTCCATTTCCCTCTSTGTCCGTCTGGTACTGTTCCTCAACTGCCTGATTGGAAATGCCAGGGCTCAGAAACCTTGGGATCACTGAGTTTTAAACTGTKATGTAAGTTCACGTTAAGTCACAAAATAGAATGTTGGCAACTGTGGTTGTCACAAATGCCCTCCTCCCAAGTGCAGCTGAAGGACTGTGGTATCACTGTATGCCAGGGTCTCACCATTTCTGAAGGTGAGACCCTTTAACAATAATAAGAGCTCAATTATTGTTAAAAGTGAGACCCTTTAACAATAATAAGAGTTCTCCTGTTAAAATTACTGAAGATTTTTAGCCCCCTCTTCTGTGACTGGAGAATAGTGTCATGGTCCTCAGGAATAGCCGGGTGTTGAGGCACAAGAGTCCCAAGCTTGCTTGTTGGTGCCTTGAGCAGTGTTGAGCCACGAGGGGGTAGGGGAGTGCACTCTCACCTTTAAGGCAGTTGCTGTCTGGGGATGTTTAACCTCATTCTTTTTAGGGGACACTTGGTTGGTTGGAAGGTGAAAAGGATCCCCTTGAAGGGGCAGTGGTCCCTCTTGGTAACTTCAGGAGATCCTGGAAGCTGCTTKCTTGTGCTCAGGGCTTGACCCCAAACTCATCAAGTGTGAGTGGGGAGGAGAGAGGAACCTAGGATGTGGACCATTTACAAGGAGCAGCTGCAGGTCTGGCAGTACCAAGGGTGCACTCTTGGATGAGTGCTKCTGCTGGGCCAGAAGCCCTGGGTAGCCATTGGAGGGAAGTCCTTTGGCTGAATCATGGTAATGGGTTTGTACTTGGGGGAATAAGCCTTTGAGGGGGCTTCTCTGAGGAGAGGAAGGTAGGAAGGAGGCTTGCAGTTGGAGGCTCTCCAGTCTCAGCAAGAAGKTGGTGCTGAAGGACACAGGTACCGTGATGGTGCTTATTTCTGGGAACAAAACCCAGTAATTTCTAATCCAGCCATTTTCCTGCTCTGGGGATGGATTTGAGAATCACATTGGTTTTCTTCGGGCTGTTTTAGACCAGGCAGGACCTTTGCATTCCAAGTCTGGACTGTCCTGCTGAGGGACTTCACCGCTGACCTTAGCTGGATTCCAGGCTGCACCATCAGTAAGCTTAAGCCTACTGTGGCCCGGGGCTCCCTTTCTGAGAAGCTTCTGCCTGCCTCCCCCACGACCCCAGGTGGTTTGTGCAAGGTCCCTATGTGGAGGAAAAGGCCTCAATTAGAAGCCAGGTCTTGGTCTGCAGAGGGACACTGGTTCCTCCAACCAGAGGACACTTCCAAATTCCAGCTGATGAAATTCCTCACTGCTGAGCAGAAGGTGTCCAGCAGAGGCTTGATCTTTCTAGGTACAAGCACGTCACTGTCCTCCAGAAGCCTGAAATCAGTGAAGTATCCAACAAGGTGGTCTTGGTGAGGAGACAGGTTTTGAAGGAACTGTCCCCAGGTATGACTTGGGTTATCCATGAGAAATTCACATGGATGAGTACCATTATGTGCAGAAGGTGATTATCTCTTTCAACTCTAAGGGAAAAAAACTTTCCTTGATGCTTTTGTAACTAATATATTTTTTAAATATTGTGATTTTTGAATTGCCACTGAGGTGTAATTACAAGTTCTGTGATTAGCAAACATGAGTGTCTTGTCTACTGAAACTATAACCTTAATGATAGGCTTATTCTTGTGACTGCGGTTTATTGAATGTTCACCTTTTTAGGGATTGCTTTTAACATCTAGCATTTTGGGACCATTGTCATTGAAGACACACATTTAATAGTTTTAACAATAATAAGAACTCTCCTTTTAAAATTACTGAAGATTTGTAGTAAAAAACCCATTTATTTCCACTATCCCAGTTTTTGTCTTTCTTTCCTTTTGGGTATTAGCTAATGTTACCCAGCAGCAGTCACGGGGAAGAGCAGGCTAGGGAGGGGAGAGCATCCTGAGTGATGAGCATCTTGGCTCTAATTTGTTGCAAATTAAGCAGTTGGAGCTTTTCCATGGTGAATGATATCTTGACTTTCTCAGCCTTGCTTTGGGAATTGGAGCCAAGGTTAATGGTGTGTGTGTGTGTGTGTGTGTGTGTGTGTGTGTGTGTGTGTGTGTATATGCACTCACACACACGTGGTGGGGGCTTTCTGGTATTAAGAAATATTAAGTCAAAATTCCCTGCAGTGGGTTGGGGGATCACCACTAGCTGTACCAGGGTGCTGGTGATGGAGGGTGGGTGTGTTTGGTGAAGCTTAGGGTTTTTTTCCTGGGAAGTTATGAGTCAGGGAAACAGGTGGACTTGAAAGAGCCAGAAGCCTTTCAGGGAACACGCAGGCCTGGCTCCAGCCTAGTGATCTGGGGCTCCCCTTGGCTAGCTGCTCAGTGGTGAGGACAGTTTTGCGGAGGGAGGTCCTTTGGTTCCTTAGCCTGCTTGCTGCTGACTGCCCCTTTCCTCTGAGAGGTGGCCTGCAGTATTCTGATCCAGCATCTTTATGTACAGTGTGCTTTAAAATAGGCATGGTGGCACACACCTGTAATCCCAGTGACTTGGGAGGCTGAGGTAGGAGGATCATAAGTTCATGGCCAGCCTCAGCAATTTAGCAAGCCCCGGTCTCAAAAAAGGACTGGGGATGTAGTTGAGTAGTAAAGCGCTTATGGGTTCAATCCCCATTGCCAAGAAAAAAAGAAAGACCTGAGAGATGAAGTGGATTCTCAGTACCTTGCACTTTGATCCTGGAAGGCTGGACAGACCTGCCTCTGCCTTTTTAGGATGAAAAAAGAGATTTTGGGGCTCAATGGCAATTAACTTGGGTTGCACCAGGATAAAGCTTTGCCAAAAACCTTTACAACCCTCCCTGGGCCTTAGATACAGCTTTTCCTGTCCAGCAGCATGGGTTGTAGCAACCTCCCCAAAGAGGTCTCCCTCTGGGGTCCTTCAGCCAAGTGGACACAATTTTCATGACTCTCCAAAAGTGCCAGGGCAGGGAAAACCCTCCTGGTGATGGATGCCTGGGTGGGACAGGTGCTCAGCCAAGACCAGAGGGTTTGCGCTATATTCCTCTTCCACCACCTTGAGGTTCCCAAGTCAGGCAGAGCCTGGCTTCCGTGGCTGCAGCGGGTTTCCAGTGGACCTCTCACGTGTCTGGCTGCAGGTAGTGAGATGAATTTGCCCTTCTTACTGGTCCTTCGGGGATAAGAGTTGGTGATCCTGCGGGTCACTGAAACTTCCGTGCGTTTTTAAAGTAGCTTTAAGACTTGCTGCAGCGAGACTGAATGCACTCACTTAAAATTCGTCTTGCTCCTGCAGGGCTTAGGCCTCCTTTCTTACCTTTGGCAGCGGAGGCTCCTTCGCGTTTCGCCACAGGTGTTGCTTCTGAGTGGGAGTTTGGGGCGCAGACCACGCAGGGCCACACAACCCCCAGGGATCTGGATGTGTAGGAATTGGAATCAGTCCAGGAGGGTTGTTTTGGAAGAAGACACGTGGGGGGTGGGCACAAGCATCCTCACGGAATCAGCCCCACTGTCTCCAGAACGTCCCTTCTCCAAATGCAGACCACATTTTTCTTCTAGTCTTCATTCGAAATGGGTTGAGAGAGGAGATTAGAAGCATGTCAAGGCCGGAACCGGGTGCGGGGCGGGTCTTGGCGCGTGTCAGCCTAGTGGGGCTCTTCCTCCTCGCAGCCCCGGAGACCCCGCCTCCGCGCCCTTGGGGACCCAGGCCGGCGCCTCCGTGGGCGGGGCGGCTGTGGCTGGCTCTGCTCTGGGCGCGCGGGGGCGGCGTTTCCCCGCCTGCTCCTGCGCTAGGGCCGCCAAGTCCTCGCAGCCCGCTTGGCCGTCGGGTCCCTGGGCGCGCGGGCGCCTCGACGGCTCCCCCTGTCGGAGCGCCCCTGTCTCCCACGCTCACCCGGCGGCACAGGACTAGTCCCCCCAACTTGTTCTGTGCTGTTAACTAGTACCGCTGCCGGAACGATGGGATGGGGTTGCCACAGCAACCAGACTGGACGTCACAATCCGGGCATGTGTGCCGCCCCCCCGCCTGCCGCCGTGCCGCCGGCGCTGCCGCCGCCACCCTCGGCCGGCTGCGGGACTGGGGCTGCCGGGCGCGGTGGGCGGAGCGGCCCGGGCTGTGCGGGTGCGGGCTAAGGCGGCCGGAGGAAGGGGGGTCGAGACGGGGGGGTGGAGGTTTAGGGGGTGGGGGGGCCGGCGTCCGCCATCTTCTCGCCGAGGCCGCCTCGCCCGCCGCGCGCGCCCGTCCGGCAGCGCACGGGTTAAGGCTGGCACCGCGCCCGGCGGGAGGGGGGCGCCCACCTCCCCTCCCCCCCGCGCCGGGCATGCGGGGCCCGCTGGGCACCGAGGAGGAGCTGCCGCGGCTGTTCGCCGAGGAGATGGAGAACGAGGACGAGATGTCAGGTGAGGGGGCGCGGGGGCGCCCCGGGGCCAGGGCAGTGGGGGCCCCGGGACCCGCGGGACCCGGGCCGGAGCGGGCGGCGGGGGCGGCGCGGCGGGGCTGGCGCGGCGCGGGAGGAGCGCCCGGGCTGCGGGCTGTGCTCCCGCCCTGCTGGCGCCGCGCGGCCAAGGGCGCAGGGCAGGGCGAGCGCTGGAGCGCAGCGCGCGGGCGACCCAGGGCGGGGTGCGACCCGGACCCCGGCTGCGGCGCGGGCCGGAGGACCGTGGGCAGGGGCCTGCGCCGGGCGCCCGGGCGGGGAGGGGGCGCGGCGCCGCCAGGGTCAGCCCGCGTGCCCTTGAAGGGGGCGGGAATCGCGCGCTGCTGGCGCGGCGCACCCGCCTCTCGCCTGGCTGCCGCGCGCCCCTGGCCTCGCCGCGGGCAGGCGGGACCCGGCCCCGCGCGTCTCGGCGCTAGGGCGGCCTGGGTGGGGCCGGCATCGGGGCGAGGACAGGCTGTGTTTGGGGATCTGAAGGCGTCCGGCATGGGAGGCTTCCTTCGGGCCCGCGAGGGCTGCGAGCTGGGGCGCGCGGGATGGGACTCCCGCTCCCTTTTCCCGGCCGCTGGGCGCTGCGACCGCCGCTCCCTGCACTTTGCCAGGGCTGCCGGCGTCCTCCTGGCGCACCCTAGCGCCCGCGCCGTCTCCGGCCCCCTGTCGCCCAGCGCAGCGGCGTTCCAGCCCACCCTGCTGCTGTGGCTTGGGGCCTGGCGCCCCAGAGCCGCCGCCCCTGCCCTGGCCGGCTCTCTCCTTTTCTCTCTCAGAATTCAGGATTTCAGCGTGAATGGATTTGGTGCAGAGGGGTTGCCTTACAGGGTAACCATTCAGTTAGCTGCCCGTCATTTGTTCCGACGTTTTCCCACCTGGCCCGCCTGGGCAGGGCCTGGCCAGCAGCCCTCCTCCGCTGCTCAGCGCCCTCCTGGACTCCTCAGCTGTGAGGTCCGAGGATCTTCCCGTCCCAGAATGTGCATCTGGCCCTCAGGGATGTTTCATGTCTTCTCAGGGCATGAGAACATGCCACAGTGGCACCTCTTCACTTCTGTTGGGGTGCAGCAGCCCCGAGGCTCCTTGGCACTTTCTCGCTGCTGTGGGGAGTCCCCCAGGTGGCCACGCCCCCGCCCCTCTCCCCATTTCTGTTTGCCTAATGGCTTTGACTCTGGGGCCTCTGTAGGAGGCTGTTTCTCACCTTGCAGTAAGGCCAAGTTAGCAAAGAGGCTGCTGGGGTGTCCCCACATGGGGTAGGGTTGTCTGGACAGTAGCTGTGACCTTCCCAGGCTGGTGGGATCAGACCCATTCCTGGGAGGGGAATACAGAGGCCCAGCACATGGGAAGTACCTGTGTTTGCTTTCCAGCTTGGAGGCTGGCTTCTCAGTAAGCTAGCTCACTGTTTTCCTCAGTGAGACGACCTGTGGTGTTTGGGGTGTGGCCCTTTGTGGCACTGATGGGGTGGTGGACAGCTGAGCAGGCATGGACAGCCCCATTTCTGGGACTGCAGACCTCTTGATGGAGTCCCCTGTCCTTTCCTGCCTTACTCTGCTCTCTCTGGTTGTATTGGGGTACTGAGTTTGGGGAAGGAAGGAGATGGGGGGAGGGGCATAATGCCAGGCTGGTGACACCCAACTCATTCTTAGGGCCGGAGAATTGGGTCTTGGTCATAATCTCCCTTCTGCCCCTCATTCTCCCTTTTTCTCCAGGGCAGGGGGGATGTTGTCCCCAGGGCCTCCAGGAGTGGTCCCCAAAGCCTGGCAGAGAAGATGTCCTGCTCCTGCCCTTCTTGCCTGGGGATTCCAGCCCCATCCACCTACCAGATGAGCCGCTCTGCCTCCGAGGTTCAAGCTCCTTTCCCTTGTCCCTGAACCCTTCCAGAACCTCCCGCCTATTCTCACTGACCTCCCCCCCCCCTTGGAGCTGGGGTCACCTCTGAACACAAATCAGAGCTTGGAACCTGGGTCCATCCTTTTCTACTCCATGCCCCTTTATCCTCGATCTGTCTTGTCCTTGGGCCTTGACTGTGACCTCTGCTTGAATTCCTCTTTCCTCTGCTCAGAGATTTCTCTTGGCCATTTGGGTCCCAGCTCCAGTGCTACCATGGAAGACCCTCTTTGATCCTCTGGCTCCAGTGTGGTCCCATTACAGACTTATTTTAATGGTTTATTGTCTGGGCAGCACTTCTTGCTCTCTGGATGTGTTATTGTCCATCTGCTGGGCCAGTGGGTTCCCCTTCAAGTGGACTTCCCTTGACCACCTGCTGTGCTCAGCCCCCCCCCCAGCACTAACGGTGCCAAGAGATCATTATGGTCTCAGTGTCTGAGGGTGGAGGGGAACCTAGATCACTCCTGGGCCCCTGGATGTGATGGTGGCCTCAGCTCCAGCCTTCTGTCCCTCCTTCAGTGCTGACTGACCTGCCCACTAGCAGCCCGGGGCCCAGGTCAATGGCAGCGACCTGGAGTCAGCTGGTTCTGAAACATTGCAGTTTGAGGCTGGAGGAGTTAGTATTTTGGGGGCTGTCAAACTGTTTTTTCTTTTTTCTAATCAAGCAGTTGCACTCTTTGTCATTTTTTTTTTTTTTTTTTTTGGCTCGGCTCCCCCTCCTGTCTCACCCTCAGAGTGGCCCTTGCTTCCTCAACGGTATTCTTGCTTCCTACCAACCCTTGCTAACTCTCTGGCTTTGTGTCAGCTGGGTGAGTCTGCTTCCAGGAGGAAGATGGGGTGGGTGCCCACCTCTTCTGGCTCAGGGACTAGCAGCTGCCAAATTCTCCTGGGAGCCGGGAGGACTGGTCAGTGAGGGCTTGGGAGTTGGCTGGAGGAGGCCTCCGATCTCAGCTCGGCTTTTGTTAGCTGAGTGGCCTTGGGCAAGCTCACCAGCCTTCTGCCTCAGTGTCCCCGCTTCTAGAATGGGACATAGCACTCACTACCTCATAGAGGGTTATTATGAGGCCTAATGAGATGGTGCATGTAGAACATTTAGGTCATAGTGCCCTGCATATAATGGGTACCCAGGAATCCATGGCTGGTATAATTAGCACCATCCAAGCGGGGAAGCTATCCTGCCTCCCCAGGGAAATGCTTTTGAGACTTGCACTTTCATCCAGTAAGCTGGGCAGGAGGAGGGCTGGGCGTGAGGCCCAAGGTGGGGCTGGAGGGATGGAGGACAGGGACATAGCACCTCAAAGCTTTTCCTTAGATAGAGCACTAATTCCTCTTGGGGCCACTGGTGGGCTGGCACGTTCCCTGCCTGGTTGGCCTAGCCACAGCCAAGTTGGTGGGCCCAGGTTTTTCCCTGGCCAGGCAGCGTGATCACTCCAGCCCCAAGGACACGCGGCTGACCTGTGCTCTCCACGCCTACAGGACTGGCCCCGTCTGCATGAGCATCTCTGGCTTTCTGAGTGGCTGTCATGACTTCTAAAGGCCCAGGCTTTCTTAGCTTGCTGGCATTCTTGAGGAATGTGTGTAGGGGTGGGGTTACAGGCATCCTGGTTATATTGTTATATTTAATATTCTTTCTGGGAGAAGGGAGGCAAAGGGAGCACAGTTTTCCCAGTGACTTGGCAGTGACTTCCAAGTTGATGAAGGATTAAGATTCATGTGTCATTCCACCAGTTATTCCACCCAGACATCTACCTATTCACCCATAAACCCAACCAACTAGCCATTTACTCACCATCCCTCCATTTATCTACCATTCATCTTTGTTATCCATCCAGCACTCATCCACTACCATTCAGTCATCTACCTTCCATCCATTCATATATCCATACATACACCCACCATCATCCTTTCACCTATCTACTCACCGTTCATGTCATACATCACTATGCATTCATCCATCTAGCCATCTATACATTTACCATCCATCAGTCCATCCAGAATCCATCCATCAATCATCCACTTATCTATACATACACATCCATCTACCCATCCAGAATCTGTCTGCTACTTATCTAGCCATTCATCTATCCATAGTCACCACCCACCCACCCACCCATTCTCCATCCATCCATCCATCCATCCATCCATCCATCCATCTACCATCATCTGTCTGTCCATATGCCTACCTGCCTGCCTGCCTGCCATTCCTCCATCCCTCCCCATCCATCTATCCATCTATCCGCCATCCACCCATTTACCTATCCACACAACACACATTTTTGGAGTATCTTCCCTGAGCAGTTTTGAACACAGAGCATGATGTCTTTCTGGGCTCTTGCAGTGAAACCCTGAGATTTTCTGTCTCATCTCTGTGTCTTTGTCTATATCTCCCCCTCCCTGGCTCTGTCCCTCTGTCCCTCTTCTGTCTCTATGTCTGTCAGTCTTGCCTCTGCTTCTCTGTCTTGTCTCCCTGTCTCTCCCTCTGCCTCCAGGGTTGTCTCCCCATGCAGTGAGGTAGGCATGAGACAGGAGTCTCCTCTCTTTTTCCTGCCCCCATCCATTCCTTGGGCCAGGAGGCCCCTTCCTGCCTGCCTTGTGCCCCTCACTCTCCCCAGACCTCAGTCACTCCTTGGTAGAAGCCTTGCCACCTCCCCTCTAGTCCCCTCCCTCTCAGGACTGGCGCTTTCTTTTGATGAGACGCCAATGAGGTGATGTCTGGGTTTTGTTAAATGTCATAAATAAATTATTAATCACTTCTTGGGCGGGAGTTCTGCCCCCCACATCAGCCTGGGTTCTGTGTCATGTGGGGAGGGCCGAGGACTAATGGGAATTTTTGTCTGGGCTCCACCTTGGCCAGAACTCCTGGTCCCTTAGCACCCAAAATGGACCTGACAGCCCTCACCCTGGGGCCACCCTCCCGGGCGCTGCCTGCATTGCTTAGCTCCGCCTGGGTGTCCCATCCCCACTTTTCACTCACAGTTTCTAACCCTTGGTTACCTGGAGGAAGGGTGCAGGGACAGGCCAACTTACAGAAGAAGCTAGAGTCAGCCAGGCAGGGACTTGGGCCACCCCAAGGAGGGGTGCTGGTTTGAAGCCATTGCACTGTCCTGTCCCTGCCTCCTCCTGACCGCCAGGTGGCCTTGTTCCCTGCTTGGACCTGGGTTACAGGGTGGGGAACAGAAGGAGCTCCTGGCTCCAGACCTTGGGAAGGATGGTGGATGCTGAGCTGGGTCCCTATCATTGACACATTTGGTGGCCCGGACCTTGGCAGTGAAGGTCTTGTCTAGCTCCTGCCTCTGTTCTTCCCACCCTTCGACCACCCAGAATCTGGGGCCTAACTGCCCTCCGCAGTCACGTGGTTTTCTTTACTCTGAGCAGCTGGCCCTTCCAAAGCTCCCTGCAGCCCGCTTCTGGCTCTGAGGCTGCTCCCAGAAGGGGCGGGGCTTGCCCTGGGTGTGGGCCTGGACCAGCCCCGACCTCCCCCAGGGGCCCCTGTGACCTTCCAGACCCGCCTGCCTTGGCTTCAGTCACCTCGTGGTCCCCAGGGTGAAGACCCACTTGGCACACCAGACATGCTGTTGAAATGCTGAATTCCGGGAGGATCGGTGCCTGTGGGTTCCCTGCTGGCGTGGAACTGAGATGTGGGCAGCTGACGGGCCCTCTGAGTTTGAGTTTCCACATCTGCTGTGAGATTGGTAGTTCTTACCTCCGGGGTTGCTGTGTGGTGTCTGAGCTTGAGTTTCCAATCTGCAGTGAGATTGGTAGTTCTTATCTCCGGGGTTGCTGTGTGGTGTCCCAATGGATATGACACTGTGGGTGCTCTGAGCCTAGGGCAGGTGATGTGTAGGCATTAGGTAATGTGTAGGCCTGGGATGGGCCACCCAGCTGTGTCAGCTTGGGGTCCCTTGGGGCTGAGCCAGAGTGTGCACGGGGAGCTAATAAGGGGCTGGACTGAGCTCAGGAAAAAGCTAAAGAACGTCCTTCTCTTCACCCTGCCAGGCTCTGTCCCTCCCTGTCTGTCCATCTGCTCCTTCCCTCTGAAGCATCCTCCCCTGCCCCTCCCCAGGCCTGCTCTGCCTGGGCGGCTCTGGAGGTGAGCGATAACCAGGCTAATGGTCCTAATTATAGCTGGCTTGGATCGATGGCACCTCAGGCCCTGGAGGGGCAGGGCTGGTGTGGGAGGGCCCAGCCAGGCGGGCYAGAGGTGTGGGCCGCTATGAAGGCCAAGAGCTGGCAGGACAAGGAGTCCTGGAGCCCCTGACCCCAGGGCCCAGGAGCCCACCACCACTGGCTGCATGTCCTGCGTCTCAGTACCCTCCGCATCTCGGCTCTGTCCTTGACAGCTGGGGCCGCAGGGAGAAGGGGCGGGGGTCCCCGGGCACAGGGCTCAGGGCTCAGGGCATGGCTGATGGTGGGGTTGCTTGAAGAGTGATTCCTAGGCCTAAGAGCCCAAGAACACTCACGGCCTGTTGCAGAAGAGGGAGAGGGGCCGTGTGAGAGGAGGGGCCGGGCTCTCATATTAAAGACAGGGTGCATGGACTTGAGGTGTCCCCAGGGTACCAGCAGCCTGTAGGAACAGGAAGGGGCTGTCAGAGAAGGGGGTGGGCAGGGCTGGGTCCCCATCTCCCCTACCAACTCGGAACCTTCCTGGAGGAGGATTTTATTAGGCAGATGGCCCTGGGCTGGGAGGTCTTCTGGGAGGGGAGGAGGGGTCTGTGATGGACAGGATCTAGGACCGATTCTCCAAGGTGCGTTCTGGGTGTGGTCAGGGTGACCTGTGAGGCGCCTCTTGCCTTCTTCCCACTACAAAGCAGACCACGAACTTCCTTCCAGAACTTCCCCAGTCACCTGTTCATCCTCGGTCCAGTCTGGTCAGTCAGGGACCATGTACTGATCTGACCTTCCTAAATCTGGGGACTGCTCTTCTGGGAAGGGACAGGGGACAGCCCAGAGCAGGGAGAGCCCCCACTCCCGAGATTGCATCAGCCTCAAGTGGGTTACATAACCATGTTGAGCACTGCTAGGGGGTGGGGTGCCTCTGCCTAGGCTGTCTCTATGGGGCCAGGGGAGTGGGCAGATTAGGGGTGGGCATCCTGTTGGCCACCTTAGCCTAGCTCCATGCCAACCCCGGGTACTGCTGGCCAATCTTCTCCACTCCAGGATGACTCTGGGGGTCCCCATGCATGTTTTCAGGGACTTAGAGGGACAGATGGGGTCAGCTCTAGCAGCCCCTGGCCTCATCCTGGCTGTACCCAGGGCCTGGCCCCCACTGTCCATGCCTCTGTGAGTTGGAGCTCATCTAAGGCCACCGCATCTGCGCCTCCACCTGGGTATGTCCTCAGCAGTGCTCCTGAGTGGGTCAGGACACACTGTGCTGGTGTCTCAGGACAGACTCAGGCTACCTGCTAAGACCAGCTCCCTGTGGCCCCTTCCGGAGCCTCCCCCTCCATGTCTGTGTGCTCCGCTGGTCCTCGGTGTTCCCACCGCCTCTGCATGGGGAAGGTTTGGACTCAGGCGTGTCCTGCCTCTGCCCAGGGACTCCTGGGGGCTGGCAGAGCAGAACTTGCTCCCCAGTTGGGACCCTGGTGCAGAGGGTGCCAGGCAGTGGTGTAGCCCCCACCCGGTGCAGTCTGGCCCTGCAGGGTGAATGGTAGGAAGGGTGTCTGCCCAGCCACCAGAGTCACCAGGGCCCTCTGAGGGCTGGGTGTGTGTGGAGGAAGCCTCCTCATCCTCCCTTGGGACAGGGAGTGGGCAGGGGTCCCAGGCTGGGGGTGGCGACTGTGTGGAGCATGGGAGGGGATGTTTGTTGGTTGAGTCCTGTGTGTGCACACGTGTGTCCATGCACACGTATGTGGCTTTTCTGTCTGCTGCATGGGGCCTGCACACAGCTGGCTGGCAGGTTGAACATACAGGATAGTAACAAGGACTTCTGAGGTCACCCTCTCCTGGTTCTGAGGTTCCCCTGGGCAACCTCACCCTCCTGCAAGGTGGCCACTGGACTCTGAGCTGTTCACTCTGCTGTGTCTCCCACCTTGTGGGCCCAGCCGGCTCTGCCTTTTGCTCCCCCGCCACTTGTGGCACATGGGGGTGGGGCAGGATGAGCTGGCCAGGGGTGCATGGGCCACCGCCTGGCAAGGGGAACTGACCAGAGTGGGGCCTTCCCTGGTCTCCTGGAGGTTTTCTTTCCGCATGGCCCTTTGCCCCATGTGTGGCCACAGTTCTACTCTGGGTGGCTTATTTCTTGGTGCTGTGTCCCCTGGGGGACCCTCCTCCCTTCCCCTTCATAGCCCATGCCTGGAGTCTTGGAACTTGGTCTCAAGTGTGGTTTCTTGGGTGGGAGTCCGGCCTCAGCCCACCGCGTCCCCATGGAAAGGTCACACATCATGCCCCCAGTACATGTGGGAACCCCTCCTGTAGGTTGGAAGTGGGGGAGGGGCAGTCCCACCTTGTGCCCTTCAAGAGATGGATGTGGAGCTCAGAGCCAGCACCTGACTTTTTTTGACCTAGGGCCCTGGGCATGCGCGCTCTCGCACACACACAAACACACGCACACACTACCACTGACCATACCCTAGGCCCTTTTTATTTTTTATTTGAAGACAGGGTCTCACTAAGTTCCCCAGGGTGGCCTTGAAACTGTGATCCTCCTGCCTCAGCCTCTCTAAGCTGAGGATTACAGGTGTGGCCACCACACCCAGCTGTAGCCAGTTTCTTCTTCAAAGATTCTCCACCCAAGTCCACTCTGCTCTCCTCGCAGCCTGTAAGGTGCTGAAACAAGCGAGGGGTTCAGGATTCTGGTGGCTTCCGGGAAGTCCAGGCCTGGTGAACGTGACAGTTCTCTGTGGGGTGCCACATCTTCCTGGGTGCCCAGCTGGCGTGTTCTTGGCATACTGTCCAGTGTATGTGTGTGTAGGGTGAGGTGTGTGCACCTGTGCATGTGGCTGCAGGATCAGGGCAAGGGGTGCAGTGCCATCTTGGATGCTCCTGGGTGGGCCCCTCCTCCAGCACCCCGGCTCTTGCTGTGCTGGTTTTATGTGGTCCTCAGGTGATGGGACCTGAGTGTCCCAAGTGTCCTGTTTTCACCGGATGGGCCTCACCCAGGTTGGCGCCTGTGTCCGGCCCTGACCCTCCCCGGGTGGTTCCTTGGGGCTGCTTCCTCCCTGCGCCCCAGGCCCAGTGCCAGCTGGTTAATCGCTCACTTTTGTTCCTGGCGATCAGCTTCCATGTCCCTGTCTTACCAGGGGTTGGTGGTTATTGTTCCATTTTAGAGGAGGGAAGGAAAGGCCCAGGGAGGGGACCTGACATTGTCCACCACGGCTGGCATTCCTGCCTGGCCCTGGTGGGGTCTGGGGAGGGTCCGGAGTGGTCGCCTGGCGTGGCGGGCGGGTCCCTGGACTCTGGCTGGGGGAGCAGAGGGTAATCCCTCCCCACTTTGCCTCTTGCAGAAGAAGAAGATGGTGGCCTTGAAGGCTTCCACGGCTTCTTCCCTGCGGAGCCCGTGAGCCTTCCCAAGAAAAAGAAATCCAAGAAGCTCAAGGAGAGCAAGTCCAAAGGGAAGCGGAAGAAGAAAGAGGTGAGAAGCGCGGGCGGGAGGGGCGGCGGGAGGGGCGCCGGGAGACCCTGGCCTCACGAGGAGTCCCAGCTTCCCCGAGAAACACCCAGACCAGTTTGTGCCGGAAGCCTGGTGTGCGCCAGCCTTTCCRGGGGGCTCATGACATCCTGCTTCCTGAGAGAACGTTGGGGGGTGTCTCTCCTTTCTCCTGTGCTGGCTGCCCTGTGTGGGGACGGTGGTGGAATGCCCTCCCTCACAGCCGGTGGTCACTGCTCCTGGCTCTCTGTAGCCGCCTCTSTCCCTCTAAGCAGATGCACTGGAAGTGCAGAGGCGAGGCCCGCAGTCCTGAGAGCCCCTGGAGGGCCGAGCCTGCCCCTGGAGCTGGGCTCCTGCCTCTTTCATCCTGGTTCCCAGCAGTTCAGGAAAGGAGAGGGAGGTGCGGATGGACGGAGCCCACGCGCTCAGAATCCTTCCACGTGCTTCAGGGACTCGCTTGGACCCCAGGATCCACCCTGGGAATCGGTGGGATGGGGCTCTCTTAACCAAACCTCTGCAGAGAAACAAAGAAATTGGTGGGATGGGGATGGGGATTCGTCCTTGTCACATGGGAAACTGAGGCAGAGAAGCAGCTGAAGGGTCCCCGACTTGGACTGGGACCCCGGGTGCCCTGTTATCTTACTGCATGCCGACTGGGAGGCTTTGGGCCTCGTCTCCAGTCCTCCAGGCAGCCCCGGGGAGAGGGTGGTAGCCTGCATCTAGCTTCACAGGCAAGGGAGAAGTGGCTCAGGGACGGCCATGCCATGTCACGTGTGGTCATGCCGAGGTCCTTACCTGGGACTCTCAGCAGGGTCCAGCTTTCCCCCTGCCAGGCACGGCCCTCTCCTAGCCTGCCTGTGTGGCCAGTGCTCTGCCCCTTTTTGGTCCAGAATTGCAAACGAAAGGCCCAGGAAGGTGGCTAGTGAGGAGCCCTGGGCAGAGCCTGGTAGGGAGAAGGGCTGCAGAGGACCCAGCCGAGGGCCCACGTGCCTGCTGAGTGCTTGGGAGTCCACCTAAGGCAGTGGCGCCCTGGGGCCACTGTGGCCTCTTGCCCGCCTCTCAAGTGAGGCGGGGTCAGCAGAGGGCTTTGAGCGGCTGGGCACAGGATGTATCTCAGCTCTGGCTCCTAGGGAGGCCCCAGGGTGAGGGCCAGAGGCAGAGGCAAGGAGGCCCAGCAGAGGGAGAGAGGACAGTGGTGGGCGTGAGAGCGGCTGCCTGTGCCGCTTGATTCTGTGTCCCCTTTCCACCTCCCATTTGTTTTGGTGACACATTCAGTGCCTTCCCATGTGAGGTGGCCATGGAGCGGCCCCGACCTCTGCTTGTGGCCCGTTTCCCTGGGCTGTCTGTGATCTTGCGCTGTGGTCTTTATCCAGGGCCCCTCTGGGGAGAGGCCGAGGCAGCTTGGTTTTCTTTGCTTGGGGCTCTTGGCTGAGGTTGGTGGTCAGCCTTTCTCAGTGGCAGGCCCCGACCCTTCTGGGGGAGCTTCCTGAAGGGTGCACCTGGCCACGCCCACAGCCCCTTTCCCAGCTCCCGTGCTGTGCCCCCCAGGCCGGCCCTTGCCTCTGTTGCTCCACTGTGTGTGTGCACGCGGGGGATCCTGGGTCCTCCTGCTTGACTTTGCCCACACCTGCTGCCCTCGGCTCTGTCTTCATTCTGGTGTGATGTCCAGGACTGATGTGTCTGCCCCCTCTGAGGACACTCTACTCTTTACCCCTGGGCCAACCTGCAGGGTAGGGCCCAGGTCAGGGTTGTCCCTGGGGGTAGGGGGGTGGCCGAGGCTCCTGAGATGTGTAGGCCTGTATGCTGAGTCTTCTGAGGGGTCACGAAGGGGGTGAGCTTCCTGTTCCCAGTATCTAAATGGACATGTGGAGGGAGACGGGGACCCTGTCCCTGGAGGCTCCCCCACTGAAGGAGAAGCTGAGACCAGCCTTTTTGATGGGGAAGGTCCCTAAATTCCTTGCTGTAGTTCCCTCTGCACTGCGGGGTCCCCACCGCAGCCCTGCAGGTCTGTCCTTGTGCTGGGCAGTGGATGGGCTGGACGGCGATGCCCTCGGGTGACTTACTGGTGGAGGCTGTGAAACCTGTTCTGCTGCCCCACTGCCTTCCCCTCTGAGCCCCAGGCTCCGTGGGTCTCCATCCTGGGCCTCGCAGCCGAGGGCAGGGAATTCCTACATGTGGCCCCGGCCCAGTGCCTGTTTCCTCTCTAACAGATTTCTGGGGATGGGGTAGGAGGCTAGGACCGGAGGCACTACCACCTGGCCCTGGGTCTCAGCCTTGGGCTGGCTCTGCCCAGGCCCCCATTTGGGTCCCAGCAGGGGAGCAGCAGGTGCCTGTGAGAGCCACCACCCCAGGCAGGGCTGGGTTTTTGCCCCCTCCCTCCTGGACATGTTGGCCCTGGCCAGGAAGGAGGCAGTGTCTGGACAGAGGCCAGGAGTGGGAGGGTGCTGGCGGCCCCGCAGCCTCCAGAGCCTGCCAGGGCTGGTCGCTGCCTCTCTTCTCAGGGCCCTGGTCTCAGCCTCCCTCCTTTTTCGAGCTGATGGGCTCCCTCCTTTCTCCGAGGCCTGGTTTGGTTTTGTGTCCAGCCCAGCTCTCTGGCTCTCGTTTGCTGTCTCTGGCTGGGTCCTGCGGAGTCTCCCTCTGGCTCATGCTTTTTCTTTGCCTTATGCATCTGTCCCCTGGCCTCTTGCTCTCTCTCATCTCTCCATTTCCCCCCCTCCTGCCTCGTTTCCCTCCCTGCTCTCCCTCATTCTCCCCACTCCTCTCTACTGAGGTGCTGTGGTGCTTCCTGGAAAGGATGGAGGGCTGGGGTGGACTGGAGGACCCTAGGGGACAGGTCCCTCGAGGTGACCTTTGGTTCAGGGCTGCCCCCTTCCCTGCCTTCCTGAGAGCCTGGCTCTGACCTGCTGTGGATCCTAGGGGGTCTGGAGCATGCTGTGTCCAGAGAGGAGGGTCCCAGCTGCCTGCCTGCCCCACAGACCTGGGGGAGATGTGTGGCCAGGCAGGGGGATTGTATCCCTTTGCCCCTCTCTGTCTCCACCCAGGTGACCCCAAGAGGAGGTGCCAGGGCTGGTGGGCCCCAGGCAGCAGTTTGGGTGGGGGCAGGCAGCAAGTCATGGATTCTGATTTACATAAAATAACCAGGCTGCAGCCGGAACCTGAGCATATGTAGATGAAGCTCCTTGTCAGACCGGAGCGCAGGAGGGAGAAATGATTTCAACCTGTACTGCAGCGGTTACCATAGCAACCAATTATTCAGTGCTAAATTATAACTGTTTATAACAGTCGTGAATGGGAAGGCTCATATTTCATTCTTTCTTTTTCCCTCTCAATCTTGAAGGACCCCAAATTGAGAATGACCAGCTCTCTCAGCCCTTCCTTTGAGTTTAAATGCATCCTTTCTCGGGAGACGCGGTGTGTGCGCTGGGTGTACAGGGAGGGGCCGGGGAGATGAGAGGCTTCCATCCAGAAACAGCTGCGGAGCTGGGAAGGAGGGGGGCAGTGGGGACTGCCCACTTGGGGTCCCCAGAACCGAGGTTGGTGTGCTATGCCCTCCGTGGGAAATGGGGTGTAGAGCAGGGGCTCTTCCACCCGCCACAGGCACAGCTGGGGCGCACTGTCCAAGGTGCTCTGCAGGTGGCTTCCGAGTCCTCTAAGATTGTTCTTCCAGCCAGCGGAGCGGCTCCCACAGTCACGTCTGGGGCTGCTGCCGCGAAAGGACAGTGCCAAGGTCAAAGTCCCGACCGTCATCCTGATTTTCACATCCCACTGTGTGTCTCGGTTGCTCACAGAGCTCAGAGTGGAGCTCTGCTAGGGAATTACTGGTCTGTGCCTGGTCTCCTCCCCTGAGCAGGCTATGGTCCACGGCCCCCTTGTAGGGCCCAGCTATTCTCTGGTGTCCCCCTCTGCTTCTTGGTCTTCCTTCTGCCACGGAGGTCCTCCCAGTTCCTGGGTCTCTTCTCTGCAAGTTGTTTCAGAGTCAATTCAGCATCCCCCACACCCTTTCTCTGCAAGTCAAGATTTTTTGGGGGGCAGGGGGAACAAAAGGAGGCCCAGTTGTAGAAGTGTCAGAACAGCTGGTGCTGAGTTCTGCTGGGATAGACGTGTTCTGTGACTCGTCCTGGCTGGGGAGCGGAGCTCGGGGGAGTGCTGGGTGTAGGTGGGTGTGGCCCAAGCTGTGTGGGCTCCCTTTGGGGGAGGCCCAAGGAAGGGAGGTGGCCAGGGGCCCCTGGGCCTCAGAGCCTTCTCTTTGGCGGCTTCTTCCTCCTCTGTGAAATGAGAGGCTGACATCTTGCCTGAGCCTCAGGTGGTTGGCTGCAGGGAAGGGGTCTCCTGCTCGGCTCTGGGGTGGACTCTGGCCCAGTCTGTCAGGACCAGGCTTTGGCCTTCTGCCAGGCCTGCTCCCCCTGAGCTGTGCACACGTGCTGCCGCCAGACAGCACAGTCTGCAGGCGGCTCCTCCTGGCTCCCTGCTGCCCTCCCCCCATCTTTCCGCCCCCCCTGGGCCTTGCATGCCGAGCTGTGCTGGCCACTCCTTGCCTCTCTCACCCTGATGCTTCCCAGCAGATGCCTGGGCCAGCTTCTCTGGAGCTGTTGCTACACAGCCCCGTCTTGTCTGAGTCACGTTGTCCGTCCACACTGCTGCCCAGCTGCAGGCTCGCCCTGTGCAGTGGCTCCAGCCCAGTCTGATGGACAGATGAGGGAGATGAGGCTGGTTCGTTTCCTCCTGCTGCCTTCCAAGTAGAGTTGGGGTGGTCTTGGGTCATCTGGGCATTACCAGGGGAGGACGTGGTCCTGGCGCCTGGGTGTGGATGGTGTTGAAAGTGTCGCTCTGCCTGCGGGACCTGCCCTCCTCTGCCACTGTCTTCTGAGCATGGCTTCCCTGCCTGGCTGGCCTCTGTGTCAGAAACACCCAAGGGCTTACTTCAGGCCCCCCTTGGTTCCGCCTACCATCCTTTGTGGCACTGCCTTTGCACAGATGAGGAGGCTGAGGTTCAGCTCTGCTGCAGACTTGCCCAAGGCCCTGGATAGCAAGGGGCAAAGCCTCCCAGGGATCCCCAGGACCCACGGGCAGGACCCCGGGTCCTCTGGCTTCATCCCTGGCCAGTTTGTGGGGTCCGCCCTGAGGCAGCTGAGGGCTGCTTGGATTCCCTCCCTTGGGCTGCCTCAGCTGCTGTCCATGGTGCTGAAGCTCCCCGAGGCTCTCACCCTCCTCCTTACCTTTGCTGGGGTGAAGCCTGTATTTCTTGACTGGGGAAAACGGATGTTCTTGTCTGATGCCCAGCTCTTCAGAGGACTGTGGAAGAGCCTAAGAGCCAGGCTCAGGCAGCAGCCAGGGCTGGGAGCTGCCCTGCTCCGGGTGTGGTCAAGTCAGTGTTCTGAGAAACACCGCAGTTCCAGAAAAGCAAGGAGGCCCTGTTTCTGCTACCTGCTGGCGTTGTTGGCTTGGGGATTAGTGGACGTAAGAGGTTTGAGAGCGGGAGCCTGGTGGAGAGCTGGGAAGTGTAGGCAGCGCCTGGCGGGGTCCTTCCTGGCCTGATCTCAGGGAGAGCCCCTCAGTGGCCTCCATTCTCACCTAGCCATTGGGGATGTGCCTGTTCAGAGCCTCTCTCCTGGGAAAAGGTTAGGTCATAACTCCTTTTGTTGCTGATGACCTTTATTTTATTTGTATATGGCATTGAGAGTGGAACCCAGTGACCACAGATGCCAGGMAAGTGCTCTACCACTGAGCCCCAGCCCCAGCCTCCCCGGCTATAGCTCTTTACAGCGCGACCTGAAAGGGAGAGTTGTGCTGGGGCCCTCATGGCTTCTCCAGGCGGACCCCGCTGCCCCTCCCGTCCTCCCCGTCTTCTGCACTCTCTTCCTGCCCCACTCTCTGATGCTCCCCTCTGTCCCACTGCCGGTCCCTGAGCTCACATTTCATCTCCCGAGTTCTCTCTCCATCTCTTCCTATGCCACCCCACCTGCCTTGTTTTTTGGGACTGGGGATTGGACCCAGAGGGGCCTAACCACTGAGCCACATCCCCAGCCCTTTTTATTTTTAATTTTGTGGCAGGGTCTTGCTAAGTTGCTTAGGGCCTCACTAAGTTGCTGAGGCTGGCTTTGAACTTGCCGTCTTCCTGTCTCGGCCTCCCGAGCTGATGGGATTACAGGCGTGCTCCACCATGCCCAGCCCCATGCCTCTCGTCGCTCACCTTGAAAACAGTTCATTGTAGTCATGAGAGTGACAGGCCGAGTGCTCTGTCTGTAGCCACAGTGCCAGCCTCTCCCCCCAGACCCCAGCCCAAGGGGACTGGGAAGGCTCTGCCCCACTTGCTTTCTTCAGGGCCAGGAGGAGACTGCTTTCTGCTGGGGCAGTACCTTTCTGGTGGGGATGCTCTGGCTATAAACACCCTTATCTCCATATAAATGGGCCATTTTCTGCCTGTTCAGACAGGAGACTAAATCAGGGAAGCCAGGCTTAAGAGCTGCCTAAATTACCTTGTCTCATATTGAGAGAAGTGGCCAGTGTGGGGTGGTGGGGAAGGTGGGCTTGTGCCCTGGCAGCCTCTGGAGAGCCGGCTGCAGAGAAACCTGGGGTGTGCCCCATGTTAATTGAGGTGTGGCTTGATAGGTGTGGTTCCTGGGGCRCAGCAGTAGCAGGGCTTCAGGGCTGGAGCCTGGGTGGGCACCAGTAGGGACATTGTTTCCTGCGTGGGGCTTTTTCTGTATACCTTGGTATTGGACTCTGGCTGTGGTGACCTCTACCATCAGCTCCTGGGTTCCAGTACCATTGTGCAAGACTAGTCACAATCCCAGAGTCCTCAGAAGCCTGGCTYTGACCAGAAAAGCAAGAGGACGTGGAACCGGAGCTGCTCGAGGGTGGGCCAGGCAGGCTGCGTCTCGCTTGGGAGAGGGTCTGGTTTGCGGGAGGCCTTGCCTGACTGGCACTTCTCATTCAGCGGGCAGTGAGACCCTTGACTTGTGCTGGCTCAGAGCTGTGAGTATTGGACACGGATGAGGGACGGGTGGGCTGACTAACCTGGCCAGGCTGCTCGCAGAGCCACACTTCTGCCCGGGACCCTCAATTCTCTTGGGACCTCTGAGGCCCTCACTGTGCCCCTTTCTTTTCCAGGGGAGCAACGATGAGCTTTCAGAGAATGAGGAGGATCTGGAAGAGAAGTCAGAGAGCGAAGGCAGTGACTACTCCCCTAACAAAAAGAAGAAGAAGAAACTCAAGGACAAGAAGGAGAAAAAAGCCAAGCGGAAGAAGAAGGACGAGGACGAGGATGACAATGACGACGGGTGCTTAAAGGTGACCGCTGTGGCCTGGGCTGGAGGAGCTCCAGTTCTCTACCCTCCAGCCTGAGAGTCCATCCCGGGTTTTCCCAACCAGCGTGCACCGTGGACATTGGACACCATGTCTGAGATGTGCAATGGCCAGGCCTCCTGGAGACGTGTTGAGATAACGAGGGGCAGATTGGGGAGCTGGTGGAGGAAATTGCGTGTCTTGCTGATGTGTTGGCTGCTCTTGGCAGTGGTTTGCCTGCGTGCGCCTGCCCCTGTTTCTGGGGAGAGTGACAGCATGAGCTTGGGTCAAGTGTCAGGAACCTTTGCTTGGAGCAGGACAAAGTAGAGTCTTCTCTGCCAGCAATAGCTGGCCAGCCCCGCTTAGGGTGGGAATGGAACCTCGTTCCTAGCTTGCTCTGCAAGTCTGCCCGAGCCAGTGGGCATTCCCCAAGTCTCCTGCTGGACTTGGAGCAGAGCAGCTGCAGAGAATGGTCTTGCTTTCCTGGGGGACGAGTGGCTTCCCATGAATGTGCGGAAACATGGGAAAAAGCCACGCTTTAGGCTCAGCCTCACACCCCCTGGGACTCAGGACCTCCACTCTCGGTGTTGGAGGATGACCCTGAGTCACCAGGAGGGCTTTGCTCCTCGAGCCCCACAGCATAAAGATGAATGCTCCATAGATAATAGCTCAGCCGCTGCTGGGCGGAAACACCGGTGGGAATGACTGAAGCTAGGAGGTGCCGAGGGGGGCAGCTCTCTCGGGGGTGTCCCCACACTGAGTGCTCTCATGAATCAGTGGGTGTGTTGTGAGTCATCTGCGACTGGTGATAGCTGAGGGGCTGACAGTTCTGACTTCAGGGAGCAGTTCAGGGTCCCCCAACAGTGTCATCCACTGCCTAGCTTCCATGCCCGCTCTGCTCTCCTGGGGTGGGCTGAAGGGCCCAGCTGCCTGCAGGGATGGTAGGGACAGGTTGGTCACGGGAGGGTGTCCAGCTCTCTTGGAGCCAGGTTCCCAAGCTGCTCTCCAGTGCTGGTCAGGCAGGCCTGGTCCTCAGCTCCAGGGGGCCAGGGAGGCCATGTACCACCAGGGGACTTTCTACTGCAGGAGCAGAAAGCCCAGCTCCCCGGTGAAGGCAGCACAGGGGTATACGGAGTCAGGGCCCTGAGACGGAGAGGTGGGGGATTCCAGGGTGTGGGCCCCGGTGGAGGCTGTTTCTGTGCACCCCTCTCTGCCTCTGTGGGGTCAGCAGAGCTCAGGCTAGGTGTCCTCAGGGCTAAGGGCAGGTGCAGAGCTTAGGGTTCCTCAGCCCCATTCTGCAGGACTCCCCATCCAGTCACAGCCTGCATGGGACAGCGTGGCCATCTGGTCATCTGACCCCTGGGATGGGTCTCTTTGAGAGCTGGCTGGGGTGTCTCCACACCTCCCTGGTCTCCGTGTCCTATCCAGAAAGTGAAGCATTGGCTAAAGGACCCTCTCAGCTCTGCCCTGGACAGGCCGTTGACCCATGCCCTACCCGGGCCAGGACTTGCCTTCCTGTCCTTAGAACCTGACCTGTCCTTTCAGGGGCCAAACAGGACTGCACTGGGGGAATCTGGGTTGCAGATTGGGGGACCCCCACCTCACCTCTGATTCCACTTTTGGCCTCTGTCTCCCTAGGAGCCCAAGTCCTCGGGGCAGCTCATGGCTGAGTGGGGCCTGGACGATGTGGACTACCTGTTCTCGGAGGAGGACTACCACACCCTAACCAACTACAAGGCCTTCAGCCAGTTCCTCCGGTGGGTTGGGGTCCAGGATGCTGCAGCTGGGCATCTGTGGGTCTGTCCCCTGGGGGGCAACCAAGTCAGAGGTTGGGACAGAGAGKCAGAGCCCAGGATGAGGGCTGTCAGGCTAACCACTGACCTGCAGGGCTGGCAGGGGAGGGTCCTGTCCCTCCCCTTCATTTTAACAGGTGGTCAGGCCTCCCCTGGCTGGCCTGCCCTGGGTCCTCCTGTCTCTTCCTCTTGGGTGCCACCTGCTGCAGCGCCCTCTGTCCTCTCAGATCTTGCGGGGTCTACACACTGGTTAGCCACTCACCCGCTGTGAAGGAGGGAACAGGAGTGTCTGGGGTGGACTCTTGTCTTGGCTTTGCGCTTCCCTGTCCTCCTTTCTACCTGGTTTCGCTAGCCAGGGAACATGGGGCTGCTGCTGGAGGCTGCGGGGCTGGGAGAAGGGACGGCTCTGCCCTCATGTCCTGGCTGTTTCTCCCAACACAGGCCGCTCATTGCCAAGAGGAACCCGAAGATCCCCATGTCCAAAATGATGACGGTCCTAGGTGCCAAGTGGCGGGAATTCAGTGCCAATAACCCTTTCAAGGGCAGCTCTGCGGCAGCAGCTGCGGCGGCTGTGGCCGCAGCCGTAGAGACGGTTACCATCGCCCCGCCACTGGCCATCAGCCCCCAGCAGGTGCCCCAGCCAGTGCCCATCCGCAAGGCTAAGACCAAAGAGGGCAAGGGTAAGACTGCAGGTGGGGGGACTCACGCCCTGCTGGGCACCTGGGCACTCCTTACCAGGGGGTTTGGGCTGACCCGCCCTTTCTCTGTGGCCATGTGGCATCGAGCTTGGTCCTGTCTACCTGTGGGGTAGGGAGGAACGGGAATGATGGGCACAGAGCTTTGGAGGTAGTGCCTGGCCATCCAGCAGGCCCCTCTACCTGGGATGGTGGGAAGGAGGGAGGCCCGAGTGTCCTGGGCTTCTGGGAGTTGGCAGGCTGGAGTTGGAGGTGGCCAGGGTTAGCCTGTTGACCTCTCCTCTGGGCGCCACTGTGGCATAGTCCTTGTCCAGGCCTGCGGGGTAGCTAGAGGATCATTTCCCTGCCCCTTCTGGCTTTAGGATCCAGGGAGGTGCAGGAGTTGGGAGTAAGGGGCTGGTATGGTCAGACTGGAGTCCAGGAAGGAGGTCCAGATCCAGTCTGACTCAGGGCTAGGGGTTGTGGACAGAAGAGGGCAGCAGGGCCCTGTGAGACTTGAAGTGCCCCAGGGAGCATTCTGGGTGGAGGTTTCTGGCTTCCTGGGTTTGGGGACATGGGTCTCCCAGGGTGCTCCCTAGTGCCATCTCCAGTAACTCAGCCTTCCTGGATGCTGCTTTGGTTTTTGATGGGGGTGGGGGTTGAGGAGATCTGRGGACCCTGGTTTTCAGCCCCAAGGAGATTGGTAGCTGGGTGAGGTGGTGTACTCCTGTCATCTCAGTGACTTGAGAGGCTGAGACAGGAGGATCACAAGTTTGAGGTCAGCCTCAGCAAGTTAACAAGGCTCCCAGCAACTTAGAGAAGACTCTGTCACAAAATTAAATAAATAAGTGAATAAAAAGGGCTGGCTCTGTGGTAAAGCACCCCTGGGTTAAATCCAAGGGATATATTAAAAAAGCCGCATTGGTTTCTGGGACAAGGCCGTGGTGCCGTGCCTGGCACCCCTTTGCTGGGTCTTGGAGGGGGCCTGCTAGGCAAGTCTGACCCTGCACCTTATCCTGCCTGACCCTTGTCACCAGGACCTCAGGAAGGGCCTGGCCTATCCACCACCTGCCCATCCACTTATTTCCTCTGGGCTCCAGCTGCCCAGCTATTGATTCTTGAGCCGCTGCTTCCCAGCTGAGCTGTTGAAGTAGATTCTTTGTAGCATCACAGAGGGAGCAGTGGGACTCCCAGTCCTGTCCCCAGTGTGGCCAGAAGAGGGCCTCGGCGAAAGCCACCTGGGTGTGAATCCCGCCGCTGGACCTCTCCTCCTCTGCTTCTCCTGKCAGTGGGTTGGGCCACTGGGGGTGGCTCACTGCCCCGTGGCTAGCTTCAACTTGCCGGCCTTTCCCTGGGGGGCAGCTGTGGGAGGGGCCTGCCCTGCCTGCTTGTAGGAAGGGCTTTTGGCCTCAGGACGCAGCTCTGGGGGCCCAAGCATGGACCACAGGCGGGTGGGTGTGCCTTTGGTGGCTCTGCTGAGGCGGATGGGGGCTTCCTTGGCTGGGGTGGGGACAGTGTAGGGGCAGGTGCCCTTGGCAGAGGGCCAGTGCTTTGGCCTGGCAGACAAACGTGGGTCAGGTCAGTCTCTGGCTTTCCCTTTCCCTGCTGTGTGACTCAAGCAGGGACTCCCTGTGTCCCCAGCCCTCATGCCTCATCTGAAAAGGGAGATGGTAAAACCTCATTGGGTCCCCTCATGAAGTGGCAGTTGGTGATCATGACCCTTGTTCTCAGGGCCTGGAGTGAGGAAGAAGATTAAAGGCTCCAAAGACGGGAAGAAGAAGGGCAAGGGGAAGAAGGTGGCTGGGCTCAAGTTCCGCTTTGGGGGGATTGGTGGCAAGAGGAAGAGGGGCTCTTCGGTGAGTGTGTATGTGAGCATGCATACTAAGTGTGTGCGTGTGTGCGTGTGCATGCAGATGTGTGAATGTGTGTATGTGCATGTGTGCTGGGGAGGGCCCGGGGGACCGAGGACAGTGGGCTTTCCTTTCATTCTCCTAAGCTGGCTGGGGGCTGGGGGCTGGGCCCCCTCCCCTTCATTCTCCCTGCATGCCTGCTGGGCTTTCCCTGTGGCTCTGGTGGGGTAGAGGCTGGATCTTTCCAAGGCCCCTCTAGCTTGGGCTCTGGGCAGGAACTTTCCCCAGCCCACATTCTCTGGCTCCTGCTGCCACAGCTGCGGCTCCATCCAGGTAGCAGGGTACACTGGGAGGGTGGGGCCCGGGGAGGTGGTATGTAGGACCAGGCTAGTTGGAGCCCTGGTTATCCCTCCACCCCCAGGCCCAGCTCTGACCCTTCTCTGTGTGTGGAGGGTTTTTCCCCTCCCCTCAGCCCTGCAAGGTGAGAGGAAGTTGGAAGCTGTTGAGTTTAGCTGCTCTGAAGGGGAATATGGAGCAGAAGGGATGGCCCACCCCAGACCTGGTGGTCCAGGTCAGCTTAGCCAACACTTGATGAGCACCTGCTGTGTCCAGCAGCACATCTAGGGAGAGAGCGTGCAGACAGGCCACGCCACACCTGGCTCAGCACTGGCCTGTGGGTTCGGCCAAGGAGAGGCCTGGGGAGACTCCTTGGGTGGGGGTTCCTTAGGTCTGCCCCTTGCAGGCAGTTTGGCAGGATGGAGGGCAGGGCCTGGGGAGTGGTGTGGAGGTGCAGATGTGGAAGTGCCTGGGGGCTGGAGAGCAGGGCTCAGTGGGTGGGGGGACCTCAGGCTGGGCCAGTGGGCTGGGCTATGGCATGAGGCTTCTCTCTGGATGTGGGGGAAGTGAACCCCAGGGAGCAGTCTCCAAAGCCTCCCCTGGCCCTGCATGGCCTCACCCCACCCATCCAGGCAAGCAAAGACCTTGGATGAGCCCTGGGTATCCCTGGCTCAGAGGCCCCCTCCCTTCCTCTGCAGAGTGAGGAAGATGAGCGGGAGGAGTCGGACTTGGATAGTGCCAGCATCCACAGCTCCTCCGTGCGCTCTGAGTGCTCTGCAGCTCTGGGCAAGAAGAGCAAAAGGCGGCGCAAGAAGAGGAGGAGTGAGTGGGGCTTCCTGTTGCAGGGCTGCCAGGCCCTCCTGGTAGATATGGGGGCATTGCCAACACTTGATGAGCACCTGCTGTGTCCAGCAGCAGATCTAGGGAGAGAGCGTGCAGACAGTCCCTGGGGACGTGGGGAGGCATCCTCAGGCCTCAGCCTCCCCTGGTCTTGGCCAGGAAGGTGCTCTGTTGTTCCTCAACTGCCCTGGTCTCTTCTATCACAAGAGAGGGGTGTCCTGAGGAAGAAGTAGGACCCTGGGTGTGAGCCACCAAGGGTCTGCGCTGGCAGGTAGGGCTGGAGAAACTCATCCACTGGCCACCCTGTCACCCACCCCTTTCCCCACCCACCAACACCCCTTCATCCTCTCACCCCCTAGTTTCATCCCTCTGTCCCCTTTCCTCCCTCTCTTTTATCTTTCTGTCCATCCATTTTTCTGTTCCTCCATCCACCTTTCCCTCCTTTTCCTTATATCTATCTTCCATCCATCTCCTCTCTTTTCCTACTTAAGCCACCCCCAGCATTTGTTCACCCCATAGGTCCCCCAACCCCCCCATCCCCCACCCCCCCCACCTGTCCATCCTGTCCACACACTGACCAGTCATCCACCCAGCATCTATTAAGCACCTACTGAATATCTGTCAGGCAAGGGTGATGGAGATGGTTATGCATCACTAGGGGGACGGCCCCTCCACTGCTGCCTTTTCCCCCTCTCCAGTTGACGATGGTGATGGCTATGAGACGGACCACCAGGACTACTGCGAGGTGTGCCAGCAGGGGGGGGAGATCATCCTGTGTGACACCTGCCCGCGGGCCTACCACCTCGTCTGCCTCGACCCCGAGCTGGAGAAGGCTCCCGAGGGCAAGTGGAGCTGCCCGCACTGCGTAAGCCCCGGTGGAGGCGGCCACAGGGGAGGGCAGGGACGGCACCTGGCTCCCTGGACCCGGTGCCATCACCCGCACCCGTGGTGGGGAGTCGGGCCKGGAGTTGGGGGACCCGTCCCAAGGTGCCTCCACCTGGACACCCCTCCAGGAGAAGGAGGGCATCCAGTGGGAGCCGAAGGATGACGACGAGGAGGAGGAGGAGGGCGGCTGTGAGGAGGAGGAGGACGACCACATGGAGTTCTGCCGGGTGTGCAAGGACGGCGGCGAGCTGCTGTGCTGCGACGCCTGCCCCTCCTCCTACCACCTGCACTGCCTCAACCCGCCGCTGCCGGAGATCCCAAACGGTGAATGGCTCTGCCCGCGCTGTACTGTGAGTGTTACGCCGCCCCGCCCGCCCCGCCCACCCTGCTCKAGGCCCCGCCCACCGTGCTCGAGGCCCCGCCCCCGGGCCTGTGTGGCTTCTGAATGCCCTTTCTTAGCAGCTACCCGTCAGCAAGCGTTTACTCTGCCCCAAGTTTGGCACAGACCTCATTCCCTTAGCCTTACTGAGCGTTCAAGAGCCAGGCTTTTGTTATTCCCATTTTTAGATGAGAAAATTGAGGCTCAGGAAAGGAAGTGAAGTGACTTAGGGCCACACAGCTGCAGAACTGTCCACTTAGACCCAGATCTTTRGAGCCACCCTGGCCCTGGCTCTGTCCCAAGACTGGGGTAATGGGACGCTTGAATCCCKGTTTCTGCAGGGAGGTGCCCCTCAGTGACTATAGGCTTGTGAAGGCCTTGTGCTCTGAGTTGGCCCCCACTACCCTGCCACCCAAGTGATGGACCCCCGTGCCCTGTGGTCCTGCCTGTGCTGTGGCTAGCCCTGGCCACTGTGTACCTGGGCTGGTGTTGTGTCTGTGCATGTGTGTCTGTGTTGCATAGGAGCCTGGGAGCCCTGTTGGACAGGTGYAGCCTTCTTAGCTGTTCTGCAAAACCCCCTGTGATGAGAGGTGRCAGGAGCTTAGTTCTGTCCAGGTCCTTCCCTGTAGGGTAGGGATGGAGGTGGGTCAGGGTGGGGCAAGGAGGTGTCCCATCTACTGACCAGAGCCAGTGGAGGAGGCTGGTCCTACCTGACTCCCCGTCTCCTCTCCTCCTCTGCTCCTTGGCGTTTGCTCTCACTAGGCTAAAGCAAGGCCGCCTGTGGGGCTTTGTGGMATGCAGTGTATACCTGAAAGCCTTCCTGTGTGGTTTGGCACCACAGTAGTCCTAGAYGTGGAGGAAGGTGAGGCCCTATTTTGAAGATGAGAAAACAGACTCAGGGCTGTACCTAACCCCAGGTGGCTTGACAAAGATATGTGGACAGGTGGTGGCAGGGGTGGGACCTGCCCCCTCCAGCAGAGCTGTCTCTTGACATGCACAATCTCTGCCCCAGCCCAGCTGTGGCTCAGAACYGCCTCCTGCAAGGGCCAGGGCTGCTCAGAGCCCTGTCAGGGTAGCATGCTCAGTGCACAGGTGGTGGATCTGCGGCCCCTGCATTTATCACTTCTGCCAGTCAGCAATTCCCTGGAGCCCAGSGTCCATCAGGACCCCAGTAGGTTTCTGGGCTGATGGAGACTGGGTTTCTGAGCCAGCCAGCTCAGATACACAGTGCCTGGATGGTTGCAGCCCMGCCTGGGGTGAGGCAGGGGACAGAGCTGCACTGTCCTTCAGTGCCAGGCAGGAGCTTGTGCCCCACAGGTGCTTGTGGTCAGGATATGATGTGGCATGTTTTCAGGTGGGTTTAGGCAGGGAATGGGCAGTGGGAGGACCCATAAGTGGGGGAACGSTGAGTCTTGGGCTCTGCTCCCCGCTCCGCTGTTCCTGGCTGAGTGGGCCACGTTTTCTCCATCTGTCCTGTGTGTATGGCCATCTCCTCACCTGGCTCAGGTTTTCCAGGTGTGAGGAAGCTCACAGTCAAGTGCAAAGGACGCACATGGACTCAGTGTTGCCCATCTCCTGCAGGCACAGCATGTGCTGGTTCCTGTGGACAGGGGTGGGTGCCKTGGAGTCACTGTGGTATTCCTCTGACTTGGGGACTCTGCATCTGGTTGGAGGGAGCCTGTGTGACAGCTGATGTTGTGGGAGCCCTGGGGTGTAGCCCTGTGCCTAAGCCCTGAACTTGGGGACCCTCTTGTGTCCACAGTGTCCCCCACTGAAGGGCAAAGTCCAGCGGATCCTACACTGGAGGTGGACAGAGCCCCCGGCTCCCTTCACGGTGGGGCTGCCAGGACCCGATGTGGAGCCGGGAATGCCCCCACCCAAGCCCCTGGAGGGTATCCCCGAGAGAGAGTTCTTTGTCAAGTGGGCTGGGCTCTCCTACTGGCACTGCTCCTGGGTGAAGGAGCTACAGGTGAGGCTCGTGGGCAGGTGTGGCTGTGCTAGGCATGGCCTGGTGTGAGACTCTTGGCCCTYCTGGATGATGAGGAAGGGGCTGACACACAGTGCCCACCCACTGGGGGAAGGGCATTGCTGGGAGTGGGCAGCTGAGGGGGAGGGTCGTCCTGCCTGGATCAGGGCTGGGGGTAGGGAGCTGGGTGAGGGACACAGAGACACAGCCCACCTACCTCTGGTGACTGCCGGGCTCTGTGAGCAGCTGGAGCTCTACCACACGGTGATGTATCGCAACTACCAAAGAAAGAATGACATGGATGAGCCGCCACCCTTTGACTATGGCTCTGGGGATGAGGACGGCAAGAGCGAGAAGAGGAAGAACAAGGACCCTCTGTACGCCAAGATGGAGGAACGCTTTTACCGCTACGGTATCAAGCCCGAGTGGATGATGATCCATCGCATCCTGAACCACAGGTGTGTGCCCCGGGTGGTGACAGCCCTGAGCCTCACTGGAGGCGGACACCTGTGGAGCCGGGACCAGTGGTCCATTCACTCTGTAAGAYGGGCACAGGGCTGGGAGCCTGGAGCCTTTGGGGCTGCTGCTCAGAGCCACGTATGGGTGCAGCGGGGCAGGAGGAAGAGGCCACGGGCTCCCCGCTGCTGGTGATCTGACTGTCCAGCTAGAAGGGCCCTCTGCCCAGGACACACTTGTATGTGCTTATAGAGGACAGTGGCAGAGTCATATGGAGAAAAGAGGAACTTGACAACCAGCCTGTAAACCTTACACAGAGCGGAAACGGGGTYGGGGAGCCTCGCATTCCCAGGATCCTGCTGAGTCAGCTGGGTGCCCACAGGAGGGTTTTGAGGACCAGAAAGGCTGGGGTGCAGGGGTTTAGCATTCTCCACGTTTATCACAGCAGCCAACATCGGGCAGTGTGGGGGACCAGCAAGGATAAGTCAGTGTCCCAAGCCTCACWACAGGTGGCAGAGCAGAGGGAACAGGTGCATCTGGGGGTAGGATTACTCTCTTAGCCACTGTGCTAACCTYCGTGCCCCTGTGGCAGCTTAGTTGAGCCGTCTGGGAATTCTCCAGGTGACTTGGTGACCGTAGGCTGCAGGAGGCCAGGACGAGGAGGCCGAGGGTTCTGAGAGAACATTTGACTTCCATGTGGTGGGCAGTGGCAGCACCTGCTGATTCTCTAGCTCAGGTGCTAGGAAGCAGATGGTGGCCACCAGGGGGCCTTGGAGGGGGACCCAGCTTTTGGAGTACTGTACTCCCTGCTTGCGCCCTGAACTTGTGGCTCTGCCCTTGAGGGGCTCAGGATCYGGTGGCTGTTCCTGCCCTGCGTGCCTTGGGGAGTGTCTTGATCGTCAGTTGCTGGGTGCTCCGTGCTCCATTTCCACCCCAGCTCCCCATTTTTCTGGGATTCATGGTTGTGGGCTCCCTGTGCCTGTCTGTCTTATGAAGTGGGCTGCTGTCAGGCTGAAGGAGCTTGCAGAGGCCTTGCTGGGGTGGCCKTCAGGGCGGAGGGGCTGTGCAACTTGAAAAGGCTCCTCCCTTTGACTGTGAAGTGCCCCCGCCCGTCCCCAGACTTCACTGAGAGTGGCCCTTTCTGAGGGTCAGTATCTAGAGAAGCCTGAGCCCCACAGCGTCTACCTTTGTTAAATTGCATGTTAAAAGCAGTTTTCCTCTGTGCTTCTAACGTGGAACAGGTAACTCTCCCCTGGACTTATTCCCTGGAGTCCATGTACCAACCAATTATTTGCTGAAAAAGAATCCACTGGTTTCCATGGTGACTGGGATTGGTCTGGCTTCTTGATGGTGTCCAGGCCAGCTGCAGCACTGCTCATCCACCTGTTGGCCTGGCCACTGCCCTTTAGGGGTGCATGGCCCCCCAGCCCAGCTGTGTTTCCTTGGCCTGGTCACCTGCTCTACTCGGGTGGAAGTTCCTGAGGATCCTCCTGTTGGCCAGAAACAATCTGTGTGCTTCTGGGCTTGTGCATCAGGTCCAGTGCCCCTGGGGCTCTTTGGAAGAGGCCATCCCACCTGTGGGAATTGCATCTTTGCCTGCTTTTTAGAGAAAGGCCCCTCACCTGGGATGGATACTGTCCTTTTATTTTTCCCCCCAATTTTAAATACAGTTTTATTTAAGACATTGCATTTTCCAGTCCTTTGGGTTTTTAAAGTTAGAAAAGGGACAAGACAGAGGAGAGAACTTTCTGTAACAGAGATTCTGAGTTCCTGTGTCCAGCCTGTGACTGGATGTGACTCATCCCTGCAGCAGAGGCTGGAAAGGACTCTGGATGCTGGTCCTGACCCCTCAGTGACCCTTTCTCTTCCAGTCTGTCACTTATCAGAGACCCTCTTCTATTGTGTGTCCTTGGGCAAGCTGCTGTACCTCTCTGGAGCCACTGCCCTGGCACCCTCCTCCTGGGTGGGCCCAGAATCYCAGGGGACCACTAGCACAAGTGGTTGTGCATCACGTGAGGCCCCCACAGTGGCCACTGCCTGGAGTGGCTGCCCCTCCCTCACCACCTATTTGCTGTGTTGCAGCTTTGACAAAAAGGGGGATGTCCACTACCTGATCAAGTGGAAAGACCTGCCCTATGACCAGTGCACCTGGGAGATTGATGACATCGACATCCCCTACTATGACAACCTGAAGCAGGCCTACTGGGGCCACAGGTGGGCTGCGGGATCCAGCCACCAGGTGCGGGCCCCTGGGTCCCCCTCCTGACTTGAACTCAGCTCTCCTGCACCCACGCTCTTTCCCAGGGAGCTGATGCTGGGAGAGGACGCCAGACTGCCCAAGCGGCTGATCAAGAAGGGCAAGAAGCTGAAGGATGATAAGCAGGAGAAGCCGCCAGACACGCCCATTGTGGACGTGAGTTGAGACTTGGGCAGCAGGGTAGGATGGCCAGGGCTCCCTGGCCCAGGCTTGTCTGTGGAGGAGGGCGCGTTCTCGGGACCCTCATGTGCTGGGACTCACCCACATGCCCACAGCCTGGCAGCTGGCGTGCCAGTTACACACCATTCCTACCTGCSAGGCATGCTGGCCAGTGCATTCAGCAGAGCTCCCTGGGGTGTCTAACAGTGCCTGGCCCTTGGGTGGCACTGGGGGGTTAATGAGCCCTGTTCCAGAAGCATTTTCTCCCAGGGCCCTGGGCAGGGACACACAGCAGGGTGTCAGCTGTGTGGGAGAGGCAGTGGGTCTAGTCCCTCAGGAGAACTTTCATCAGAGAGGCGCCTGCAGCCACAGCACGAAGGGCCCAGGTGATGTCCTGGGCCAAGTGGAGGTGGTGGTTCTGGCAGCCGTTGAGAGTCCCCAGATCCACGTTCATTCTGTCACTCACCCAACAGTAGGGACAAGTGCCCCAGCGTCAGAGGCACTGTGTGGGGCATCTGGGAAGCAGGGAGCAGGATTTGGGGGGGGGTCATGACAACCTGGGTCACAGATAGAGAATGCAACAATCAGATGCCCCTGGAAGGAGAAGTACAGGGCCAGCTGGGGAGGACCTGTGGCAGCAGATAGGCCAGGGAGGGAGTCGGCCTTCCAGCTGAGGCCTGAGGARGGGCTGGGGCGGCAGGGAGGAGCAGGAGGGTTCCAGGGAGGAGCAGCTGCCCGTGCAGAGCCTGGAGGGTGGACCCTGTGGCCCAGGACTCAGCGTGTCTCCCTTCCCCACAGCCCACGGTCAAGTTCGACAAGCAGCCGTGGTACATCGACTCCACAGGTGGCACGCTGCACCCCTACCAGCTGGAGGGCCTCAACTGGCTGCGCTTCTCCTGGGCACAGGGCACTGACACCATCCTGGCCGACGAGATGGGCCTGGGCAAGACAGTGCAGACCATCGTGTTCCTGTACTCCTTGTACAAAGAGGTGGGCATGCTGGCAGGTGGGTGGGCAGAGGCTGGCGCCAGCTCTGGGCAGACAGATTCACTGCCTCGGTCTCTCTTGGCAGGGCCACTCCAAGGGGCCCTACCTGGTCAGTGCGCCCCTGTCGACCATCATCAACTGGGAACGTGAGTTCGAGATGTGGGCACCCGACTTCTACGTGGTCACCTACACGGGGGACAAGGAGAGCCGCTCTGTGATCCGCGAGAACGAGTTTTCCTTTGAGGATAATGCCATTCGGAGTGGGAAGAAAGTGTTCCGCATGAAGGTGAGCGTCCCTGTCCCCGGAAGGTGCCTGGTCTCCCAGGGGCCCAGACGCCCTGCAGTGTGCAGTGCCCCTTCCCTGCCCCGTGGAGGTGAGGTGCAGGCTGGCACAGGGCTGCTGCAGAGGAGACTTCAGGCTGGCACCAGCCTCTTAAACAGAGGTGCTGGCCTCCCTGGGAAGACTCTAGGGGAGGATCCGCCTTCCTGCTGCTTCCTGCCTCTGGTGGCATCCCTGGYTTAGGGCTGCATCCCTCGTCCCTCGTCTTGGTCGGGTCACCTGGTTTTCTCCCCTTGGTGTCTGACTTCTGTTTTCTTACAAAGACACCAATCACAGTGCTCACACARCCACCCGATCCAGCATGACCTCAACTAACTGTATCTGCAAAGACCCGTTTGCAAGAAAGCTTCTAGGTGGACTGGAGTTTAGGGAAGACGTTGTTCAACCCTGTACACTATCGGTGTACCTCTGGCAAGTCACTGGGTCTCTCTGTGTCTTAGAGTCTTCTCAGAAAAATGGGGCTAACAGACCCCTTTACACAGCTGTTGGGAGGGTCATGGTTAGGAAAAGCTGGGCAGGGCCTCCTGACKTCATACTGCTCACCCCCAGGGGGTTGGTCTTAGGGCAGGCGCTGAGCCAACAGCTCCTGTTAGGAGGAGGGGGCCTAGATTCTGCATTCGATTTACTAGGACTTTTATTTATTTATTTTGCAGTGCTGGGGATTGAACCCAGGGGATCGAACCCAGGGCCTGGCCCTTGCTAGGCAAGTGCTATACCGCTGAGCTAAATCCCCAGTGAGATTCTGCATTTGAAACAAAGTCACACGGACACCCCAACTTCTGGTACCTTGGCCACACATTGAGCAGAGAAGGTGGTGCCTCAGCAGGCCCCAGCTGAACATCAGCACTCACGTTAGCTCCTGTGTTGGGGGCCGGCAGTGTCCCYCTCCAGAAAGTGCTGTCTTGGCTTCGTGGACAGTCTCTGAGCAGCCGTTCAGTTTCCTAGGAGAGGCTCAGAAACTGTCTGCTGAAGGAACAACAACTGGATCAGTGATCCCAAGGTGGCTTTTTAGACAGATGAGCCTATGAGCCTGGGGGGGGGGTCACAAAGAATCCCCCCCTTAGCTCCCACTGGGKTCTGGCTCTGGCTGAGCACTTCAAAATCTTCACTCCCTTATTTATCATTTTATATATTTTTTTATTTTCTGTACTTATGATTTTATATATTTTTCAACCAGAGATTGAACCCAGGGGCGCTTAACCCCTGAGCCACATCTCCAGYCCATTTTATTTTTTATTTTGAAACAGGTTCTCAATAAGTTGTCTAGGGCCTTACTAAGTTGCTGAGGCTGGCCTTAAACATGTGATTCTCCTGCCTCAGCCTCCTGAGCCGCTGGGATTGCAGGCATGGCCACTGCCCTCAGCTCCTCCCTTATTCTATTAAAAAATCGTGGTAAAATGCACATACATTTACCATTTTAACCATTTAAGAGGACATACTCAGGAGGGTTAAGGATGTTCACGTCATCCTGAAACCCATCTCCAGAGCCCTTTCCACCTGGCAGAAGGGAAGCTGTCTCCATTGAACACCGACGCCCCATCCGACACCTGCCAGCCCCCGGCAGCCACCTCCTGTGTTCTGTGTCTGAGACTCTGGCTCCTCCAGGAGCGTGGGGCCGGTGCAGTCGCACAGCGTGACTCCTTAGCAGAAGGCCTTCAGGGTTCATCCACAGTGAGGCCTGGGTCAGAGTGGCCACCTGCTTTCAGKCTGAGTGCTCCCCACCGGGTGGATGGACTGTGTTTTATTTCATCTGCGGACGGGCCCTTGGGCTGCTTCTCCGCCTGGCCGTCGGGAACAGTGCTGAGGACGTGGGTTGTGCCGCCGTCTCTCCGTCTCCGTCCACGCCTCCCTTGGGGGTGCGCTCAGGGCAGGGTTGCAGGACCACGGGGTCATTCTGTTTTTGACTTTGTGAGGAACAGAGTGAGCTCTCCCAGTCCTTGTGGCTGTCCTCACTGACCTGAGTGAGGGGGCTGGGGCTGGTACCAAGCCTGTGGCCAGCTTTCCCTCTGCCCCTCTCTGATCCCCTCACACGGGCGCTTGTCACTGGGAGAGACGGGTGTGGGGCCTGGTGCAGGGGGAGAGGGCAGGGCGCTCTGTTCAAATGCAGGAGAGCTGCTTCTTCCTTTCTTCATGGCTTGTCTGACCCGCCGTTCTGTGTTTTAGGCATTTCATGTCCCCTTCCCTGGGTCTGGAGATAGAGAGGCTCAAGGCACCGGGGTCCGCCCTGTAACTTGGGGCATAGAATGTGCACCTAGCCCCCTCCCCACCAGCATTTAGGCCCAAGCAAAGTGTGACAGTGGTCACCGAGCAGAGGCAGGGGAGCAGAGACCTGTCCCACAAATGTGGGATCTCAAATGAGGCTTCCGGCTCCAGCCCATGTCCCACCATCCCACAGGACTTTTTTTTTACAAGTTACAAACTCAATATTAAAACGATTCAGAATTTCACATCAGCAAATACAAGGCAGGAAACCCCCAGTGTGGAGTCTCTTTCTTCTGTTTGAGCCCTGACTCTGCCATTTGTTACCTGGGAGAGTTCTCCAGCCCGAGGTCCCGTGAACTTTAAGTAGGGACAATGACAGTTCAGCTCATAGAGTACTGAGGGTAAGATGAGAGCGAGGAAGTGGCGCAGGGCTGGCCGCACACCACCCGAGCAGTGAGCAGCAGCTCTCCTGTTTCAGTAACAGTCATCCCCGCACCAACATCCACGGGGTCCCTGGACTGTTCTGGGACCCACAGGTCACCAGAATCCCCAGATGCTCAAGTCCCTTGTATAAAATATGACGTATGCCCACCCTCCCATACACGCTGTCCCCTCTGGCTTCTTATGGTGCTAACTTACAAGACACTTATGACTTTTGCTTACGGGTGAGTGGCGTTTGGATTGTTCAGGGCATAACAGCAAGGATAATGGCAGGTGCGGGATTTCTCCTAAATACTTTCCACCCAAGGTTGGCTGCATCTGTCKGTGTGAAACGCCGGTACGGAGGGGAAACTGGGTTGAGTTTTCTTTGTCTGCCGCACTCCCCTCTTCTGGGCTCTGTCCTCTGGGCCTCAGCTGCCTCCCTCTGTCTCCCCTCCTGTCCTGGGCTGGCCAGGCTCCGGAGCTCCAGGATTCCATCCCCCTGACTCTGCCTTGCAGATCGGTCGGCTCAGCCCCCAGCTGCCTCCTCCCCAATGTTCCTCTTCCCTGCAGAAGGAAGTGCAGATCAAGTTCCACGTCCTCCTCACCTCCTACGAGCTCATCACCATCGACCAGGCCATCCTGGGCTCCATCGAGTGGGCCTGCCTCGTGGTGGACGAGGCCCACCGGCTCAAGAACAACCAGTCCAAGGTAGGCAGTGCTGGCCATGCGGCTGGGGGCCACTCAGATGGGGGTCACCTTGTGCTCCCATGACCGCCCCTCTGCTCCCCGCAGTTTTTCAGGGTCTTGAACAGCTACAAGATCGATTACAAGCTGCTGCTGACGGGGACGCCCCTTCAGAACAACCTGGAGGAGCTCTTCCATCTCCTCAACTTCCTGACTCCAGAGAGGTTCAAGTGCGTCCCCTGCGCCTGGCCGGTGGGGTGGAGGTGCTTGGGGCACAGTGAGGACGTGATCAACGTCCTGGGGCAGGAGGGGCGTGGCACGGGCTCTGCCGTGCTTGGTGGATCCCAACTGCTGCTAAGCCTGCGATCTCCTCCCAGCTCTGCCCTGGAAGGCCCTCCCCAGGGCACCTTCTGGGCTCCTGTCTGTGTCCCCTGCCCTCTTCCCCACCTTCAGGTGACCCACGTGAGCAACAGTGATGGGAGGCAGAGGCCAGGGTGGGGGAGGGTGGAGATGGAACCTGCTTCCCCAGTCTCCTTGTTACCCACCACTTTCCTGCTCAGAATGAGGGGCTCAGGGTGAGGASGGCTGACTTTGGAATTAGGAGGGGTTGAGCCAGGAGCAGGTTTTGGCCTCAGTCGCTGGTTTGTCGTCTGGTTGACAGACCTGGAGAGCTCCCACCCAGGATGCCTCAAGGATGGAAAGATCCTGTGTGGCAGAAAGAGAGGGCTGTGGTGTGTGGGGTGACACAGGCTTAGGCTGATGGCTTCTTAGGGCAGTGCCTGGGCCCCCTGTCCTCCGCCCTGTGCTGCCTGGGCTCTCTGCCCCGGCCCCTTTACCCTAACCCCGAGTTCCTCTGCAGAGGCCCGTGTGTCCTGGGCCTCTGCTGCTGGCCCTCAGCCCTGTCTGTGTTGCAGCAACCTGGAGGGTTTCCTGGAGGAGTTTGCCGACATCTCCAAGGAGGACCAGATCAAGAAGCTGCACGACCTGCTGGGGCCCCACATGCTCCGGCGGCTCAAGGCCGACGTTTTCAAGAACATGCCGGCCAAGACGGAGCTGATTGTCCGCGTGGAGCTGAGCCAGATGCAGAAGTGCGTGGCCGGGCTCAGCCACCTGGGAGTCACCTGCCTCTGCCCCGCCCGAAGGCCCCAAGCTGGCCTTCCTGGGCCCCTCCCTGGGATGGTGGAGGCCTGGGCTCACCTTCGCCGGCCCTTCCTTCTTGGGGCTCTTCTCAGAGCGCCTTGCCTGTGTCCATTGCAGGAAGTACTACAAGTTCATCCTCACGCGGAACTTCGAGGCGCTGAACTCCAAGGGGGGCGGGAACCAGGTGTCCCTGCTCAACATCATGATGGACCTGAAGAAGTGCTGCAACCACCCCTACCTCTTCCCTGTGGCTGCAGTGGTAGGTGCCTGCGCCCGGGCCTTGGGCCCTTGGGCCCTCAGCTCCCCCAAGGACCTGGAGGTGGCCTGGGTCCCCTTCATGCCAGAAGTTCTGAAACCTGCCTTTGTCCACTGCCTGGCTCAGTCTTCTCCTTCCCTCGGGCCCTCCCCATGATGCATAGAGTCAAGGGGCCACCAGGTCACCCCAAAGACCCCTCCATTCCTAGTGCCAGGGCTCCAGGGCAGGATTCGAGGGCTGTGCCCAGTCCCTAAGGGAGTTTGCCACCGGCTCCCAGGGGGAGTCCAGCAGCCGTGGGTGAGATGCTCATCCCTGGAACCATGTATTTCAACCCCAGCACTATGTCCTCAGGAAAGTTAAAGCTCCTCTCTGAGCCCCGACATCTTCCTCTGTAAAATAGGGACAGGAGCAGTGTCTACCTGGAAGAGATCTGCTAGGGTYGGAGGAGCACGTGCAGGTGGCACACCCTTGCAGAGAGCTCGGCGCCTGGCGATCCCGGTGAACGTCAGCCTTCACCACCCCAGTATCCCTGCCATTGGGTTCTAGTTTGAACCCTCTGCAGTTCCTCCTCCTTGTCCAACTCTGCTGAGCTGGACAGGGATGTCTGTCCTGGGTGTCCCAGCCTAGGGCAGCCTGAGGTCCTTGTTGTGAGACTCAGGTGGCAGAGTATTTTGTGGGACTTAACTTTCTGATTAACCTGCCCAGCTGGGGTCAGAGGGTCRCTCTGCTGGATGTACCCAGTGAATGCAGGGACCAGGCCAAGTTCCTGCTAGAGGAAGGCTGGCGTGGCTTCACCCTCTCTTGGCTTCCTGACATCTCAGGTCTCAGGTGCCAACTAGGGAGCAAGACCAAGGACAGGGCTGGCAGGTCTGTGCCCCACCTGGGAACACGGTGCCCGGAGCCAGCGCCCACGTGATCCGCAGCCCATCCCGTGCTGTTGATCCAGCTCTGGTTTGGGCTTTGTGCTCAGCAGGGCAGACAGGGAGTTGGCCCATGGCTAGACCCTTATCTGTCCCCTGCAGCCTCCTGGGTGCCAAGCCAGGGAGGGATGCTCACCATGGCCCTCTTCTGCTGTGTCCCCAGGAGGCCCCTGTGTTGCCCAATGGCTCCTATGATGGCAGCTCCCTGGTGAAGTCTTCGGGGAAGCTCATGCTGCTGCAGAAGATGCTCAAGAAGTTGCGTGATGAGGGGCACCGTGTGCTGATCTTCTCTCAGGTGGGCCACCCAGGAGCCCCAGCTGACACCCTGCAGAGAGCACCCTGCCTCGGTGGCTGAGTGCCTGCCTTGCCTGTGCCCTCAGGCACTGATGCTGGTCCCTGTGGCTTGGGTATTGAGGATCATTCCCTTGTGTGCCCTGGCGGGAAGCAGCCAGTGGCTGGCTGAGGGCAGAGTTCAGGAGCCCCTCTCCCTGTAGATGACATCTGCTGTCAAGATCAGCCCCACCCTCTGCCCTGTCCCGCCTCCTCTGCTCTTCTCTCACCCCTGCAGCCAGGCCTGYCATGAGGGGGCCCTGGGGTTGGTTTGGGAGAACAGTGGGGCAGCTCCAGGCGCCCCTCTCTCCAGCGTGAGCCTGAGGTTCACTGGCAGCATTCCTGTTGGCACAGAGAGGCAGGGCTGTTCAGCCTCAGGTCGGCTCACTTTTTCCTCCATTCCTTCATTTGCGGCCACTGTCTGTCAGGCTCGGTCCTAGGCCCATGGGTATAGCGAACAATGATCTGGCTCCTCCTCTCAATCTGCCTACTTGAGAGAGGAAGAGTTTTTGAGACGGTTGCCTGAGTCTAGTCGGCTCTGTGTTGGAGGCCGGAGTGATGGGCCTGCAGGATCCTACGGTTTGACCTCCCCTGGAGGTCAGGCCCAGCCAGGCCACTGCTCACAGCCAGAGTGTGGAATCCAGCTCCTCTGCACAGAGGTCAAGCAAACACAACTGCTGCTGTCTGCAGCCCTGACCACACCCCAGGCGGGCAGTGGGCTGGAGTCCCAAGGAAGCAGGCAACCTGTGTCTGAACTCGGATCCACATTCCCCCAACACCACTGCCCACATGAGACCTCATCTGGCAGAGTCCGCCTGGGACCACGTAGAGTGGACTGTCAGAGCGCCAGAAATGTGTGCAGAGGGAGCACGACAGAGGCGGCCTCCTCCTGTCCAAGTGAGCCAGCCAACCCAGACTCCCAAACTCACAGTGGAACTGGCTGCTACGRCATCCCACAAAACCATGATTAGAATCCACATCAAAACAACGATAGAATTGCCTGAAAAAGACTTTCCAGAAACATGTTTAGGGTCCTCAAAAAAATCATGGATTAACCAACACCTATAAACAAAGAAGAATTCATTTAGGTAAAAGCAGGAGGTAAGAAAACAAGAGCACACAGATAATTCTGCAGAGGAATTTAGTCACTGAAATAAAACACTTCACCAGGCTGGGTAAATTTTTTACACCAACAAAGAGAACACTGATGAATTAGAACCCGGTACCGAGGAACTTCCTAGGATGTAGCTAGACAGAGACGAGAAAAAGAGCATGGTGGTAGCCTGTGAGGCCCCAGCAATCATCTGATAGGAGTTGGAGAAGAAAAACCAGGGAACCATGGAAAGCAAGACTTGATGAGTTTATGGACTTGGAGAAAGACATGAGGTCTCGGATCTACAGTGTGCTCTAGAGCTCCGGCAAGATCCATGTCAGTAAACCAAGCCCTCGGCACCTGGTAGGGAAACTAGCACTTCACACCCGAAGCTTACAAAGGAGAGGACCGGGACTGTCCATCAGGAGCAGGTGACAGAGAGGATGGCAAAATCTCCATGTACCGAGGGAGTGCCTGCTGGTAGTTTCATATCCAGCTGAACTATCTCAAGACGGCTGGGCAGCCAGCAGGGTTATGGGGCAGAGTGACATCAGGGAGGATATCACAGGAGGTGATATTTGAGTTCCCCAGGCAGAAAGGGGGGTGGGTTGATATTGTGGGAAGAGTCTAGTGGGGCACGTCTGTGGGGGGAGTGAGTGTTGGGCCTCAGAGCCTTGACTGCTGGCTGAGGAGCCGCGACTCCATTCTGAGGGGCATGAGCAGGGGAGGCTGCTGCTCAGGGTCATGTTTGGGGGCTGGTGTGGAGGGTGGGTTGGCTGCTGGATGGTTGGCAGCCACGTTCTCCAGAATCCTGTCTTGGGCCTGCCTGGGTCCTTTTAGTCTCCCTACTCAGTGGGCTGCCCTCTCCTCCCCCAGCCGTGGTCCTGTGGGCTCCTGGCTCCTTGGCCACTCCTCACGCACCTCTCTCCCTGTAGATGACCAAGATGCTGGACCTTCTAGAAGATTTCCTGGAATACGAGGGCTACAAATATGAGCGGATTGATGGTGGCATCACCGGGGGCCTCCGGCAAGAAGCCATCGACAGATTCAACGGTACCCACCCCACCCGAGGGTTCTGACTAGGACCCCACTTCAGCCTCCGCTCCAGGCCAGGTTCTTAGCTGGAACCCAGCTGATGTYGGGTGGACTCCGCAATGCCTGATGAAAGCTGACTAGTCCTTAGGTCATGACTGTGTTCTCTCAGGGTCCCTGGGGATTGAACCCCATGCCAGCACACRATAGGCAAGACCTCTACCACTGAGCTGCAACCCGACCTTTTTACTTATTATTATTTTTCAATTTTGAGACAGGGTTTTGATGGGTGTGCCCAGGCTGACTTTGAACTTGTGATYCTCTTAGTCTCCCGAGTAGCTGGGATTATAGGTGTGCACCGCCATGCCTGGCTTCTTAGTTTTCAATGCTAAAAGGATTTGTCCTAACGGGCCTTCTGGGGTCTGTTGGGGTTTTAGGAATCCACCTGATAACACTTACTTTGAACAGAATTAGAAAAGCACAAGATGAAAGGCAGATGGGGGAGGGAAATTTCACCTTTGTCATCAAATGAAGCTGGTACGGAGGGTCTGACTGGCACGCTGGGCCTCTACTGTGCACACCAGATAAAGCCCAGCTATTAGCAGAGCCTGCCACTGACGCACACGGAGGGCCTGGCTGCTGGCCTCTCGAGGGCTCTGCCGATATTTGTCGGCTGCTGGTTTGGTTTTTGCCCATCTGGGCTTTAGAAATTGGCTTCCTTCTCATTCTGGCTTCCTTCCTTTGGACCAGAGCTCGGAGCGCTCATTGTCTGGGCCTAAGTGGCCCCAGGTGGGCTCCTCCCRCCTCCCTGAGTGCAGGTATGGCTGCCCGTCTGTGCCGGGGTCACTGTCTTGTCCTGCTTCTTTGCCAGGGACCTGTTGCTGGGGTTTCTGCCCATGATATCTCCTCCCACCCTCTGCCTGCCATCCATCCTGCTCAGGTGGCACCATGAACCCACCCTCACCTGTTGGCCTCTCTTTCTCAGCCCCTGGGGCCCAGCAGTTCTGCTTCCTCCTCTCGACCCGGGCGGGTGGCCTGGGCATCAACCTGGCCACGGCAGACACGGTCATCATCTACGACTCAGACTGGAACCCGCACAATGACATCCAGGTCTATGGCCCCCCTGCCACCCCCATCCTTTGTACCCGCCCTGACCATGCTCCTGACTCCTCCCTAGTTCCCTAGGCCTCCCCCCGCGGTGGAGGCTTTGCCCCCACTCCTCCCTCATTGCACAGAGGAGGAAACAGACCCAAGAAGGCCGGGGGTGTGCAAGGCACAGAACAAGCTGGCTGCTAACCCTGGTTTGTCCTGTCACCCTCAGGACCAGCCCTGGCTGCCCTTGAAAGGTGGCTGGCTGTTTGTAACTTGTGCTCTGTGGTCCCATTTGCAGCCCCGTCTCCCCATGGCCCACCACCATGTGGCTCCCTTTCCAGGCAGCACACAGACCACTCTCCCCTGCACGCACCTGCRGTCACATTTTCATCCAGTCCCAGCCTGGCTGCCACATCCACACAAGGCTGGGCATTCGGGTGACTCTCTCATGGTTATGAACTCATGGGAAGCTCCCCAGCCCACGGCACCCCACCCCATACCCAGCGTCCTCGGTCRGGTCCTGGTACTGAGCTCCAGGTCTCCCCAGGCCTTCAGCCGTGCCCACCGCATTGGCCAGAACAAGAAGGTCATGATCTACCGCTTCGTGACCCGGGCCTCTGTGGAGGAGCGCATCACGCAGGTGGCCAAGCGCAAGATGATGCTCACCCACCTGGTGGTGCGTCCGGGCCTGGGCTCCAAGTCGGGGTCCATGACCAAGCAGGAGCTGGATGACATCCTCAAGTTCGGCACCGAGGAGCTCTTCAAGGACGACGTGGAGGGTGGGCCTCCCTTCCACAGGAGTCTGGTGGGGGTTCAAGGGTGAACCTGCGTGAGGAGCCCCGGTCCAGGATCCCTGCCAGTCCCACCACACACAGCCTCACTCTCCTCAGCTCCTGCCCCTGTCTCCTTCCTCAGCGGGCCAGGGTGGCATCTGTCCACTGCCCACCAACCCTGCAGCCCCTCTGTGCCACCACACCAGCGCCCTTCCTCTGCCCTCCAGGTATGATGTCGCAGGGCCAGAGGCCTGTAACGCCCATCCCTGACGTGCAGCCCTCCAAAGGGGGAGCCCTGGCTGCCAGCGCAAAGAAAAAACACGGCAGCACCCCGCCAGGTAGGGAGGCCCACTTGAGTCCAGCCCAGAGCTGCCCCCCCCAGGGAGTGGGGCTGTGGCACCTGTGCAGGTCACAGCCAGGTTTTCTCCCAACGGGTTGCTCTACTCCTTGGCCCAGTCTGGAAGAGACCAGAGGTTGGGCTTGAACACTCCCTAGGTCCCCATAATGCACTGTGTCTGCTGCTCAGGTGACAACAAGGACGTGGAGGACAGCAGTGTGATCCACTATGATGATGCGGCCATCTCCAAGCTGCTGGACCGGAACCAGGATGCCACCGACGACACGGAGCTACAGAACATGAATGAGTACCTCAGCTCCTTCAAGGTGGCGCAGTACGTGGTGCGCGAAGAGGATGGCGTGGTAAGGTCCCTGGACTGCCTCTGCCAGTAGGTCTGTGATCCTCGGCTGTGACTCTGCCCCTGCCCCGCCCCGCCCTCTAGCCTGTCCTACCCTGCCCTGTGGCCTTGTTCCACCYATCAGGCCCCGCCCCTAGCCTGTGCTCTGCCCATCAAGCTCCTCCCTCCAGCCCCAGCCCCCCCTTATCAGGCCCCGCCCTGCGGCYTTGCTCCACCCACAAGGACCTTCCCTCTTTAGTGTTCTGCTCTTCAGGTCCGGCCCTGCCATGCACCCCCCTGTGGTCTTAGTTTGGGGTTGCCCCCCACTACAGGCTGAGGCGGTGCAGAGGGAAGAACCACACAGCTGCATCCTTGCTGATGTTTTCCTCCACCTCCCAGCACCGACATTTGGGATGTACACATGGAACGGCCATCTCCTTTAGAGAGGCCTGTTCAGGGGTCTGTCCACTGGGCCCCTCCCAGCCTTGCCTGGGGCTGCATCTGGCCTGGCTGGACCACTCCTGTCTGGAACACTCCTGCACTGCTGCCTGGAATCTTCTGCCTTCCCCACCCTGTAAAACCCCTTCTCCCACAAGAACCTTTACTTCTTCCGGAACTCCCCAGGCACCGCGTGCTAATTAATTGTCCTTCCCCTGAAAACCAGGAGCCTCCTGAGGGCAGGGGCTGGGCCTGGTCAGCCCTGTAACTGTGCTCGCACAAGACCAGGAAATACTGTGTAGTGACTGAATGACTGCAGGAAGGGCAGGGAGAGAAGACCTTTGGGGCTGGGTGGCAGGGAAGGCTTCCTGGAATAGGCAGGACTCTCAGTTGCTCCTTGAGCCCCAAGACGGTGGTGAGGTAAGGTTGATGGCGAGGCTCCCCAGATAGGCCAGGGATGCCTGTCCAGCCAGCTGTCCTGCTAGCCCCTGTGCCTGTGTCCCCAGGAGGAGGTGGAGCGGGAGGTGATCAAGCAGGAGGAGAATGTGGACCCCGACTACTGGGAGAAGCTGCTGCGGCACCACTATGAGCAGCAGCAGGAGGACCTGGCCCGCAACCTGGGCAAGGGCAAGCGCATCCGCAAGCAGGTCAACTACAATGACGCGTCCCAAGAGGACCAGGGTGTGTGCTGCGGCTGGGAGACCCTGGGGGTTCTGGAATGTCASAGGGCCGTCTCTGCAGGAGCCCCCCTCTGGGGCAGTTCTGCAGGCAGGGAGGTGGTTGGGGAGAAGGGGGCTGGGTGGGTTGGGGGTGTTAGGAGGGGGACGAGGCGGGAATCTGTCCAGTGACTTCTTGCAGGTGGTATGAGGTTGGGCAAGCCTTCCTAGGTCCGTTTCCCTGTCTGTAAAATAGGATGGGATGGGGTGATTCCTAAATAGTGGAGTTGAGCTATTAAGTGAGCTCACAGGAAGTACCTGGTGGCTGCTGTCAGTGTCACTGTCTTTGCTGGGCTGGGGTATAGGGCTTGGCCTGGCCCTGGGGGTGCGAGGGTTGGAGGTGGGCTTCTGTTGGCACACAAGCGCTCTGCCTGCCTCCCTGCAGAATGGCAGGATGAGCTCTCAGACAACCAGTCTGAGTATTCCATTGGCTCCGAGGACGAGGACGAGGACTTCGAGGAAAGACCAGAAGGGCAGAGTGAGTATCCGTGCTGGTGACCTGGTCTGCTGTGGGCCCCTGGTCTGCCGTGGGCCCCTGGTCTGCCGTGGGGCGTGGCTGGGGTCCTGCTGGAGGTAGTAGCAGGAGGGTTCCTGAGGTGGGCTGCTGAGTGGGGTGGGGAGGGCCCCCTTGGCCCTACCTGAGGGTTTGTGGCGGCTTCTCCCCAGGTGGCCGGCGGCAGTCCAGGAGGCAGCTGAAAAGTGACAGGGACAAGCCTCTGCCCCCTCTTCTTGCTCGAGTTGGTGGCAACATTGAGGTGGGGCCTGCCTGTTCCCCGTCTCTCCCAGTTCCCCGATCCTGCCACCCCTGGGGTATGGAGGAGGGGCTGTGGGCTGGTCCAGGGTCATATGCCAGGTGGAGGTGAGGCAGGGATGGACCCCCGGGGCAGGCTCCCCCGACCTCCTTTCTCCCCCATCTCTGAGTTCTCTGCACCCACTGTCTCTGACCTGACCCAACCTGCTCTCTGCCCTGCCCAGGTCCTGGGCTTCAATGCCCGACAGCGGAAGGCCTTTCTGAATGCCATCATGCGCTGGGGCATGCCGCCCCAGGAYGCCTTCAACTCCCACTGGCTGGTGCGAGACCTCCGCGGGAAGAGTGAGAAGGAGTTTAGGTAAAGGGACCCAGGTGGTGGCCCAGGTGTGGCCGCCCAGTGCATAGGCCCTCCCAGTGTGCAGTCTGCTGCTGCCAGGCTCAGGGCRTCTGGAAGGTTCACTGTCGTGTGGCCTCGGAGGGGTGCTGGTGGGGTGACTGGCCTGTCTGCCTGGCCCGGCTGGCCACACTACAGTGGGGAACATCTGGGTCTTCCAGGGTGGGGCCATCCCAGGAGGGTCCCCTGCCAGGAGGGCTCCCTCTGTCCTCTCCCAGAGCCTGGCCCAGCAGGCCAGGTTGGGAGGTGAGCTGTGGTTGACATTTCYAGCCAAGTGGTCCCCTGGGGTCCTGCCAGCCTCCTCAGAGGGTCCTGATGGCCCCCCACTCCCTGAGCCCCAGTCCCCCCACCACCCCAGAGCCTATGTGTCCCTCTTCATGCGGCACCTGTGTGAGCCGGGGGCGGACGGCGCGGAGACCTTTGCGGACGGCGTGCCCCGCGAGGGCCTCTCCAGGCAGCACGTGCTCACGCGCATCGGGGTCATGTCACTGGTTAGGAAGAAGGTGGGTGAGTAAGCCTCCGCAGCGCCCTTCCTGGTGCCTTCCTGGGTTCCTGGCATTGTCCCTGGGGGTCAGCAGTCAGAGGGCAAGGCAAGTGCCCGGCACAGGCCACCTGGCTGCCCAGGGTCTRAGCCAGCCCAGAGGAATCCCAGAAGCCTTTCTGGGTGAGGGGCCCAGGTGGCGGAGACAAGGATGGTGGGTCCCAGGGTCGAGGACACACAGGGTCCCGGGGTGCCGGGGGCGCTGGCCGGGGCGTTTGTGCTCAGGAGTGTGTMTGCCTTGGCGCAGGGAGCACTCACTGAGCCTGTGACAGTCCAGTCCTGTGACTGCCCCTGGGCTTTTGGGCCGAGCTTCGACCACCACCCTCCCTGCTTCCCCCCATGGCCCCAGGTCCAGGAGTTTGAGCACGTCAATGGGAAGTACAGCACGCCGGACCTGGTCCCCGAGGGACCRGAGGGCAAGAAGCCTGGAGAGGTCATCTCCTCGGACCCCAACACGCCGGTGCCTGCCAGCCCTGCCCATCTCCCCCCAGCCCCACTGGGCTTGCCAGGTCCGAGTCTGGGTGAGCAGGGGCGGGCATGTGGGTCACCGGAAGTGGCAAGGCCACAGTAGCCTTGAGTCCGTCATGCAGTCCATGAAGGACGTACCTGCAGAAGTTATCTCTACGAGTGTGTGTGTGGGGGTTCATCTTTTTCTCTTGTTTCTGTGCAGTAGTGGGATTGAACCCCAGGGCCTCTTACCATTGGGCTACACCCCAGCCCTGTTCACTTTTTGAGACAGGGTAGCTGGGATGATGGGCCTGAGGCACCACGCCCRGCCCAGGGTTTTTCTTACTAGATCTAATCTGCCCGCGTACCACACGGCGCCCTCTGAAGCATGCTGGCCGRTGGCTCTGCTGTACTTGCAGGGTCCTGTGCAGTGGTCACTGCTTCCATTGCCAGAACACTCTCATCCACCCAAAAGAAGCCCGTACTCACCAGCAGTCCCTGCCGGTCTCCCCTCCCCAGCCCCGGGCAGCTGCTGGTGTGCTTCTGTCTGGATTTGCCTCTTCTGGATGTCTCACATGAACCCGTCTCACACTCTGTGGCCTTTGCTGGCTGGCTCCTCTCATGGAGCATTGTGTTCCAAGGGCTGTCCACACYGCGGCACGGAGGGTTCTCCAGTCCTCCTGGGGCCCAGTGGCCTTCCCCGTAGGGATCCACCACCCCGTGTCCGTTCGTCCGTTGATGGGCAGCTGGGTGACTTCCGCGTCCAGGCTGGCGTGGATGGTGCGAGCGTCTGCACCCGTGTCTGTGTGTGGACGCAGGCTCTCATTTCTCTCTGTTCTCTTTTCATCCACTCTTGGGCAGACACCTGGGAGTGGGTTGCTGGGTCATGTGGGAGCTGCCAGCCTGTTTTCCGGAGTGGCCACACCATTTTATTCCTGCCGGTGATGTGTGAGGGTTCCCGATTCTCTGTGTTCTCACCAAACTCAGGAAACTGGTTGTCCGACAGGATTCCAGCTCCCTGGTGGTGAAGTGCCGGCTCATGGTGGTTTGATTTGCGTTTTCCTGGTGGCTGAGCGAGTTGAGCATCTTTTCGTGTGCTTATTGGCTATGTTTTATGTCTATTTTGGAAGAAATGTCTTTTCAAGCTGAACTCAGTGGTGCACACCTCTAGTACCTCAGGAGGCTGAGGCAGGAGGATCAAAAGTTGAAGACCAGCCCCAGCAACTTAGCAAGACCCTGCCTCAAAGTAAAAACTGAAAAGGACTGGRATGTAGCTCAGTGGTGAAGTGCCCCTGGGTTCAATCCCCAGTACCAGGAAAAAAGAAAAGTATTTTCAGATTCTTCACCCATTTTTCATTGGGCTGTTGGTCTCCAGATGTCCTTTTGGTGATCCGTGTGCTTCTTCAGCAAGTGCCTTCCTCCGTTGGGCCTGACAGGCCTGGGGCAGACACCTGTCCCCAGGCTCCTGGACGCAGGCACGCTCTTAGGAGGTGGATGTGTCGGGGCTTGCCTCTGGCTCTGCCCTGAACTCCGTGCGACCTAGGGCAGGTCACCCACCCTGAGCCTCAGTTTTCCTGTGTGTAATGGGGACCCGACAGTGGGGAGGGGACTCACTTGTCTAACGGCACACGGCCAGTGTGGACCAAACCCAGGCTTCCTGGCTCCTGGCTGGGAGGCTGGACAGTCACCATGTGAACCAGCACCTCACGCCTAGTGGTGTACCCAAGAGGGATCAAAACCGGCTTCCATCCTCCTCACCCTCCTCCTGCCAGGGGGCAGCCACTGCTATATGCAGCCCTGTCCCGACAGCCCCTGACTTTGGCCTCACCGGGCCCAACGTCCTACGTGGGTCTCTGACTAGAGGCCAGGCCTGTGCTCTCTGGTGTACCTGGGAATCCTGCCCACTTCTCCTGAAAGTTCTGGTCCTCGTGGAGCCTCCTGAGGACCAGGCCCCATCTGTCTGGCCTGCAGTCCCACTCCCTACCCTTCTACTTTTCCACCTGAGCCCCTCTGTCTYGGAACTTTTCTCTCTTCTTCTTCTTCTTTTTTTTTAAACTGGGGATGGAACCCAGGGGTGCTTTGCTGCTGAGCTACATCCTCAGCCCTTTTTATTTTTTTGAGGTGGTGGCTCACTAGGTTCCTGGGGTGGGTCTTGAGCTTACGATGGTCCTGCCTCAGCCTCCAGAGTCGCTGGGATCGCGGGTATGCGCCACCGCGCCTGCTCACTGCTTCACTTTCATCTTTCAGACAAAATGGAAACCCAGCTGGGCTTCGTGGATGAGAAGGAGCCGATGGTGCAGAAGCCAAAGAAGCCCTTGGACGTCCAGGTACACAGGCTGCTGGGGTCTGGGCCTGAAGCAGGCGTTGGGCGAGGTGGGGGGCTAGGGACCCTCTCGGGCCTTGCCCAGCCATGAGGACCCAGGCATCCTTGCTCCCAGTTTGAGGCCTCTGGATGGGAGCGGGGAGCAGGCTGGGAGCAAGGGATGGGAGGCAGGATCATGGGCCCCGCCCTCCTTTCCCGCTGAGGCCCCTAGCCTGTCCTCTCCAGGCCCTGTCAACTGCCCTGGACCGAGGGGAGGGCGAGGACAAGCACGAGAGCTCAGACAACAAGGAGAGAGCCCGAGAGGAGCGGCCAGAGGAGGTGGAGAAGGCCCAGCCCTCCCCGGAGCAGCTGCCCAAAGGTAGGGCCTTCCAGGTGCCCTCCCAGCGGTCGGTGTGGTCTCTGGCCTAAGCAGGGCAGGCCGGTGGGTGGACTGTGCTGCTCTCCCTTTCTCTCTGCTGAGGGTAGGTCTGGCAGGCTGCATGAGGGCAGGGCAGGGGCTCAGGTCTCTGCACGTGGACTCTCATCTTTCCTGCCAGACAGGGGCGTAAGGATCGGTGACTTCTGACTCGGGTGCATGCTGGTTTGGAAACATGAGCCTGTGGATACTGTTGAAACCTGCCTTCTGGCTTTACGGGTCAACCTCTGGTGAATGTTTTGTGTGTGCTGGAAAAGAGTGTCCATTTCTGAGTATGGGCATTAGCATTGCTCAGGACCCCAYGGGATGTATCCTTACTGGGATGCAGTTGACTGGCTGCTTTCTGAGAGACTCTGTTGACCCTGTTCCTGGGATGAGGGGTCCACCTCTGTCCTTGCAGTGCCCAATTCTGGATTCTGCTTCCCGTGATTTGAGGCTGGGTGTCAGGTGTTCATCTGTTTGGGGGTTTCTTATTTTTCTGGTGACGSGGGCTTCTAATTCTCCTGTGGTCGTGATCATCTCTCCTGATCCATTTTGCTTTGAAGTTTATTATGGCTGATTTCTATTGACCATCTGTTGAATGTATACTATATGCCTTTTTCTATCTCCGTTTTTTTTTTTTTAAACCATTCTGGTTGGGGTGTGATTCACCTGCAGGAGTCCATGCATTTCAAGTGTACCTCCTGCCCACGGGTCTTGAGGACATTCACAGACTTGTGTGACCATCACCGCTGTCTAATTCCACAACATTCCATCACGCTGGAGAGAAGCTGCGTACCCATTCCCAGTCCCTCCCCATTTCTTCCTCTCCCCAGTTCCTGGCAATTGCTACTCTATTTTCCGTCTCCGTGGATTCGCCTCCTTGGAATGTTTCCCGTAAACAGAATCATAAAACACGCTGGTCTTCTGTGTCTGGCTTCCTTTGTTTAGCACGGTGTTTTTAAAGCTCACCCGTGTCATGGAAGGCTGGTTTCCTTTCTGTAGCCAAGTGATTTCCCATTGACTGGGTTGGTGGGGTTTGTTTATCCGTTCATAGCTGATGGATTTGGGGTTGTGCCTACCTTCAGCTATTGTGAAGGATTCTAGTGTGAACATATGTGCCCACGTTTTTGTGTGAACGTGGGTTTTTGTTTCTCTCGGGTGTCCACCCGGGAGGAGCCTTGTTGGATCGTACAGCAGCTGCTTCATATTTTGAGGAATGGTGAATTGTTCTCACACGTGCTGACCAGTTTACATGCCCACCAGCAAGGCGTGAGGGTTGCCCCGTGTGCTAGTCAACCCTTGTTCTTATCTGTCTTGGTTATAGCCATCCTAGGGGTGAGAAACGGTCTCCTATTGGGGTTCCTGTTTGTACTCCGTTTGTGCCTGAAGATGTACTTTTTCAGGTGCTTATGGCCCATGGGTAAATATGTTTGAGAAATGTCTTTTCGGATTCTTTGCCCATTCTAAGATTTTGTGATTTGACTTCTTCTTATTGACTTATAAGGGTTCTCCCCCCTCCCACCCCAGGTGCTGGAGATTGAACCCAGGGTGCTCTAGCATTGAGAGTACCCCCAAGCCCTTTTTATTTTTTTTTTAATTTTGAGACAGGGCCTTGCTTTGTTGTGGAGATTGGCCTTGAACCTGTGATCCTCCTGCCTCGGCTTCCTGAGTTGTTGGAATGCTAGGCTGCACCTCTGTGCCCAGCAGGAGTTCTTTATAGATTTGTGTTTCCTTACCAGCCTCATGATTTGCAGATGTTTTCCTTGGTTGCTTTACTTTTAATCTCTATGCATTTGTGTTTTAGGCATCTCTTATAAACCCTGTAGAGGACTCTCTAGTTTAAATCTCTGTCTTTTGGCAGGGAAGTTTGATTTCTTTACATTTATTGCAGGAATTAGATAGTTGGATGAATTTGTATCTTGTTTTTATACGACTCTTGCCTTTTTTTCTTTTTTCTCCCCTCTTGCCGCATTTTGAAATGATCACATTTCTTCATAGTTCTCTTTCCTCCCGACTCATTTGGAATGTTTATGGTTGATTTTGTTTTGCAGTGTTGATTTTTACCACACAGCCCTCCTGCATCGCATCGAGACCGTGGACCGTTAGCTGTAGTTCACTTCCCTCCCATCTGCTCTGTTGCTTTGACGTCCCCACGTTTGCTGATGTCTCTCTGACGCTCTGATCCTTGTTTAGGTCGTTCACAGTCTCTTTGCTTTTGTGTGTGCTCACCTGTCCCCTACTGCTTCACTGAAGTCCCCTTTCCAATACACCCTTTAATGGTGCTTCCYGAAAATTCCTGTGGATCGTTTCCCTTTCCCCTTGAATGATGGTAAGGCTGAGGTGGGCCGGGAATTTCCCCTTAGCCCTTTGAAGATATCTCCTTTTTATTCTGGCTTTCATTGTGCTGCTGGGAAGGATGCTACCAGTGAATTGTGGATCAGTCTTTACTCTTATTTTCTACCGTTAAAAGACTTTTTTTGAATGTGTGGCGGTGGGGGTTGAACCCAGGGCCTTGTGYGTGCGAGGCAAGCACTGTACCACTGAGCCACATCCCCAGCCGGAAGGCTGCTTTTAAGATTTTCTCTGTCTTTGGCAATGTGTGGTTTCAATATAGGGAAATTCCTGCCCTGCTTGAGAGTCCCTGATTCTCAAAGCAAAGCTTGTAGGTCCTGGATCAAGTGTGGGGAAACTCCCKGTCATTCCCTCTTTGCAAACTGTCTGCTCCATCACAGTTCTTTCCTCCTGGAATTCCTACAACTCATGGATCCATTCACTTTCCAACAAGATGTAGAGCGAGCTGACTGTCAGTCACTGTTCCAGGTGCTGGGACACAACCCGTGAACCAGAGCTGCCCTGGTGTGAGACGTGGGCAACACCAATAAGTAGAAGAGACTTTGGATGCTCTGAAGAAAGCAGGGGACCAGGACAGGCAGYGGCAGGGGTGCGAGCAGCCCTTCACATCTTGCTGCCTTCTAGCCTTTCTCTGCGCGGTTTCTGGGTTCTCCTCCGACCCAGCTTCGGTTATCCTGGCTTGACCTGGCTGTGTCTCCGGCTTCCCATTTGGTCCGCTCCGTGGCTGCGTAGGCATGCATGAYTGCACACCCGAGGGCTCAGAACAGTGCGTGTGTTAGCTCCCGGCTCTCGGGTCAGAAGTCAGGCGAGGGCGCGGCCGAGTCCTCTTCCCGARGTCTTGGAGACGGAGATCAAAGTTTTGGCTGGGCCAGGTTCCCCACTGAGGGTTCTGGGGAGAAAGCACTTCCAAACTCATTCTTGTTTACTGACATTGGTCTCTTGAGGTTGGAGGACTTGGAGGACTGAGGACCCATTTCCTCGCTGGCACCACCTGGGGGCCACATGCCGCCAGCTGCCACCTGCGATTCTTTTTTTTTTTTTTTTTTAAATTTTAATGTTTATTTTTTAGTTCTCGGCAGGCACAACATCTTTGTTGGTATGTGGTGCTGAGGATCGAACCTGGGCCGCACGCATGCCAGGCGAGCGCGCTACCGCTTGAGCCACATCCCCAGCCCCCACCTGCRTTTCTTGATGTGTCAAGCCAGCTCCACCCTCAGGCCAGCAAGGGGCCACAGGGCCTCTCCTGCATTGGCCTCTGCCTGCCTTTCCCGTGGCTGGCCTGAGAGGGCTCCCTGCTTTTAAAGAGCTTTGTGATGGGGTCAGGCCCACACAGGTAACCCCCTGTTTTAAGGTCACTGTGCCACTCATGGGAGTAGAATCCATCATATTCCATCCTGGGGACTTTGAGGGCACCTGAGAATTCTGTTCCCAATTGTGAATTTCAACTCTACAAATTGTCTGGCTTTTCCAGTTTGTTTTGTTTGTTTTTGGTACAGGGAATTGAATCCGGGGTGCTCGACCACTGAGCCACATCCCTAACCCTTTTTATTTTTTATTTTGAGWCTGGGTCTTGCTTAGTTGTTTAGGGCCTCAATAAGTTGCTGAGGCTGGCCTTGATCTTGCAATCTTCCTGCCTCAGCCTCCTGAGTCTCTGGATTATAGGTGTACGCCACTATCCCTGGCTCCCTGATTGTTTTTTTTTTTTTTGGTGTGGGGATTGAACCCAGGGGCACTTTATCATTGAGTCACATCCTTGGCTCTTTTTAATATTTTATTTAGAGAAGGGTCTTCCTGAGTTGCTTAGGGCCTCACTAAGTGGCTGAAGCCGGCTTTGAACTTGGGATCCTCCTGCCTCAGTCTCCTGAGCTGAGGGATTACAGGCATGCTGCACTGCATCTGGCTCCCAGCTTGTTTTTGGTCTTATTCTTCCCCTGTGGGCTCTGTTCTTTCTGTCGATTTCCCTTCCCTTTAACCATTCCAGACACTYTGGCTTTAGTGCCTGTCTCCTGGTTTTATCACCTCCCGGTGACACGGCTGCTCGCTGACTCCCTGCTGGGTTGCCCAGGTGGATGGATGGTGCTTTTCCAGGTTCTGGATGTCACCTGGCCCCTTTATTTCCAAGTGCTTGGGGCCCAGTGGTCCCACTAGTAGATTTGCTGGTCTTTGCTGGGGCTCGACGGTTGTGACCCTGCAGCCTAGGGGTCCTAGACTTTGGGTTTGGGCCCCTCAGGAGGACCTTCTTCCCCCGGGGCTCTGCTGGAGCTGGGCTTCTGGTTGTGCCTGTYGGATGGAACTTCCACTCACAGAGCAGACTGGTCGCAGGGCGCTGGCCCAGCTCCAGTGCTCTGCGTCCTTTGGGCTGACCCATCTGTCCTGCTGAGGTGTTGAGACCCAGCCCCAGCACCCCCATTCCCGGAGGTGATGACTCCCTGCTGGGGCCACCAAATGCCAGCTCATGTATCCCTGGCTTTAATTTCTTCTTTATTTCTGGCTCCTGATGACTTTCTTTAATTTTACTGAACTCACTTTTCTTTTGAGGAGACAGGGTCTTGCTGTGTTGTCCAGACTGGCCTTGAATTCCTGGGCTCAGTGAGCCTCCCTGGACCACCCCCACTCAGATCTCCTGTGTTGATGGCTCTTTTAGTGATGTGATTGTGTGTGTGTGTGTTTGTGTGTGTGTGTGTGTGTGTGTGTGTGTGTATCATCTGTCTGTGGTGCTGGGGGTCTGAGCCCTGGCCCTCTGCTGCTAAGCTGTCCCCAGCCCCACGAATGCCATCTATTCTGCCTGGAACTTGTGGATGTTTGAAGAGGAGTTCCACAGGGCTGTGGCCTGCCCAGTGGCTGGCATCCTTTGGTTTTTGGTGCAGGAGGGCGATTCCAGATTATGGCTTATAGATGGGGCCAGGGCAAGCCTCTGGAGTGGGTGTCCAGGCCTGGACTCCCAGAGCTCATGGATGCACCTGTTGGACTTCAGGTAGAGGCATGGGGTTCTTTGACCTCCTGAGCCTCCACCCGTGAACCTTCTTTGTCTTGCAGAGGAAGTGCCTCCTGAGAAGGAGAGAGCTCTGGATAAGCTGGAGCTAGGCTTGAGTCACAGCAGAGGGGACGGCAGCGACTGCAGGCCAGGTTTGGGGCTTTTCTGCCTTCTGCCTTGTGTCCTTTGGTCCCTGATGGTCCTCCTGGGCCCTGGTCAATCATCTTATTGGAGCTGGGCATGGGAGCCTGGACTCATCAGTCCCTGGTAGCACAGTGGTCTGCTCCCTGGAAATGGACTCCCTGCTCTCTCCTGGCCCTTCCATGGCCCCTAGGGAGGGAGAGACCTGGTCATAGATCTTGGTTTGGAGGATTTGRGGTTCAGCTTTGCATATGGTAGGTGCTGTAAATCCTAGAACATTGTTCCTCTGGACCCCTGCTTGCCYTTGGACCCTGGCCAGTGTGCCTTGGATGGACAGTTAACATGATCTCAAGACCCTTTTTTTTTTAATATTTGTTTTAGTTGTAGGTGAACACAATAACCGTAATTTAATTTTTATGTGATTCTGAGGATCGAACCCAGTGTCTCAAGTGTGCTGGGCAAGTGCTCTGCCGCTGAGCCACAACCTCAGCTCAGTTAACGAGATCTTTCCACTCACAGATGACCCCAAAGCTGAGGAGAAGGAGCCCGCTGAGACTCAGCAAAACGGTGACAGAGAGGAGGACGATGAGGGGAAGAAGGAAGAGAAGAACGGGAAGTTCAAGTTCATGTTCAACATTGCCGACGGGGGCTTCACGGGTATGTGGGGGCAGAGAGCTGGGGCTGTTGCGGTCCCTGACTGTGGGCCCCGGGAGCTGGGCCGGTGTTACTTTGTGCTAGGGTGTGAATGGTTGAGGAAAGTCTGTCTCAGGTCCTGTCCTGGTACATCAGAGCCCTGAACCCTCGGGGGGTGTGAAGGGCCAGTGTTAGGGGAGCGCTTCCAGCCCACTGCGGAGACAGCAGAGTGGGGCTCCTCTCATTCTGTTTGTTGGCGGTCTTCCCAGAGCTGCATACCTTGTGGCAGAATGAGGAACGTGCCGCCGTGTCCTCGGGAAAGATCTATGACATCTGGCACCGGCGCCATGACTACTGGCTGCTGGCGGGCATCGTGACGTATCCTTGGGCAGACCAGGCCGGGCGGGTGCTGGCCCCTGGCTCTGGGAACCTCAGCAGGAGCCCTCTGAAGGCTCTGTGGGGACCCTGTAGCGCCTTCTCCTAGCTTCCAGGGACGCCCTGGCACTCACACGCGGGCTCTGTGGTCCGGTCCAGACTTCCCTCCTCTTACCTGGACCTGGTCTACGCGGCCTCTTCTCCATCACGCCTCTGAGGCTGCTTCCAGCTCGGGCCCCACGCACAGGCCCTGGGTGTTGGCACTTGGGCCTCCCCACCCTGGTTATTGGGGTGGAGGAAGTGGCCATGATGGGGTCCCTGTGCCATGTCTGGCACACTGAGGACCCCTGTCACTGCCTGAAGAGATTGTCCCCATTGCCCCCCATCAACATCTCATCTTTAGCTGAGACTRTGACGTGCCTGAGGGCAAGAGCGGGGTGCCGAGCCTCAGGCTGCTCCCTCCACCCCAGCTGCCAGCCCCACCCCTCCCTGTGGCCAGCTTTGTCCTTAACGGTGTCTGCAGGCATGGCTATGCCCGCTGGCAGGACATCCAGAATGACCCGAGGTACATGATCCTCAACGAGCCCTTCAAGTCTGAGATCCACAAGGGCAACTACCTGGAGATGAAGAACAAGTTCCTGGCCCGAAGGTTCAAGGTCAGTCCTCAGCAGGGCCAGAGGTGGGGGGGGCATGGAGACTGGCTGAGGCGAAGGCCTAGGTGGAGGACGTCTTCCTCCTTCCTGCCTGGGCCTGGCTGGGCGCTGGTGGAGGAGGTGGCCGTCCAGGCGGAGGGGCCAGCCAAGCTCTCACCCCCCAGCTGCTGGAGCAGGCGCTGGTCATCGAGGAGCAGCTCCGGAGGGCCGCGTACCTCAACATGACCCAGGACCCCAACCACCCGGCCATGGCCCTCAACGCCCGTCTGGCCGAGGTGGAGTGCCTTGCCGAGAGCCACCAGCACCTGTCCAAGGAGTCCCTTGCCGGGAACAAGCCTGCCAACGCTGTCCTGCACAAGGGTGAGCCACCCTGGGCCAGGGCACCCTGGGGGAGGGGCAGGGGCAGAAGGTCCAGCCCAGGGCCTGGCCTCCTGGGTCAGCCTGGGGCYGTCCCTCACTGAGGGGAAACTGAGGCTCCTTTCTTGGACCTGTGAGCAGGCCCTGGGCTGGGTAGGTGACAGGCCACAGGATTTAAAGCCTCGTGGTTGTGGAGCCTGATGGGCACCTCCCTTCAGTTCTCACCAACCCGGTGAAGCCGTGTGTCCTCTGTGTGCTAGTGAGCCTGGTCCTGTGAGCCCTGCATCCTGTCCCTGGGGTTGGACCAGGGCTGTGGCCTCCTGGGGAGGCTCTTTGTGTGGGGGGAAACCCCGTGTTTCTGCTTTGCCTCTGCCAGAGCAGGGGCCCCTGGAGTTATTTGGAAAGCCCACTGATCCCCCAGTTGGCCAAAGGGCTTCCTGCGCCTGGCRAGGGCGCCCCCTGGTGTCCGATGCTGGGGTGCCGTAACACACCCTTGTAAATGAGGGCTGGCCTGGCTGCGGCGTGGGCGGCACCGGCCAGCCCGCCCCTCCATTCCTGGGCCCTCCTGCCCTGCAGTCCTGAACCAGCTGGAGGAGCTGCTGAGTGACATGAAGGCAGATGTGACGCGCCTGCCCTCCATGTTGTCACGCATCCCCCCGGTGGCTGCCCGCTTGCAGATGTCGGAGCGCAGCATCTTGAGCCGCCTGACCAACCGTGCCGGGGACCCCACCATCCAGCAGGTCAGGTTCAGACTGCATGCCGTGGGGCCAGCCCCTCGGGAGCCCGCTGCCCCAGCTGGGGCTGGGTGGGTGCTGAGCGGCACCTGTAAAGCTGAATCCTTGCCTCCAGGGCGCTTTTGGCTCCTCCCAGATGTACAACAACAACTTTGGGCCCAACTTCCGGGGCCCTGGACCGGGAGGGATTGTCAACTACAACCAGATGCCCCTAGGGCCCTATGTGACCGGTAGGTGCCCCTCCGCTTCCGGGCAGCATGCACACGGTGCCCTGCCAGGGCCCAGCCTGCCGCCTGCTGCGGATGCCCAGCAAGCCGCCGTGTTCTCTCTCTTTGGCAGATATCTAGCCGTCCCTGTGACTTCCCCCTGTTGCAGCGCTCATTTCCAGCTGAGGTGAGGTCCCTCCTGGCTGCTCCCCTGTCCTGCGCCCACCCGGCCAGTTTGGCAAGTCAGGCCTGGCTAGAGCTAGCCTGTCCATGTGCTTGATTCTGGTCCCTAAGCCTCGGGTCTTCACTGCCCTGGGCTTTGGGAGTCACCCACTGGCCTGGACCCCTCCACCCAGCCCCCCTTTGCCCTGGGACCACCTTGGGCCAGGCTGTCTGCCATGGGAGGCTGGGTGGCAGGACACAGAGGACCAGCTCTTGCCACCTCCTTCACTGGGACCACCAGCTTCCCCTGAGTTCTGTCCCCATAAGAGCAGACAGGACAGTTTGAGGGTGAAGGTGATGGACTTCCAGGCTGGTCGCCTCACTGGAGACTGAGGAGAGCTGTCCAGCACTCTGGGTACAGCTCACGGCCTGKCCAGTGGTCAGCCGTAGGCTCTGGGGTATCTCTGGCCACCTGACCACCTAGACACATAACCCACTGACCTGCTTTTTGCAGCCACACTTACCGGGCCACCTGCCTGACCCCCACGGGAGAGAAAAGCTGCTGCCTTTTTAGAACTGTGCCACCTTGGGACAAAAGGGAAATGGAGAAGTGCCATCATCTCACAGAGAACGAGGCCTAGCCTGGCTGGCCAGAGCCCAGAGTGCCACCTCGTCGTAATTGAGTTSTTCCACACAGCGTCACACCCACTGCCATGCTGGACATGCCCTCTCGCCACCTTTTCCAGACGACTTCCTAGAGAGATTTCATTTATCTGTACATCTTTTGCACTTTCCTATTGAAGATTCGGATGAATTTGTCTTGATAAAAGTTGGATGACGTATGGAAGATTCTGAGCACAGCACTCACGTCCCGTCACCAGGCTCCAGACCTAAGGGGAAGCTCCCTGGAGGCCCTGGCGCCACCCTGCAGGCTCAGCCCAGCTGGGGAGAACTCAGTGTTTCCTGCCCCGTCCCGCCTGCCCTCCTGCTGCAGCCCCTGCCCGCCTGGTACCCCCAGAACCAGGTGGGCCAGGTGGGAGAGGGACCACCTGGCTCTGACGGAGGAGGTGCTGCTGATGCTGGATCAGACAGGGTTTTCCTGTCTCCTTCCTGCCCGGGATGGAGACCACCAGGTAGAGGCTGTCTTCTGGGGGATACATGTCTGTCCCTGGCCCAGCATGTCCTGAAGGTTGGGCTCTTGCTGCCAGCAGAGAGGCCCCGAGGTACATGGCAGGCTTCAGCGTGTACGGCCGGGGAGGAGGGGCATGAGTCTGCTGGAGCCACTGTAGGAAGGGATGGAGGTTTGCCATCTGCTGGGGGTGGTTATGGGCAGGTGAGAGCTTGTGTCCTGGTAAGGAGGGACCTGGTCTTTGATGGCCCAGGAGACCCTGCCTTGTCCTGTGTCCTGCGAGGCCTGTCCACCCACCTTTGGGTATAGACTTTTCTGTTCTGGGCCACAGATGTGGAGGAATCAGGCAGACCCCTGAGGCCTGGACTGTCCCCTTCTCTGTCCCTGGGGGGTCCTCCATCTGGGCTCTTGCTGCAGGAGGCAGGGGCCCCAGCTGCCCTTGATGAATTCTTGGAGGGTGTGGGGAGAGCTCTTCGGGGAGGCAGGGGACTAGACCCTTCTTAGCAGGAGCCTTCCTGCTTCTGCCTCCTCTGTGGGAAGGCCATGGAGCCCCTGCCCTTCTTCCCAACTGTGCCTGGTTGGAATCCAGCTCCACCCTGGCTCCTTCCCCGCCCTCAAGACCTCATAATGCCCCAAYGCAGGATGGGGGTCAGTGGGAGCTGGCCAGGCCTTGTGCCTGTTGTCTAACCCTCCCACTGGCCCAGCGTAGCATGGACAGGGCTGTGCCGCCTTGAGCTGGAGCCTCCCAGGGTGGGGGTCCTTTAGTGCAGAAGGAAACTCACTGAGGAACTGGCTGGGCTTGGGGGCAAGAGGGGCTCAGACTCCACTCCCTGGGAGAGGCATGAGGGACCTGGTGTCTCTGGGCCTGTCGGGGACAGAAGCGAGGCCAGGGGCAGTAGTCAGTCTCAGCCTCATCTCTTGGACACTTGGGCAAATGCCCGGCCCTCCCTGAGCTCCAGGTTGCTCATCTGTAACATGGCTTTTTCTCTGAACCCCTGGACCAGACCCCAAGGCCCCTTGTTCCCGTCTTGATCCAAGTCTGGCCCAACTCTGAGAGCGGGGGTGGGCAGGGGGAGGAGAGCCCCGGARGCGGAGAGGGTTGGGTGGTCGGCAGGCTTGAGCAGGCAGAGTTCCCGGGGTGGCTGCCCCGCCTCCCAGGAGGGTGGCCCTTGTCCTCACAAGCCCCTGTGGTCATCTAGCACCACCATCCTCTGGTCAGCGCCCCTACAGCCGCCTGGCTCAGGCCAGATGAGAAGACCTGCCGCGAGCTCACTCCCCAACCCAGGGCCACTGTGATGTCATCCTCAGTGGGTGGGCAGTCAGCCCCTGGGTGGCCTCTGGGACAGCCCCGGCCTCGCCCCAGTGCAGGGTCCTGAGGCCAGTTGATGACCCTCTCCCTTGCCCCTCCCAAGGGCTGGTGGTCTCCCTGGTTGTGACTCCTCTCTGGAAACCCTGCTCGGTCCCTCTCTCTGCTTCTTCCCAGGCCTGTCCAGGGGGCCCTCGTCCCCCTTCCCTGCTAGGCTAGAGGTGGCACCCACAGCCAGCCTGGCCCTGGGAAGAGCGTGTTCTCCATGACCAGCACCCAAGACACCCGGGAGGGTGGGCTGCTGAAAGTGGGGCAGGTTCCTGAAAGGAAAGGTTTTCCAGATTGTCCTCATCCTGGTTCCTCAGTAACTTCCTGCCAGAGCTGTGGTGGGGAGCGGGGGGCCCGGGGGAGGCCTGCCTTGGCCTCGTCAGGCCGTGGGATTTGCCCTGGAGATGGCCGCCCTTGAGCCCCAGGGCAGCCTGCCTTCCTGGTCCCCAGCCCTCTGTGTTGTCCAGTGTGGGGGTTTGTTGAGCTGCCTTTGGGCCAAAGGGCTCAGCGGTCTGCCAGGTGGCCCTGGCCTTGGGTTGGCGTGGCCACTTCTGAGGGCGCCTTCCCACACAYCTGCCTCCAGGCTGCTCTGTCCCCCTGGGGCCAGGCGGGAGGAGCCTCCCTGAAGGGCAGCCGGAGGCTCCGGTCTCCTGCAGCTTTGGCTTCTCCCAGAGGCAGGCCCCATCCCTTGTTCCACAGCCAGGTCCTCCTGTGGCTGGGCTTCCTTCCCAGAGTCCACCCAGGCCCAGGGTTGACCAGGACTCGGCCTGCAGATCCCAGGGCCACTGAGGGACTGAGGGGTGGGCTTGGGGACCTGTGGCCTCTAGTGTGCATGGGGGCCTGGGAGGGCGAGGCCGACCCAGCCCTCTGCCCTCGCCGTCCCGGTGGCCTGGTGGTAGCTTCAGGTGGACGGTGCCCCAGCCCTTCTGCACAGCCTTGGCACCTAGGGGAGCCGCTGCTCCTGCTGGTCCCCGAGTTTACAGGTTGTGGCCGTCAGCCCAAGGCGTGGGGGTGGTTGTGTTTATGGATTTTTTTCCCCTTAAGTTTCAGATTTTTTTTTTAAACAAAGTATTTTTTTAGGTGCGATACCCAGAAAGGGCCCGTTGGGTGTGCGTGTGTGTGTGTGTCCCGACTCCTCGCACGGAGGTTGGCGCCCCCGCCTTGCAGTTCCTGCTGGCTTGGCCTGGAGAGGAGGGAAGGCCCGCCTGGGCCGYGGAGGAGGGACCTGCCTGCCCAGGCCCCTGGCCCAGGCACATCCTCAGGCTGGCCAAGGGAGGGCCTGGCACTCTGGGCCAGCTAAGAGGGTCTCTCCTGCTGCGGGGTCCCTAGTGGGGCAGGGGTTGAACCTTGGACACCAAGTTCCCCGGGGGTTGTGGCTCACCGTCTCCTGCAGGAGGCTGGCAGAGACCACAGCCAACACAGTCACCTTTTCTTTGTACTCTGCGTGTATGTTTTGGTTTCTGTGTTTTAATAAACCCTTTGGGAAGGGACTGAGTCAGATTCTCATTTACAAAAGGGCTGGGGAGGGTGGAGTGGGGGACCCTGCTCCAAGCCATGTCCCACCTGAGAAGTCACGCTTCTAGGGCTTGGTCGCACTGGGAGGGATGGGCAGTGAGTAGCCATGTGCTGGGGAGATGCCCTTCTACCTGCACCCCCATCTTGTGGGCTTCCCCAGGCCCCGACCCCTCATCATGAGGACCACAGCCAGCCAGTCCCTCAAGCTACGACAGCCTCCCAGCAACCATCCCYGGGCCGTGGGACAGGGCCACAGACCATGTGTGTGTGTCGGGTGCAGGGGGGGCACCCCGGCCCCACGTCTGACCCTGGCCTTTGCCTCCTGCAAGGTCCTTCGCCCCACCTTTTGGCCCTAGGGTCCGGTTCGGGAGCCCCAGTCTTTGGGTGTCTACAGCTGGCAGCCCTGGCCTAGCCCAGACCCTAAGGAAACGAGAACAAGAGGCAGGGGACCCGCAGGCTTGGGTTTATTAGTCATTCCACGGACAGGCGGCTGGGTCCTGGTCTGTCTGGTGGGGAAGCTGGAGGCAGGCGCGGCAGTCTGCCGTGGGGAACGCGGTAGCTGGGGAACCACGGTCGTGAGAAAGGGGGAGGGAGGGCGCTTGATTTACAGACTGGCTGAGAAGAGGGTGGCCGGGCGCCTTCCTCGGGACCCCAGATCTGACCATGTGTTTGGGATGAGCAGTAGTGGGGCTCTGCTGCCCCCCCACCCTGGGCCCTCTCCTATGTYGGGCCCGCCCAGTGGGCCCCTGCTTGGCAAACTGCTTCCAGAAGAGGGTGGGGGCTGCTGGAGGGTGGCCAGGCAGGGCCAGCCGGCAGCTGAGGCCCAGGAGGTAGGCCTGGCACCCAGGGAGAGCTGCTGGTCCTAGACCTGTGCTGGTGCCCCTGAGGCTGGGCGGCTCTCCCCTTCCAGGCTCAGTCTGCCCTCGGCCCTCTGCTCCTTCTCCAGAGGTCCTGCCCAACTCCCTCCAACCTCCTTCCCACGGGGGACCACCCCCAGGAAGCAGAGCCCCGTCCTCCCTGCAAGTGGATGCCAGAGGAACAGATGCTTCAGAGCCATGTTGCTGGAAGTGCCACCCGGGGCTGCCTGGGCTCTGGGCAGGGTGTGCACGTGTGGCCCAGGCCCTTGCCTCCCTTGCCTTGGTAACACGGCCAGCGGGCACCGCTTTCCCCGCAGCAGCTCTGCCGCAGACCCCACTGCACACTGCAGACCACCTCCCAACGGGGCTCCCTGCCAGTGAGGTGGGCCACCTGGCCCTCAGTACCACCCTCTGCCCACTGCAGGACACTGTTCTTGGAGCAGCATGGAGGGGAGTGGCCTCAGCCCAGTGGCCTCCGCTGGAAAAGGACAGCACCCTCTTGGGAACCCACAGGCTGCTTCTGGTGCAGCAGGTCTTGGTGGAGGACCCCAGGGTCTGTCTGGGCAGGGTGAGGACGGTAGCCTACAGGGCCATCAGGAAGGCGGATGGGGAATGGAGGGCACCGTGTGCCTGGCCTCCTCTCTCCCCTGCCCGCCTCCTCCCTCCTCTCTCCCCTGCCCGCCTCCTCCCCGTCCTTTGTGGTTTTCCTACAGCTGTTTCCCAGGCCTTCACTCAGCCAGGCCTGGACAGCAGGCCCTTGGAGTGGCAGGGAGGAGCCTTCCCAGAATAACAGCCGCGCTGAAGGGCAGAGCAGGAACAGATGTGCCTGYGCTGGGGGGTGCGGGCAGCCACCGCCTGCCCGGGGCCTGGTGGAGCCTGCTGGCTGGACAGGGCAGGGCCAGGTTTCATAGAGCCCCACTCCCACAGAGCCAGCAAAGGCTAGGTGCCACTAGGGCCGTGGGACCCYAGGACTGGGCCCCTCGAGCCTGTGGGCTTCCTGGCCATCCCTCCAGCCTCCCCCTGCAAAGGGGCTGACGCTCCGCCTGTCCCCCTCCCTTCCCCCAGCCTGTCCTGGACCTGGGTGGGGATGCGTCTCTCCAGGGAGAGGGTCCCTGGGGTCTTTTCCTATGTTGTGGGGACTGTGGCTGTGGCACGGCCCTTGGTCATTGGGCCTGCAGCACGGAACCCCAGAGGCTCTCCCTCACTAAGCCAAAGCGTGTTCTCCGGGCAGAACCCAGGGCCACTGCTCCGCCACAGGACAGAGAAGGGTCTTGGGCCTAAGGAATCAGCCTGGGGCATATGGCCCCTGCCTACTGTCGCCTGCCCCCAGGTGGTCAGCAGCCACGGTGTGACTAACTGTGCTTCCCAGGGCCTTCTGTGGCATGGACAGGGCCCATTCCACTGGGACCCTTCCCATGTGCTCTGGGCCTCTGTGGCATGGGGCCTCTCAACTGTGGGCAGAGTTGGAGACGGTGGGACAGTTATCTAAAAGTCAGACCCACAAACTTTTATGGGTCCCAAACCACAGAGCCAATCTCCCTGGGGTCCCTGCCCCTGCCGGCAAGGGTGGGGTGGGGGCCAAGGGCTAGCTGGGTGGACATGGCCCGGGCAGGGTGGGGTCGAGAGGGGTGGTGGAAGGGATCTGAGGTTGGGCCCAGCACAGAATACCTGGAGCCTGTGGAAAGGAGGCTGAAGAAGCCTCTGATAGGGAGCCCGACCCCAGCTACCGGGGCCTTGGCCAGGGGGCTCCAGGAAGTGCTGACTCCTTCCCAGGGGCAGTTCTTGGTAGAGGAGAGGCCCACTCTGCCTGCCCCGAGGACCCAACCAAGTCTCTGCCTGGCTGTGACTTGGGAACTGCCACGAAGGGTCACGGCTGGGAGGAGCTTGGCTTCCTCTCCAAGGATGAGCCGAGGCGACAGGCTGGGGTGGGACTGCTCGAAGGTCCTTCCTAACCCACGCCATCTCCCGGGCTCACGCTGGACATGGTCTGGGGAAGCAGCGGGTGGCATCTGGCAGCGACTGGAGATCATTTCCCGATGACGTCTGGGCGTGGGGTTTTCTCTTGGAGACAAACCCCACGCTGTACTTGGCGTCAAAACAGCATAAGCGAGCGAACAGACAGGAGGGAACCGGAAACTGTCCGAGCAGGTGGTGGGCAGCTTAGGATCTGTAGTCCTTTTTGCTGTAGGGTTTATTGCCCAAAATGCTATCGATCTCGTGGATAATGGACGATGACAGTTTTGGAAGGACCTGCGTGCGGGGACAAGAACTAGTCAGAGCTCCACGAGCTAGTCTGGCTGGGCCTGAGGAGGGGGCGGGCGACCCTTCCACGTTCCACGGACTGGCAGGTGGTGGTGGCAGGGTCGAGGCCCCAAGTGCCTGCCTTCTGTGCCCCCTAACTGCTCTCCCAGCTGCCCTGCCTTAGGTGACAGCAATACCAGCCTTCTGGGTGACAAAATTCCCCAGGACTGACTCTGCTCTCCCGCCCCATATCCAGTTTCTCGGCCAATCTCATCAGCACCCAGGCTCCAACCACAGCTCCCACACCTGACCTCAGAGACTGCTGCTACCTCCCACCAGCCATCTCGGCCTTGGCCTTGACCTTGAAGTGCCCCCAGGAGCTTCCAGAAAGCCAGACCCTTTCAACAGCTCATGGGAGCATGCGGGCTCCGTTCCCAGCTCAGCCCAGTCCTTAGAGGCATGTAGCACCCCGGGGACCTCAGCTCTGCCTGGTGCCTCCTCAACCTGCCAGGACTGCTCCTCCCCCGGAAGCTTCTATGCACGAGTCTCTGGCACTTCTTCAAGACTTGCTCCAAAGCCCCTTTCTCCCCTGGCCCAGCTGACCCCTGAAGCCTGGCACTGTGGCTCTCCTGTCCTGCCTGCCGTGCTTCCTAAGGCGCTGGTCACCTCTGGCATTTGTCACTGACTTCTTGCATTTAGTGTTCATACCTGCTCCTGTTATCAGGACGCAGTTCAGAGCAGGCTCATGCATGCCAGATGCAGCCCCTGCACTTTTCCGGGCACTGCGGGTGCTGAGTGGCCCTGTGCTTGGGTGCAGGGCTCGCTGGGCCCTGAGCTCCACCTCAGCCCCCACTCACCTGTATTGCTCCAATGTTCTCCATGAGCTGTTCCGAGTTGGAAGCACCGAGGAGCACAGAGCTGACCCCCTCATTCCTCAGGCACCAGGCTGGGGGAGCAAGACAGGAGGTGAGGGAGGCAGTCTTCCCACTGTGGCCTCTGGCTCTGCCTTGCCCCTGCCTGGGCCAGAGAGACCCTGCTTTTTGGTCTGGGGGCTGAGCGTGCCAGGAAGCTCAGCAGTGCCAAAGGGGACTCTGCCCAAAGCCCGGTGGAGAAGGTGCCGGAGAGCTCTGGCCCCACTGCCCCTGTGGAAATCAGGCCCAAGGGCTCAGGGACCCCCCTGTTCCCCGTGCCACATGGCTGGTGGATGGAGGGGGTGGCCCAGGCTCTCAAGGACCCATGCCCTCTCCCCAGGGACATGGACCTAACCCTGTCCCTTGCAGCCCTGACAGCTATGGCCATGTCACACAGGCGTTCCTCACCTCCTCCCAGGGACACTGGCCCCTGGGTTCTGAGCCCCATCRCCTATGGCCAGCTGCGAGACCCCACAGTCTAGGCCCTCAGGGACCCCGTCCCTGTGCCCAGGTCCCTGTTACCTATGGCCAGCTGGGGGAGGGTGCACCCCAGGCGCTCGGCGATGGCCTGCAGCTCCTTCAGCTTGGCCTGCTGGCGCCGGCCCTCCTCACTCAGGATCTTGTCTTTCAGCCACTGGTAGCCCTGGGGGTGGACACAGCTACGAGTGAGGGGTCACCTGGGCCTCCCACCGCAGATGGCTGATGACCTGTGCTCCTTTCAGTCCTCTCCCTTACAGCAGCCCCGCCCCAGGCCCAGGCCTTCCAGCATCGCCGGCCGTGGGCCAGACTGTGGCAGGGTGAGGTCGGACCTGTCTCTGAGGTCAGGACCCCTGGGGGACCCAGGGAGACCAGAGAGGTTGGGGTGACCTCACAGGCCAGCCCCCAGCCCTGCTCTTAACCCCAGAGGTCTCAGTGGCGGTGGAGAGTGGGGTGTTCTGGAAGGGAGGCTGCCTCAAAGGGCCTGAGTGGACCCTGCCCCCTCACCTGGGGCCTGTGTCAGGGTGGGTGGTCCCTCTACACGTGGGGTCAGGAGGAAGGGGCTCCGCCCAGGTTCTCATGCCAGGAAACCCATCCTGGTGACGGTGGCTGGGACAGCTGTGCCCCTGAGGTCGCCCCAGGCCTCACCTGCCCACGGCGCCCCTCCCCACCCTGGGCCACCCCTTCACCTTCAGGGAGGCTCTCGAGTAGGGTGGGATGCCACTGTCGTACTTTCCAGAAACGATGCCGCAGGCCAGAGGGGACCAGGTCATGGCGCCCACTCCTGAGGGAGGAAAAGCAGGTGAGACGGAGCCTGGGGCCTGCCGGCTGGCAGGTGGCRGGGTGGGCGCCCACCTATCTTGTGGAACAGCTCCGGCAGCTGCACCTCCACCTTCTCGCGCTGGAACATGTGGTACTCTGCCTGCTCGCAGATGGGCGGGATCAGGTTGAACTGCCGGGCCACGGAGTAGGCCTCCTGCGGATACAGAGGGGCCCCGGCAGCCCCCACGTCAACAGGCCTGGGACAGCAGGGAGAGGACACGAGGCATCCCTGGAGATGCCTGGCCCTGCCTGCTCCCCCCACCATGCCCCTCAGCTCCCTGTGAGCTCCCCGTGAGCCAGGAAAAGGGGGCGACTGTGGGGTCCCCAGGTTGAAAATGTCTGGGGAAACTGCAGTGCCCGCGTGGGCTTCTGGCACTTGCTGGCCCSGTGCCTCAGTTTCCCCATCTGTCCTGAGGGTCCTATGAGCCAAGGTGTCTGTGGCCCTCAGTGGTGCCTGCTGCTGTGCTGTTCTTACCACCGTGCGTGCTGCCCTGGGCCTGGGCCCAGGGTGACAGCGGTGACAGCAAACACACCCCTAGGAGGGGCAGCAGCTACAGCAGCCCACTTCCAGGACCAGGCTCCAGGCCTGTCCCTGCAGGCCCCCTCTCCAATGGGGTGAGCCCTAGCCAAGGCCTCTAGACAGGTTGGCAAGGGAGCCCTGGCTGCCACCCTGAGAGGCCCTGTCTCCTGGGGCTTGAGGCTCATCGAACCTGCTCATCTGCAGGATGGGTTGATGACACACCTCCTGGAGCCCAGCGCTAGCTGGGAAAGTGTCCAGGGCCTGCTCGTGGATGGCACACCACAGAGGACGAGCTATGTTCAGTTAGGGATGGAAACTCTGCTGGATTTGTCCCGTGAAGCAGGCCCCGGGGACTCAGAGTGGGAGGCTGGATACGGGGAGTTCCGGGAGGCCAGCCTGAATGGGCTGAGGCCGGCCGGAAGTGGGGCTGGGGGCTGGGGCAAGTCAGCCCAGGAAGATGCAGACCCCAGGGCCCCTGCCCTCACTCTCCCTGCAAGCTCTGAGAAGAGGKTACCCTGCTGACTTTCTTGGTATTTGCAGAAATACCAAGAAACCTCTGCTACCTTCCGCCTCTGATGGTTCCCATGGAGGGAAATGACAGCTAGGGAAATTCTTTCCTGAAAGTGTGAGTGAGGGGGAAACAGCGTGGATTAAGAGATGGAAGCCCAGGGYCCTGACAGCCAAATCACATTCTAAGGCAGCCCAGGCTGTGCCTGATGGCCTGAGCACCCATCTCCACCTGAGCTGTGTGGCCTGGAGCATGTTACTTAATMTTTCTGTGCCTTGATCTTCACATTTGGGAAATGGGATGACAGTAGCACTTACTTCATATGGTCTTATAAGGATTAAAGGGGATTTAACTTCCAGAAAATTCTTAAATCTAAGAGCACCCAGAATCGTGTCAGAGCCCAAGGCAGTGGCCAGTGATGCCATCATTGAGGACTTGCTGGGATCCAGGACCTCTGCTAAGAGTATCATACACCTTCTCTGGGAGTCCTCAAAACAGGTGCATGAGGGAGAGGCCATGCCACCAGGCTTGATCAACAGGTGGGGACTGAGGTCAGGGGCTCAGCATCTGTCATCACATAACGCTGAGGTTCCAGCTGAGGCCCTGTGGAGGAGGGCTGTGGGCATCACCCCCACACTCTTCCATATGTCCCCCTCCTCAGGGACCCAAGGCACAGAATGTGTCGGAGCCTCCAGATCCTTTTCTATAGCATAGGAAGAGCCCCGCCCCACGGCACACCCCGAGTGTCACCGTACCATGATCTCCATGGAGCTCCAGCGCGACGTGCCCCAGTACATGGCCATCCCCTGGTTGATGACGTGGGTCATGGCCCGCACGGTCTCTGTCATGAGAGAGGGAGAACAGAGGTGGGGGCAGCTGGGGGCTCAGCCCAGCCTGGGGACATTCTGCAAATACAGGCAGGGAGCTGGGGGGTGGGCTGCAGAGACGTCTTGCAAGCAGTGTACTTCCTGGCTCCGAGGCTGGGGTTGGGGGTCCAGGAGGGATAAAAAGTGAGTCACCATCCGAGAAGTTGAAAACAATCTCTCCCTCTGGTCACAGGCCTTCCGGTTTCTTTGAAACAAGGGTCATGGGTGGAATGTGATGTGCTATGGAGAGGAGYGGGAGAGGGGAGGAGCTCCAGTCTGGGGAAGAGCTGGAGACCCCAGCTGCTCAGGAAGGGCCAGGTGAATGGCTTAGCGAATGATGAGACTGGCCAAAGGCACAGGGAGTGAGCACGTCCTGCCTGTTTATGGCCTCCTGCGGGACACTGCAGTCTTACGGGAATCTAGAGGGTTCTGTGGAGAGGAAATGATGGTGTCTGCAGGCACAGGGACAGAGTTTGGGACCCTGCAGGGTTCCACGAGGTGGGGTGCAGGGTTGAGCTCCTCCTAGGCTTTGGGGAACCAGGGCAGGTGCAGAGCCTTGCCTGGACCAGCCCCAGGCCCCCAACAGCATAGACACCCTCCGCTGGACGGTGCCAGGGCAACAGGGGTCTGAGTGCCCCTCCTGTGAGGGGCCCAGGCCTGGAGGGGAGCAGTTAGGCAGCTCCAGGAGTTCTGGGGACCATGAGTCCTGGATAGCCAAAATCAGTCCTAAGGAGCGAGCTGCCGAGGCCCCGGGGCCACCCTTCTCAGTGAGGGAGGGAAGGGTCTCCCGACAGCGTGAGATTCTGCCCACGATTCAAAAAAGTCTTTGAGACGTGAGAATCTGCTGGTCCTAGGGCCCCCTCTGCATTCTGGCCTCCTGGGGATGTCGCAGTCTTTGCGACAGAGCCAGGCCTAAAGTTTTCAGAGTTTCTAGGCGCCCCCAGCCCGGCCGCTCCTGGCTTCTCACAGGTCCCATACAGTGCTTGCAAGTTCGACCACCAGAGGCAGCGTGGGGAGTGGGGGRACAAGTGTTTCTAAACACACAGCCACAACATCCGCCCTGGAAAGCCCATCTCCAGGAGCGGCTTGCTCCTCAGCACCCACTGTGAGGGGAAAGCCCAGGTCCCTGGGGATGGCCAGAGGTACCAGAGGAGGAAGGGAGGGAAGGGGGAAGAGAGGAGGGAAGGGAGGACAGGGGACTCCAGGTAGCTCAGACAGCTCCGCCTCGGAGTGGCCACAGGCCCACAGGCATCCTCCCTGGCGCAGGGTGGCAGTGTTGCTTCCTGCCTATCCTGAGTTGGTGTCACTTCCTGTCCACCCTGGGTCCCTAAGTACTCCTTTGGCCGGGATCTGCTCCAGGGGGGGACCCAGGGCGTCCTCAGTGCTGGTGCTAAAGTCGCTCTGGGGTTGGGGTCTCAGCAGGGTCACCTCTAGCCAGGTAGGCCCAGCCCTGACCTCTCTTTCCTTCCAAGTCAGGGACTGTGGCTCCTGGGAATCCTCTCGGCCCATCCTGGAGGGTGGGAGCTGGGAGGGGAGYCTGAACCTCTCTGGGGCCCTCTTGGAACCCTCTTGGGGCTCTCCTGGGGGCCACCTACATGTCAGACCCAGGAGGGTATGCCTGGTTGGAGAGCCTGGAGGAGGTCCAGCTGCTCCCAGGGGACCTTTCCATCTAGCCCAGGCTCGGGGTACCTGTGACCATGCAGCAGCACTCCTGACTCTTCAGCCAAGGCTGGGGCCACATGCCAGAGGGAGGGAAGCCAAAGGACCCCCAAGGCCAGCCTGGCCCCTCGCCTTCCCTCCCCTACAGCTCTCTCTGATCACGACGATCCCAGCCAGCGAGGCCAGGTGGGGCCCAGTGAGGCCCTTTCCATGCCGGTTCGCCTGGGGGGAGTCTGTGTGAGACTGGCTGTCTCCAGAGGCAGGGATCCTGGGCACAGGCCCCTGGGCTCCCCAGAGGATCTGGGCAGAGGCCGGCTGGTGTGGAACCCACATTCAGGAGCACGGGCACAGGTGTGAGGTCAGCGGCCCAGAAATGGGCGATTGGGGAAGATTTCCTTCTCCTCCATTTTTAATGCTAATAGACAGAAGCAGGCTCCAGACCCTTCCAGCTGCTGCCAGAACCCAGGGCATCGCTGCTGCATCACAAATAATACATGGGAGGGGTCAGGTGGCACACCAGGTGGCAGGCAGGAGCCTTCCAGTGTGGAATACTGCCCAGTCCCCAGGGAGGCCAAGACCTGTGCTCAGGGCCGGGCCCGGGGCCCTTAGCTGAGGTGGGGCAGAGACCAAGCATGCTGGAGGCCGCCCTGGGCCTCAGAGTCCCGCTGGTTCATGTGGGTGTACTTCGAGGAAGAAAATGGCTCCATCTCCATGGAGACATCTGGCCAGAAGGTGAGAGGACAACTGGCTTAGCCGGTCAAGGGGCCTCTGGTGGTCACAGGCAGCCAGCATGCTCACAAGGAGCCAGGGTGCTGCAGAGCTCTGAGACAGGACTTCTTGGGGCCTCATGTTCTGGGGTCTCCGATGGGTTTGCTTCTGTGGAAGCCTGGTGTCCCCAACCCTCCCCACAGCACCATCCAAAGTCAGGTTTCCAGGTGGGGAGTGCACATTCTCAGCTCAAGAGGGGGCCCCGGCAGAGGCAGCTGGCCACCGCAGACCACAGCAGTGCGAGCAGGGCTGCGGGGTGGGGGACATGCACGGAGGGAAAGGGTGAAGTGACAGTGTGGGTGGGGGCGAGGGGCTCCGACACTGCTTTGCTTTGCCTTCACTTGCGAGATGTCCTCATAGGGCGCTCCCCCTCCCCCGGTGCATTTTATGGAGAAGTTTGTCATGGGGGACAGAGAGCTGTGTAAATAAAAACACTGTCTCATAAAATGCAGCTCGGACACAGGAGTCAATGGCCGGCTGAGGGCACTGTGTACCTTCTATGATGAATGTCCTTGACTTGGAGGAACTAAATGGGTCCCCTGGTGATAAAAGAAAGATTTAAAGAGACCGAGTTTACAGCTGTGGGAACACGGGAGGCGTGGCGTGACAAAGGGCACAAGGAGGGGACCACAAATCACTTTGTGCAGAATCCTTCTGTTAAAAGAAAAAAATTAGATACACACACCAGTGCATGCTGTATACACACAAAGGAAGAGAAATAGTCCCAGCACAACTGAATTTCCAAGTCCCCAAAGCGGCAGAGCACAAACGAGAAGATGCCCGGGGTGGAGGTGGGAGCGGGAAGGGGCGAGGGTGTGGAGTCCAGGGATAAAAACGCAAAGAAACCAAGATGCTTCCAAAGCACTGAATGTACTTTCTCCTCGGGGGAAGAATTCCATCCCCCGAGGAGAAGACCCTACAACCTCCCAGCAGAACCAGATTGAAAGAAGGCGGCCGCTGCCAGAGACCTCATGCTGCCGCTTCACTGCCACAAAATGCCCACAGCAGAGAGGAGAGAACATTCCGCACGGTTCTAATGCAGCCAGGCGTGGGTTGGCACGGACCCAGCACGGGTGGACTCGGCCTGGAGGTTCCAGTGTGCGCCTGGTGGCTGGGAAGGCCTGTCCACCCCCCACCAGGCCTGGCGGGAGCCCCGTGGGGCCAAGYGGTGGCCTGCAGAGCCTCAGTTCAGACCCTCGCCCACGCGGCTCTGTGGTCCGCGCCCGCTGGCCGGCGCCCCGGGGAGCACGTACCTTCCATGGGCGTGTTGGGGTCTGGGCGGTTGGCGAACACCACATCCACGTACTCCAGCTGCAGCCGCTCCAGAGAGGCCTTCAGACCTGGGGGAGGAAAGGAGGAAGTGGGGGCACAGCCCAAAGGGAATGGGGGTCCTGCCACTCAGGAGAACGTGGGGCAGAGGAACCACAGGCCCAGCATGCCTTGGCTGAAGGAAGACCTGCCCCTGGGGCCCCGCTCCTCTGCGGTGGGGGTCCTGGGGATGACAGGCAGAGCTGAGGAGGGAGGGCATCTGCCGTCTTCCCCACAAGAGGCCCGGGGGTCGGACTTGGGCGGAGCACCAGCTAGCCCTACCAGGAGGCTCGGAACACTGAGCTGGACGTGCACGTGCCAGCTGCGGCACGCCTCGGCACCAGGGCCTGGTTGTGGTGTTAGAGGAGGGGGAGTGTAGGCTCCATGGAAATCTGAGTGACTGGGAATGGCCTGAAGACACCAACAAGCAGGCTGAGCCCCTGCCCCGGCCCCTTGCTCTGGTGCCTGTGAGCTGAGCCCTGGCTGCGAGTCTCTGTGCAACCCCTGGGTCCTTCTGGATTCCCAAGGATGCCGAGCACTCCCAGCAGCACTGGCCTGGCTTCGCAGACACTGTGACAGGGGCTTGGGGAAGCAATGGCCCCTGCTTGAGGCCATTGGATTGAAACCCTGGCCCGTCTGTGCCCAACCCTAGGGCTGCCATCATTTAATGCAAGGTCCACCTGTGCCTGCCTGGGGTGGAAGGAGAGGGTCAGACCAGAGCTCTGGGCGCCCTGGGCTGAGCCCCTTGCAGGACAGACAGCTGGGGCCACGGCACTGTGTGTCTTTGCTCCTCCTCCAGGGGAGGGTCACATGGGCCTGGGGGCCCATGGCAGAGCCCCTCCTCACCTTCTATGATGTGTTTCCTGGAAAGGCCTCTCTCAGTCTCTGCTCTGAAAAACAAGTAATAGTAGATGTGAGGTCACAGCCGTTTGGGGAAGAAGTTTAGGATGCAGTATCAGGCAGAGAAAGCAGGTCAGCAAATGCTGCGAGCCTAGGCCCTTGGGGCAGTCCAAAGCCACGGGCAGAGTTCCCATGGGCTCAGGTGGAAGCCTGGGGGCTGGGCTGGGGGAGAGGTGTCCTGGCCTCCAGAGTTTGGCTTTGATCTTTAAAAATTAAGAATGAGTTTCATCCCTAACTCCTATGAGATGGAATTTGTCCAGCCCCAGAGAGGACAGAGAGCCAGATGCCCAGAGCATGGTGGGGGTGACGGGTGGCCCAGGGACTTTGGGATGGATGGGACATTTCACAAATTTTCTGTTTTCCAGAATTTTTATGATATTACCTTTATAATCAGAAAGGATAAAATAAAACCAAAACCACATGGAAGTATAAATAGAAATTAAAGAAGGTTTGAGCAAAAGACAAACAGCCAAAGCTGCTTTTCTGGGCTGGATGTCCCGAGGCAGGTGGGGTGCCAGTTGCACGGGGCTGTGTGGGGCATGGGGCATGGGACACTGCACTGGGCCCACACACCCTCCCTCCTCAAGGCGGACTGTCTGTCCTGCCCCTAGAGCCTCCCAAGTCGGGTTTCTGCACGAGACGGGGCTGCAGCTGCAGGACCCCGGCAGGAAGCCTCCTGTGCGCTGCACCTACTTTCCGCCCCAGAAGATCTTGGTGGTGATGACGAGGCTGGACCGCCTGCAGGACAGGAGAGAGGAGAAGGTGTTACTGGACCCCGTCCTCCCTCACCCCAGCAGCTCTCAGCTGCCACGTGGGATCCTCAAAAGCCTTCCCACCTGGGTGCCTGGTGCCTGGTGCGACATGGCATTTCTCCATGGCTGACTTGGGGTCTCAGGGCACCCCCAGAGCCAGGAGGCAGCCCTGCTGCAAATAACCACCCAGAACTGTATTCAGGCAGCGGGGGCCAGGCAGCGGGGCCCCAGGGTGGCCAGGTCCCCAGGTGGAGGCTGAGAAGCGAACTGGAGGAGGCATTGGCTGTCCTGGGTGGGGCAGACAGGGTGGGGCCAATCTCTCCTCCAGGCTCCTCTGAAGAGGAGGGAGGCTTTGCACCCAGACCCTCCGCAGCTGCTCACTCTGGCACCCTGGCCACCAGGGCAGCTCTCATAGCTTTGCATCTGGGCCCTACCCTCTCAACCCCGGCGGGTGGGGTAGGACTAAAGTGGAGAGTGGCACTAGGGCAGGTGGCCAACACAGCCGGCCTCCACTCCACTGTTCTCCAGTAGCGTTGCCTCCACCCCTCAGAGAACTGAATTTCACACTCACCTAGTGACCCGCAAGACCCTCCCTGGCCCTGGCCCTGGCCCTGGCCCTGGCCCTGGACGTTCAGGGTATGAACACTTGCTTCCCCTGGAGGAGCCTGGGCTGCTCCCTTCTGAGACGTTTTTCCCTTCCCAGCAAGAAAAACTGGGGGACTTCCAGGCCTTAGTAAGACTGCCCTGGGGCAATACATTGGTCAGCAGGAAAGAACGGACCCCCTCTCCTGTCCTCCCCACGGCAATGCAGTGGCCCATCCACCCAGCCAGGCACCTGGGAGCACATCTGCTCCCCCAGGCACTGCCCCTCCCCCCTCCTTCCCTGTGTGTGCAGAGAGGAATTACCTCCATCCCTTCTTCTTGATGATGTTTCCTAATACCACTTCAGCCCTGCAAAGCAAGAGACAGACCAGGGGATTTCATCACTGCAGAATGGGAAATCAAACCCAGCCCTGCTGGGACAATAGCCCCGGATCCCCTCTGTGAAACTGCCACAAGGCCTAGAGAGCCAGGCTATAAAAGCAACCTTGGCTTGGCAGCTCAGTCCAGACACAAGCAGGGTCTGGCGCTGCCCGGGGCTGGCTGGGAGTAGCTCTTCTCCCTCCCTCAGGCGCACATCCAAGTAGCAGTAGCCCCAGACCTTGCAGAGAAGGAAGGAGCCGATGTCCGGCTTATCATAGTCAGCATCCCATTTCCCTGGTTGGCTGGAATTCACTGGGAAAAACACCTGGCCACGGTACATGGGTGAAATGCGCAGACGGATATATGCTTAAAAGGTGAATTTTTCACCAGATGCATCCTCTGCATTCAGAGACAATCAACATGTCTTTGGTGGTGGTGGTATTTCTAACAGATTGTGGGCGTGCGAGTGTGAAACACGTGTGTGTTTGCATGTCTCTTGTTTTCTGATTCCGAACAACAGGGACATGGCAAGGCAAGCACTCTGTTCTGCTTGGCGTCACTCCTGGTCCTGCACCAAACTCGGGCCAGCTGGGGTCAGGAGCGGGCTGTTCCAGCCTCACTTGGCACATCAGTGCTGGATTAACTTTTAAGAACTTTCTGCTTGTAGCAAAATGTTTCTGAGCAAAAGCAACAGACGGAGAACGATCCATGCCCAGTGCTACATTCCAATTATCAAAGCGCCTGAGTCATCCACTCAGAGACAATGGGCCCTAATTTGCAAGCTGTTTAGTGTACATTCTGCATGCTCTTCATTTATGGTCAGGATGCACGGAAAATTCACTCATCCCTGGGCCTGCTCCTTTTATTCCTTGGTCCCTGATTGTCAGACAAAGGACTAGGAAGGGTGGACATGGTTACAGAGCTGTGTTGTGGACAGCGGGCTAACCAAGGCCTGTTGTTTGTGTCCTGCCTGAAAGCTAACAATCTGGTGACCCTTGAATCTGTATGTGTCTGTTGGGGGGCGGGGGCGTGGAAATCCTTCGGCTCTCGGGGAAACACCCAAATTAGTGTCAGCATGAGAAGCAAGATAGGTAGGTGCATGTCCACCCTGGTCTGCAGGAGGGGCAGCTCTGGCCCACCACCCGCAGGAGCTGTCCCTAGCCCCTTGCCCAKAGGGACTCCTCTGGGTCTGTCCCTGGAATTCAGTGTTGTGCATTGAGGGTGGCTGCTCACACCGAGGCACTGATGGGTGCAGACAGGCAGGGTCTTCTCTGGGCTAGACAGAGCAGGAGCTGCAGTGGCTGGCAGAGGTGGGTCTCCAGAGCAATGGCACCCTGAGAGGAAGGTGCTCCTGGAATCCTCAGTTTCTAGCAAAGGGCTTCCAAGAGGCCTGAGGCTGCATAGGCCCCCACGTGCTTGCCCCAGCATGCTGCCCTTGGTGTCCAGTTAAACAGAGACTGAAGACAGCCCTCAGCAGGGTGGCTGCTGGGAGGTGGAGCACAGGGACCGGGCCATCTGGAACTAGAGGAGGCTGCAGGGAGCTTCTGCCTCCCATACACCCTTGTGGGCAGAAGCCCAGGCAGGAGCTGGGCCAAGGAAGAGGCTCAGGATTGGATGCCCCAGGGCTGGGCATCTGCATCTGGCACCTTGACCCTCAGCTTAGCTCATCTTCTGTCTGGGAAGCATTTCCCTTTGATGGGGGCTGCTGCCGCCTTATGGCAGGGCCGTGGCACAGGAGGGGCTGCTGATAGGGGCTGCAGGAGGCGTGGGGGTCCCAGCTGTCAGCTCCCCAGTCCTGGGTCAGGACTCCAGCAAAGGCCCAGCTGTGCTCCCTGACGCTTGGTGCCAGGGGCCCCACTGCAGGTAGCGCGAAGCAATCTGAGCCCCGTGAGGCAGGTTCTGGCCCCCTGGCCATAGCGCACAGCGGGTCAGGGCTGCAGTCAGCACAGCCAACAGCCCCAGGCAGGAGCGACCGTGGGGAGGACTGGGGAGGACAACCAGGGAGTAGGGAGCCAACAAATGATTTCACAAACAAAAGCTGACTTTTGGAAACCCGATGCAGGGGAATGGATGATTTGATTACAGCCAGTCTTTAAAATTGAAGCCAAAAGCTCTGGCTGAAGAGGGCTGAGCTTTTACATAATTGAGTAGGAAAGTTCCCTGCCAAGACGGGCAGCGCTTCCCACAGCACGGACCAGCTCTGCTCTCTCCCGCTCCCGAGAGGCCGGCGCCCTAATTGCATCATTAAGACATGAAAATGTGAGGCATGTGGGGCTGGCTGCAGGTCACCAGCACGTCCAGAGCCCAGGACAACTTAATCATAGCTCTGGCCCGCACAGTGTCTTTGGCCCCAGAAGGACTTCGGTCACCTCAGTGCTCATGCACCAGGGAGCTCAGCAAGCGAACGGTGCCCAAGTGCTCTGTGATTCTGGGCCCACAGAAGTAGCCCCCAAGGTCACTGGGAGCTTAGAAAGGAAGTGAGGTGGAAGGCACAGTGAGGGTGAGAGGGGTACCAGAGCTGCCCCCCCCCACCCTGGGCCACCTTCTTCAGAAGAAAAGACACCTACTTGCCAGCTGCGTAGACTTCAGCGGTATCGAAGAGGTTGATGCCGTTGTCATAGGCCAAGGTCATCAGCTGCTCTGCCATCTGAAAAGAGAAACCGAGTTGCTCAGGTCCAGCACTGTCCTGCCAGCTCAGGGGAAGGCTCAGAGGCTCCAGAGCGGGACCCCTGTGGCCTGGGAGGCTGGCCTCCCTGGTGCCTCGGCCCTGGTGCCTGGGATCTACATGGCCTCCTCCCCCACCTCCCATTCCCACTCTCCCTGTCCTCCCCACTCTCCCTGTCCTCCCCTCTCTCCCTGTCCTCCCCACTCTCCCTGTCCTCCCCTCTCTCCTGTCCTCCCCTCTCTCCTTGTCCTCCCCTCTCTCCCTGTCCTCCCCTCTCTCCCTGTCCTCCCCTCTCTCCCTGTCCTCCCCACTCTCCCTGTCCTCCCCTGCAGCAGGATGGGGAGGCAGCTCTCAGTTACAGACCCTTCAAGATGAAGTGAAGTGGACAAAGAAGCAGCATATGGGCCGTGAATTTCCTGAGAGCAGGGACACTACCTATTGGGGATGTCCCAGGGTGTGGGCTGGGTTCAGTAGGTGCCCAGAACCTCAGAAGGTGACCTTATTTGGAAATTGGGTCTTGTGAATGCAATTAGTTATGATGACTTCATGCTGCTCCAAGGCGGGCCCTGAATTCAGTACGCCTGATATCCTCACAGGAAGTGAAGCCCCGAGAAGGTCACATGATGACGGAGCAGAGATTGGCTCCGTGTGTCTACAAGCCAGGGAACACCAATGGTGGCAAGCAACCTACAGAAGCTGGAAGAGGCACAGGACAGATTCCCGCTCAGTGCCTCTGGAGGGACCAGGGCTCTGCTGACACCTTGATTCAGGCTTCTGGCCTCCAGACTGCGGGAGAGTAAGTTTCTGCTATTCTAAGCCCCTCGGCTGTGGTGGCCCCAGGAGCCGACAGGAGCCCCGCGGGTCTTGGTGGGATGAACGTCTCTGTTACAGYTCCGGCCGTGTGTTCAGCTGTCTCGGGGAACCTTCCGCCCACGACCGTGCTGCTGTGTACTGCAGGTGGAGAGACACAAGCCCGGCTACCGTGTGGCCGAGCTGAGAGCCAGAGTGGCCTTGGCTGGTGTTTCTCCAATGCAGCACACCCCCAGCCCTCTCTGGGGCAGGATTGACAAATGGCGGCCCAATCCAACCTGCAGACCAGAGCTTTGCTGCTCAGGCCACTGGCAAAGACTAACCGGCGGCAGTGGCGCGGTTGGGAGCCCATCTGCAAAGGACAGCCAGCCCCTCCAAGGTTCAGGAGAGAAGTGTCCCCTGGACTCTGCTGTCCCTCCAAGTGTCTCACTTCCCCAAGCTCAGTTCGGGGCACCGGGCAGCCCATGATGAGGTAGGTTATTCCCATTGGCCCTCAACCCCTGTAGGATGGGGAGTCAGCCAAGGGTGGGGACATGGGGCCTCTCAATACTGAGCTCAGAGTCACAGCAGCCAGGCAGGTGTGGGGAGCAAGGACAGAGGGCTGGTGACTGCTGGGTGGGACACCACTTGAAGGAACTTAGGGGCAGGGCCCATGGCTAGTGCTGCCCTTGGGAAGGTGGGCCTGGCACTACCAGGTGCCTTGATTTTTCAAGGGATGCCAAAAATCCAGGGTATTTGGAGGATGGGTCAAATCTACTGTTTTTCCAAAGCAGCAGTGAGCCCAAAACATTTCAGGTGTGTGCGGCCCAAAGCAGAGCCCGTCAGCCAGCTGCTGGGGGTGGTCAGGAAGCCCACTGGCCACGTGGCCATCAGTGGAGTTATCGACGGGTGTCCTGCTTGCTGGGTTATTTTTTCTCTCCTCTGCTGTGGCTCAAGGGCATCTGTGTATCAGATGCCTCATGGATACAGCAGCCCTGGCTCTGCCTCCAACCTGCCCTGTCAGGGTCTTCCATAAGTGGATCCCCAGGGCACTCGGGGGCAGGTTACAACTTAAGAAGTCCCGCCGGCTGGCCACTCCCTGGGCAGCAGCCAGAGTGGGCTTTCAGACCCAGGTCAGGTCACATTTCCTTGCTGCCAAGACCCTCCAGTGGCTTCTGTCTCACAGGTGATCAAAGCCAAAGTCCCTGCGCCTACCTGCCGGCACCGCCCTCAGGCCGACCTCGGGGCTGCCCTGGCCGCCCACCGTCCTCTGGAGTGCTCTTCCCATCATCTCATGCCCACTCTTGCTTCCTGCAGGAGCCCCCACCTGGCCCTCTCTGTGTGTTTCCCCTCCTTTGGGGTCTACTACACAGTGGCTCCCCAGTGGCGTCAGGTCCAGCAACCTGTGGGTTTATGTGGAAAGGGGACTTCTCAAGGGGATCACGTTAGACTTTGAGGTGGGGCATTGACCTGGGTTATCTGTACTCTAAAGGCCATCACAGGTGCCTGTGTGAGGGAGGAGAGGGATGTTTGACATGCCCCAGGAGGAGGTGAGGTGGCCATGGGGGCAGAGGCGGGAGTGGTGTGGCTGAAAGCCAAGGAACACCTGTGCCCAGCAGAGCTGGAGGTGGGAGGGGCTCTCCCCCCAGGGAATCCCCAGAAGGAGCACAGCTCTGCTGGCTCCTGGTTTTAGCTCAGCAGCACTGATTTTGCACTCTGACCTCTAGAACTCTGAGAGAATCGATTTCTGTTGCTTTAAGCTGCCCAGCCGGGGGTCTTTCATCACAGCAGCCACCAGGGACTCATGCATTCTCCATAGAGCACCTTTCACCCTCAGAGACAGAGATGTGCTTATTTCCTTATGGCGTCTGTCCCTTTGCTAGAGAGCCACCTGAGGGTGGCACCTGACTCTTGGCAGGTGCTCAGTGATCGTGAGCTGAGGGGCACCGTTCTCCAGCTGCCTCGGGTGGCTTTCAGAGTGGTCACTCCCCCCACCTCCTCACTGCCCTGGCTGCTCCTGGCTCTGCTCTGCCCAGTGCAGGACAGCCTCCTCCTCTCCCTCCTGGACCAAGAACAGAGGCCAGAAGGTCCAGACTTCAGACAGCGAACCACGAACATGCCTAGTCCCCTCCACAGAGGAGGAATCCTAGCCCAGCTGCTGCCCCTGGCACTGGGCAAGGGCTCCAAGCAGTAGGCAGAGCCCTGGGCAAAGGGGCACCAATCCCAACTTCACCCTTCCCAGCAAAAGGAGAGACCAAACCCCGATCCTAAGGMCGAGGATGGCCCCTTGGGTGACAAGAGGATGAGGAAACCCGGGCTCTCTAGGGCTGTGCTGTGGTCTGGGCTCCCCTCTTCCCCGGCTCGCACGCGGCTCTACTTTCCCCTACAGAATCACAGTGCTAACGTAGCGGGTAGCAGGCACCGAGTCCTTTGCTCTGGCGGGTCCTGCATCCCACTGTAGGAAACCGAGCCTCTGCTTTGTGACCTTTTAGTTCTTTCCAGGGTCAAAGTMCAAGAAATTGAAGTCAGGATGACATATAGGCCACCTCCCTGCCACCCTCCCCCAGGGAGTTGTCATCCCACAGGACTCATCCCAGCCCCAGGACAGTCACATCAGGGCTGGGCACAGGTGCCAAGGCTGAGGGCCCACATGTGACTTCTGGCACTGGCGCACATCAGGCTTCCGTAAGAAGGGAGTACTGACGTGGCCTCCCTGGGCCACCAGGCCGCGAGTGGGGTCATAAACGTGAAGGTCCAGCCTCGGCTCTCATTAGGTCCTTGCTGCCCAGTCTGTCCGGCACACCTGCTCCTCACAGCATGCTGTGGCCCCTGAGGGGCAGAGCAGGGTGGCAGAAAGGGCATCAAGTGGGAGGACAGGGACCCTGGCACCACCCTTGTGGCTTCACGCGTGACACATGATGTCAGACTCGCTAGCGCCGTCTGCTTCCTTTGCTGGCTTCTGGTGAGAATCTATGAGAGCAGCCTGAGTCCTGTAAACTGTGGGTTGTTGTCACTCCTCCTTGGCGGAGAGGGACAAAGTTTGCACTCCTCCCTGGTGGGGCACGGAACAGCTCTGAGCTTCTGTCTGCCTAACAGCCCTGGAGGTGCTAGCAGACAGCTGCTGTGACCTCACCCAACAAGGGACATGAAACTTGCTCTGTGGCAGGTACTCGGCTCTGCTCTTGTGGTGAGAAGTAGGCCAGGCAACTGGTAAACAAACGTGCCTGGCTATGTGCCAATAAAACTTTATTTAAAAAATAGGCTGAGGGGCCGGGGATGTGGCTCAGTGACAGAGCACTTGCCTAGCCTGTGCAAGAACCTGGGTTCAACCCTCAACACTGGAATTAAAAAAAAGAAATGGCTGAGTCTCCAGAGACAGGATGTAGATCAAGAGATTGACAGGGTCTGGGTRTAGCAGCTTAAAGGTACAGAGCTTCTGCCTGGGGTCATGAAAACAAAATTGGAAATAGTGGTGAGGTCTGCACAGCAATGTGAAGGCACTTACAGACACGGTCCTGCATCCTTGGAAAGGGTTAAGTGGTAAACTTATGTTTCACCTATTTAATTAAAAATGACACACACCTACAAAAATAATCCCCAGCCCAGGATGGTCCTCACCCCCTGGCTGGCTCCACCCGCCAGGCAGCAGCCTGGAGCATCAGGACCTGCCTTCCCCATCAGGACTGCGGCCAAGGGGCCTTCCGCACCTGACGTACTGATTTCGTTTTGGACACTAACTGTAGGATTTAGTACAAAATTCTTCTTATTCTTTACTCTGTCATTTTCACCTGCCACAACGTTCCAGGTCCCTGAGTCCATCATCTATTATGCCCCCTGTCCTCCCAGCATGGTCATCTCTGGATGACCTGCAATGTCTTCATCCATGTTGCTGTGTCCCTGACAGAGCCAGCTGCCATCAGATGATTCATCAACGTTCCTCAGTGCAACTGACCGCTTGGTAAGAAGTCACCCAGTGCGTGTTCATGTCTGTCCACATGCAGGTAGGTGGCCCTGTCTGGGGACAAATCACACCCCTCTACAGGACTCTTCCACCCACTATTTCACTTACCACATCAAAAGGGACCCAAGGCGGATCAGGCAGAACTTATTTCAAGCAGACCACACATGGCCTCACGACTCCAATTTTTGCTCAATCTGACAAGCTCAGGCCAGGCCCCTCGCCTTAGAAACTCCTGACTTGGCCCCGAAGGCCTGAACCCATCAATCTCAGAGCACAGGCCAATCGTTTCATAACCTGCTACTGTCACAAARATGAATATGAACCAAACAAACCGTGCACTTGGATCTGATGGAAGCAAAGCTTTCCCTTTGAAATCACAGTGAATGGGGTCTCGAATAAACTAATTTTTAAAGGTGGCCTTCATACTGGTAAGAAGGGCGAAGGGGACAGATGCACCTGGTGCAGATGCCCAGAGCACCTTGAGCAAGCGCCACTGTCTTTCCATGTATGCTACCACCCAGAAGTGCACCCCTCTGGGAACACATCCTTCTCCTTCCAAGGGACCTCATGATGCTCTTGGGAGAGCCCTTCCTGAGCATCCCCCGTGGGCCCCAGAGGTGGAGACACAAGCCCCAGCACGTGGGTTTGAATGTGACAAGCAGCTACGGGAAATGTAGTACAGGAAGTTGCAGAAGATGGTTTTTAAATGACTGCGAAGAACACGTTCTAACATTTCAAACCCAGGCAGGTGCACTCTGCCGAGGCAGCTCAGACCCGCACCCGACTTTGTAATTCTGAATATGTGCTATCTCCGGATTCTCAGGGTTGACTCTGGGGAGCGTGTCATGCATTTGAGGTCCCTGAGTTCCTGGGGGCTGGGGGCTGGCTGAAGGTCCCCAGGCTCCTGGCTGCAGGCGGTGGCACCAGAGGTGGCATCTTCCCTGGCCCCTGCCACCTGGCTCAACTTTTCACCGTCTCACGAGGTAGGGCCTCTCCACCGCAGACACAGGGAGGCTGCTGTGGCAGCTGCATGACAATGCTCATGTGCATGCAGGGGACCTGGCAGCAGGCCTGGGGCGAGGCCTTGCTGGGCACTGGGGGTCAGGGGAGTCCATCTTACCTCATCAGTGATCTGGCCTCCAAAGGTCACCCATGTTCCTGGAAGGAAACGCAGAGGCTTAGGTTAGACCAGCTTCCAGGGAGCCGCACACCCTCCAGGGATCGCTCAGACCTGAGACTGCAGGGCTGGGGTCGGGGGCAGCACAGGCAGCCACGCTGCTCTGGGTGAGCCTGTCCCCTGTGTGTGTGGACACCTGGTCTTCTGGGCAAGCATTCAAACTGTGGGTCAACAGCCTCCAGGTGGACAGCAGCTGCGAGCCCAGGAGACCTGGGGCCTTCGAAACATTCCCTTGCCGGGGACCTGCTCCTGCGGGAGCTGAATGCAGGGTCTCCCGACAACGGGTGGGTCCCTGCTCTTGCTGGGAAAGTGGGGTTAGGGCAGAAGGGGGCATACTATGTGTACCCTGCCCATTCATGACAGGGTTCTTATTTGGAAACAGGGCAAATGGGCAGCCCCTCGTGGGGGAGCCACAGTGAGTGGGTCCAGAAGGAAGGGTGCCTGGGGCCAGGGGTGGCTCTGATCCTCTGGTGCGGGGTGGAATGTGGGTGCCAAGGGCCTTGGTTCCCCTGGCCTTCTGTGCTACGGCTGCCTCTCGGTCCCCTTTCCTCCTGGTTGGTGGGGCAACTGAGCCCCACTGCCTAGTCCTTGGTCCTGTGTGTAGCTCCCCTGATAGGGCAGGGCCGGCCCTCCCGAAGCCCTGTTCCTTGGTGGTAAAGGGTCCCCCGTACTCACCGAGCCCCAGGCAGGAGACCCGCAGGCCGGACTTGCCCAGGTTCCTAAAAAACAAGCAGCGTGTGAGCCCTGGGTGCAGAGCAGGGTGCCACCAGCCAGGCCCACTGGCCAGCGCCCACCCCTGTGCACTCCCAGCCCAGCTGACACATGTCTAACCCCGGGAGGTCTCTGATCACCCACCCCAGGACAGGTGAGTGCCCGCTGTGCCCTGGGCCCACCGTGGGCTCTGACACACTGCTGGGGTGGCAGTGCTGGAGGCCAGGGGACAGGCTGCAATGCTGTCCCAGGAGCAGATGACGACGCCATGTCTTGCTGGGTTTCACAGAGTGTGATGTGACCTGGACACCCACAGGGTCCCCGTGGGATCTGGTGAATTCTTGGGGTTCCCTGCTGAGAAGCTGGCCATATCTGTGGCTTTGTGGGCCCTTACTTCCTTTCTCCAGGGACAGGATAAGAGATGTTAGTCCCTCCTCACCTGGGCCATGTGGCTCTGTCCCCCTGTTTCCTTGAGGCCAGTGGTTTGGGGGAGAGTGGGCTTCCCTAGCAGGGCAGGTTCTAGCTTTGTCCCCATCACAGCCAGGTCCTGGCTGCTCCTGCCACACACGTCCCACCCAGGCATGGCCCTGGGCTCAGCSATGGGCCCACTAAGGCACTTGCCTATTGGGGTCCACCAAGATCCTATGGGAATGGTGGACATTAATATCCAGGCTGTCGTTAGCACCCACAGGAGGCTGTGAGGTGGCAGCCCTCTGCTGAGGACTGGCACGTGTCTGCCCCGGCAGTCGGGAGCCCAGGGGCAGTGTGGGTGGCCCTCACTCTACGTTGGCAGCTGCCTTACTTGTGAGGCATTATGATCCCCTCAGTACAGATCACGCCCATACCTGGCCGCCCCCCACCTGTCTATGGGAGAGCCTGGGGGGCAGCGGGAGCTCAGAGCAGACTGGCTGGGTAGGAACGCCCGCTCCCCGATTCCTGGCCAGGTGACAGCCAGGGCCTGGTGTTTCCCCTGCAACCTGGGAGCAGATGCTGCTGAGAGGATGAAGGAGGCCTCGTGTGGCTGGGGCAGGGTCACAGGACTCTGTCCCACATCTGACCAGCGCGTCTCCCTTCCCAGAGGGGCAGATACCCAAGAGGGACRGCACGGCAGGCGGGAGGAGGGCGGCATTTTCCCTGAACAAAACCCCCAGTGGAAAAGTCAAATAAGATGAGTAGCTAAGTGTTCAACCATGTTGAAAAGGGAGACCAAGTTTTCGGGTTCCCCCTATGAACCGGCGCATTGTCTAACAGTGCCCTCCGTGTTGGGCGCATGAGCCAACCTACAGCCACGTGTCTGGGGCCGCTGCCAAGAGGCGCAAGTTTATCACGCATTCGGCAGGAGCCAGGCCTACGGAGTCACGTCCACTCTAACCTCACAGTGGTGGGCACAGTGAGGTTGCTGGGAGGGGCATGATGACCAGGTGAAAGGTTCCTCACTGTTTGGGGATCACAGACCCCAGACATCTTCCTTGGGACTAGGCCCAGGTACTCACAGCGATTGGGTGTCCCAGAGCTCTGGACACCACTGGGTGCCCGGCCTAGATCAATCTAGGGATGTAAGGGAGGTGGGGTCCCCACCTTTCAAAACCTCCTGCCCAGGTGACCCTGGGGGACAATTTCTGGCTGGGCTGGGTTGGAGACCAGGATTTAGGCACCTTCTTTGGCCAACTTCCCTCCCGGCATAGCGCTGGGATCCAAATCCAGGTCCTCCGATGCCGGGACACACTGGGTTCACCACGACAGGTGGGGACAATAATCACGAGGCCGACCCCCCTGGGCCTGTGGTGGAGAGCAGAGGCACCGTTGCCCCAGCTTCGGGAGGTGAGCCCCTACTCCCCGTGCCTCATCGATTCCAGTTTGTTTGGCATGAAAGGGACCAGCTTCCCTGAAGGGGCAAGAGTTTCCTCTGTGGCCTGTGGGGACCCAGTGGCCTCTCTGCCCTCAGGAATAACTGAACACAACTAGGACGTTGCAGAAGGCTGCTGTCCCCCGCTCCACTCGTTTCCCGTTAACATGATGGTATTAGTTCTGCCATCCGCTGCCAGGCCTCCAGAGAGGAAGGAGAGGGAATGGGTGCCTCGGGCAGAAGGATCCGCGCGCAGCTGCTCAGCGGGGGCGGAGCCTACAGTCACCGCCCAGCCTGGCCGGGGGGCCTCTGGGTCGCTGCCACTCCAAACTGGAGACATGAACGTCATTTGTTACAGATTTCTTTTCCTAATTAACGCTCGACATATGATAAAATAGTTGGTCAAAACCTCTAAACACGATACTATTGGTTCTCATTAATTAGGCTCAAAAGGCCTGGAAAAGAGGCCCAAGAGGACTTCCCCAGGGAAAGCGCAGGGTGTCTCCCCGGGGCCTCACCCTGACACTGCACCCCTGGCCCCCGCAGGACCAGAGCTGGAATGAACCAGGGGATCACAGATCTTTTAAAAAGAGGAGCTCAGGACCTGCCACTTCAGTCTCTGTGTGGGGGCCAGATGGGGTCAGGTGGAAGGGGGGCCTCGGGCCTGGGTTAGCTGGTTTGAGGAGTGAGGCAGACAGTGTTTCCCAATGGCGTCTCGCTGGCCTGCCGGTCTCCTGCCCATGGTGAGGCGCTGTCTGCTTACAGGTCTGCTTAGCCCCCAGACTCCAGCTCCCTGTGACTGGGCCTGGGCCTCAGGGCCTTTACCCTCCACTTGGAGTGGGCAGCGGCAGGTTCCAGGGAGGGTGGTGCAGAGGATGTTGGTGTGATGCGGGGTGAGCAGCCCAGGCCCCGGCTCAGCCCCTCGGGACACAGTGCTGCTCCTCTCCTCACTCCAGGGTTGGCTCTCACGGCCGCACTGAGTACCTCTGGGCCTCTGGTGAGAACGGCACCTGGTGCTGGTCACCTCTAGGTCCCTTAACACCTGTGGGCTGTGCCTGGAGTAGCCATGGGGGAGGCCCAGCCTCCCAGGGAGGTGGTGAGGGGTACTGGGGCTGGGACCAGTACCTGGTCCCTGTTGCACCCACCTGCACCCAGGCTGTGGCCTGGTGGGGTAACTCATGAGGCTACGTAGGCTGCGTAGAAAAGGGGCTCAGCAGAGGCCTTAGGGGGCATGGTTTGGATTCCCACTCCCATTTCAGCAGCTAGGAAGCCTCCTGATCCTACAGACCTGAATCCACCTCCCTCCACCAATGCCCCCAGGCAAAGCTCACCAGGCTCTGCTGTATGGAAGGCTGTTTGCTCCTCCATAGGAGAAGCAGGATCTAGAAGCTAGGAAATGCTGGGGCTGGGATTTGAGGCCAGATCCCCAGGCTGCAAACCCTGCACAGCCCGGTCTTACTCTCCCTGATTCCAGCAAGTGCATATATATAGGAACACACATCCGCAGACACACACACACACACACAGAGTCACACATGCACACACAGTCACTCGGGCTCTTGGAGATCTCCGATTAACTTAAAAGTCACATCAAGTAAGAGGCATCTTCACTAAAATATATGTGTTCTACTTACAACTAGATTTTGATCCCCACTTAACAGAAGATACAAACCCTAGAGCTTCTAGAATAGAGAATTCCATTCTGGATTGTTCTCAATTACCCATCAGGTCCACTAAAGATCCTTCACCCTTCCCAGGACCCAAGGTGGCTGGGACCAGAGCACAGGCTCTGTCACCCCGGACTCATCCTGAAGGGTCTCTGCTCAGACGACACTGTTCTGGAACGTCCAGTCCCCCTGCCAGCCTCTGGTTCTGGGGAGGACTGAACTGCACATCTCAGCTATTGGGAGGGACTCTCGAAATTTCCAAGTTGTTACCGATACCAGCTACAAGTCCAGATTATTGTCCTCCGGGACAGCTAGACTGGTCCGAGTCAGACTTTCTGTTACTGAGAAGTGGACTTGACCCTGGCTCCTGTTTTAGAAAATGTTCTCCAGGAAACCCAGGGACCAGAGCCCTTACTTGGCCTCTCTAGTCTGTGCAGATCAAGTGCCACAGACCCCTCCAGGCACTGAGGACCCTGGGCGAGTCTCCCAGAGGAAGTGAGAAGAGCCAGACCTCAGAAGGGTGCCCCTGCCCTTGCCCCCAGGGGCTCTTCTTACCAAGCCGGCCCCTCTTTCTACCCTAGGAGCAAGGAGGAATTCAGGGAAGGGAGGGAGGCCCTCTCCTGGATATTTGGGCCCTCTCCACATACAAGTCTCAGGCCTGGAGGCCCGGTGGGGGGGGGGCACGGAGTCCCCATGGAGAGAAACAAGGCAGCCTGGGCTATCACGGGCAAGCCTGGGTGCTGCCTGGCTACCCTGTGCCCACTCGAGTCCCCACTAGAGGAAGCCAGCCTGAGTCTGGTTGGAGCCAGGGAGGGGAGAGTCCTTCCCCTGCAGGGTGCTCCCGAGAGCCCCTTCCTCAGACCCAGGCTGGTCATGGCAGCCCGGACTACCCAGCCTGCATGCCCAGGAGAGCTCAGGAGGGTGCAGGGGGCCAGCCTGGGGTCCCCTGGGGAAGCAGGTGGCACTGCTATTGTAAATGACCCCCAGGAAGGAAACGAAGGCAGGAGGAAGGAGAGGGGTGACCGTGGGCCAGCTGCCTCTGCAGCCTTGAAGGGGAACCATGGCGCTGAGTGGAGCCTGGCTTCACCTCTGATCAGCCCAGCAAGTGCTTAAGCAGCCCTCCTGGCCTCAGCGCCCATGGCCCCGGACTGACCACGGAGTTTTGCAGACTGTGAGGCTCATGCAGCGGGGAGGCAGGGAGGGGAGCCCCGGCCTGCAGAGCCACCCACCCCTCCTACCTATATTTCATCCCCGGCTGCTTCACGCTGCTGTCACCAGYGCTCGGCACACTCTGCACCGACAGCTGTCCCAGGCTCCGGGCCACCATGGCCACAGCACGGAATCTTCCRTGGGTGCCCGGGCTGGGGCTGCCAGTCAGCGGCCGTCCCAGCCGCTCCTCGGGAACCCGGGCCTTGAGGCTGTGCTCGGAGCACACGAAGGACACCTGCATGTTGAGGCCACGCTCAGCTCCCGGCTGCCTGTCCCCTCCTGCTGG